CCACCCCCGCGGGCACCCACCGCCACACAATGGGAATATTATAAACATATTTAGAGATCTTTCATCAAGCTGTAGGAAAATCATCATTTAAATCGACGTGAACTCATTTCCCGCCAATTCATTCGCAGTGTTTAATATCATGGAACAACAAGACCTATTACTAATTTCTGCTTTGATTCAATGCCATTTCGATTATGCCTGTCCTTTCTGGTATTCCAGCCTATACGAAATAACTAAAAAAGAAGTTAAAGTCAACTCAAAATAAACTTTTAAGGTTTGTTTTAAATTTAAGTAATCGCTCCCATGTTGGCTGTGATGAATTCCTTGAAGTTGGCTGGTTAACGGTCCATATGAAGTACGTGCACCCAAATAAAATTAAACCATTATTTTCGCACAGTAAATGGCCTGGACCCCAAGTACTTTACAGACACGTTCACAAAAGCAGGTCCTCCCAGTTTATATACTTTTAAATTGTTGTTATTAAAATAACCATTTTTAAAAGTACCATTTTCCAGTCATTGTCTTTCAGTATAAATGTATCTGCCTTTTGTCGTGTGGTCATTGCATGTCCGAGGACCATCACGAAAATAAGCTTAACACATAATGTGTGCTTTTGATGTCACCCTTGATTCGTCATGACCGGGTGTGACAATTAATGCAATGTGTAATGTTATGTGAATAGGATTATTTATCTATTTATTTGTTAAATATGTAAATTATTGCAACCTAAATATTCATAAATATTGCTATAAGTGATGTTGTTATGTGCAATGCATATTGATATATTGTGATTTATCTGTTTATGATGAATCAATAAAACATCTTATCTTGCAGATGTCAAGCTTCAAAGTAGTTTCATTGTACTTTTATGTACTACGTTCCCTGGACCCGTTGGGACACATATAAAATCAACTTACTGCTGATTTGTCAATATTATAAAATGTTATAAAATCTCATAAAGTACAACAAACGTGTCCTTTATTAATAGGTCTATTTAAAAACGTAAAAAGTATATTTATATATATCAAGCTTCAAAGAGCTTGAATAAATTTATTTGGTCCGCACGGTATTCTTTATTTTCCAATATCTCTATGCTGGGAATGATATGTGTTTCCACCGGTTGGAAATCAAACTGTAGGCCTACGCCCTTTGCTACATAAAGGCGAGTGACATTGGTTGGGCGCCCTGCCAATCTTGTCACTTGGTTTTATGGGCGCCTCGCCAATCATGTCGATATATGAGGCGCCCCTCAAATGGTGAGGCGCCTCATAATGACTCACACGATTAACACCACGAGATTGGTTGGCCGCCAACGATTTGATCAATGGGGCGCCCAAAACGGCACAATTGGTGGGGTGGCATAATGCCGAGATTGGTGGGCCGTCGCCGATGAGATCACGGGCGCATATAATATAGCCGAGTAATATAGGTTAGGCGGCCCACAACGGAGTGATAATCTTCAAAATTCAAACAAGTCGCACTCTAAATTATTACAGGTACGTTAAAGAGAGAGAGAGAGAAATGGGGTTTAACGTCCACTCGACACAAACTAGGTCATTTCGGGACTAACATATGGTTTAATTTTATTTCAATAATTCGCTTGCGCGTAGGGGTCTTTAGCAGTGGGAGGAAACCGGAGGACCCGGAGAAAACCCACGAAGTTGGACAGGCGACCCTACTCCTTGTCACGTACAATCGGGGATTCGAAACCACGCCAGTTGACTCAATGACAGGCCTTATGATACAGCGCGCAGCGCGCACGTGCTAACCATTCGGCCATTCAACCCCCCTTACAGGTACGTTAAAGTCGTATTCCTTCGATTTTTTTTATAATGTTCATATTAAAATATCATAATACTCCAATATCGCAAATTCAGCCTCAAAATTAAAATTTTCCGAAGGGAGGCGTGCCCACGATACCGTTCGCCGTGGACCGTCGAGTGTACAGGTACATCTGCGCCCCCAAAAGCCCCATCGGCGCCCCCTGAGGCCCCCCACCACCCTCAATAATTTTGGGCTAGCTACGGGCCTGACAATATTGCGCAAGTAGGCCCTACATGTAAAATCGAAAAAAGAACCGGAATGTCACAAACTGTTTAATTTAGTTGTAGGCCTAACATGTAACAGATTGCACTTTTAGTCCTATTTACCGTGTGTTTTTTCTCTAAAAAATCTTAAGATAAGGCCATATTTTTGTCCTCGGTGCGCTCGCCAAGAATCTAGTTTACAACCCTCACAATCCCTTTTAAAAATTCATATAGTAGGCCATAGGCCTATGGATCCCCGACTGTACTTCCCGTAGCGAATTCGAATGGTTTCTAAATGACCCCTCGCCGAGACGTCGCTGCATAAATTCTTCAAGTAACTTGTAGCCTATTCCATAATTGTGTCATGTCCATGTGTTAATTCCAATATTCTTTGGGGTGATTTGTTGATATATCAACTATATATTATAGTTTTTCACTTGAATGTGGATGGTCTTAGTAGTTTTTGCATTTTAACAGGAGAACATTAAAATAACTGTTTTAAACTGGGTGCGGTTTTGTGACATCAATTTTGCTTTATGTGATTTCTTCGAACCATTCCTTTTTATTTGGATGGTTTTATACGCCCACATTTTCATGTGGACGTATATTGCCGTCGCCCCTGTCCGCCCGGACGTCCGTCCACAATTGTTTGTGGACACTCTACAGGTCACAATTCTTATGCGATTTTGACGAAACTTGAAATATAGGTTTATCTCCAAACGATCTCGGTTGCTTTCGATATTGGCATGTATCGTACCGAAACTTAATGGATTATGACCCCTGACTGTACGAAAAATCACGTTTTTAGCTTGTGGACTCTATAGAGGTCACAATTATTATCCGATTTTGTTGAAACTTGAAATGTAGCCTAAGTTTATAACCCAAAGATCTCGGTCCTTTCGATATTCGCGCATATCGGACCGTAACTTCCTGAATTATGGCGCTGATTGTACGAAAAATCGCGTTTTTAGCTTGTGGACCCTATATAGAGGTCATAATTTTTATCCGATTTAAAAAAACGTTTTAGTATATCACCGTTACACCCTAAGGATGGTTGATTTCGAATTTCGTGAAAATCGGCCCAAAACTGACAGACAAAATGGCCGCCCCTCGTTCTCAAATAGCGTAAAAATATGGTAGGATATCAAGGTTGTGGAATCTCTAGAGGTCACAATTTTCTTCTGATTTTAATGAAACTTGAACTGTAAGTTTATAACCCAAAGATATTGGTTTCTTTCGATAATCGAGCATATTGGATCGTATAACTTCCTGAATTGTGACCCCTGATTGTACGAAAAAATCAAAAATAGCTTTTTGTTTAGCTTGTTCTCTATCCATCTCTTGCAAAATGTGGGCGTATCCTGCCTGGCAGCCGCTGTTTTATTTAGAAGTTATCAACGCTTTTTGCTATATTGATGTAATCGAAGTCTTAACATCGTTACCAATGCTAGATTCGGCATACCATTTTATATTAGAATTCACAACAGACATTTTTTAATGGAAGGATTATCAAGTGCATCTTGGAATTAATGTCGAGAAAGCGAAGACACCATGGTAACACAGACTAGGCTATACTTAGAGTTGTCTCTCGTATCATTACCGTCAACACCAGACGGCGATCTTTACGTAATGTTTGGATTTCGCGGTCAATTTCAACAACAAAATTCCTAAAATTATAACAGGCAAAAGCGGTGTCAACATTAAATATAGGCCTAATAATAATTCCCATTCTACCTAAGAAATATCAGTTAAAACTAAAATATGATCTGAAGGAAGTCATTTCCACCCAGTCCCAGTCACACTATTGACGAGTTGACCGAGCAACTTACCAAGTGAGTGTGAAATTGGCGTTCCGGTTCCTTAGTTATTAGGCCTATTTATTAATATTATTGTCATTGACGTTGAGTCTATGACTATAGGCATGGGAATTTTTATTATTATTGATAACAGCTTATATATCTTTAGCCTATATTTTAGAGCCATGGTATGGTAGGTGGCTCAGTGGGTTGGGTGTTTGCCCATCATACAGGAAGTCCTGCTACACTACTACCTACCGTGCCTATAGGCTAGGGCACAATACTCAACTAGATTACTAGATCTTTGTACGATCTAAGAAATATCTTTCTCTAGGGTTAGGGTTTGGGTTAGGTTTATAAATTACATGTCAAACGTACAAATTGAAGCTGTAAACAACGGTGGATTGTGGCTAAAACTATTCTGAAGGGTTAGGGTTAGAAATGTGGATAAACAAGGAAAGAATCAAAGATATTTCTCATATCGGGAAGATCTAGTATCATGCAAAACTAGGCTATTGGGTTCTCCGCAGTGACACTGACAACAGTGTAGAACAAGAAAGTTCCTCGGCCCTGGGGGTTTTCAGCGTGGTTTCCCCTCATGCCTCATACATATTTCATGGCATTATGCCTGTCTTCATTTGCCCGGTTGGTGCATGATATTAGGATGTCAAGCCCCATTTGATTTCATAACATTTTGTCTTTATAAAAGTGTTTTTAATGATCTAGGTATAGTTTGAATGAAATGTGTTTTCACCCATTTGTTAGGCATCAATATCCTTTTCCATAGGCATAGGATATATATGGACCAGATATGCGCTAAACTATGCCTAGTGTACTGGTGAAATACTAGATTTAACAGAAGGCCTACCCCAAAGCTAGAATTTATAGCCTTTAATCTTAAAACAAGAAAAGAGACTTAGCAGTTTTACTAGGCGTACAGGTACATAAAATTCAATAATAGGGTAAGACTTCCCTTGATCATGACTTCTCATATTATGACACAGGCTAGAGTACTGGTAGTGATAGAATGTTGTTTGATCATTTATATTCAGATATCTGTGTATGACACATGTATGTGTTTTGTGGTCTTTAGTTGCTGTGAGTGTTAGTAGGTAGCTAGTTACTATTAAATTGTCAAGCTTGTGTTTTTCAGGATTCCTCTATCACTGCATTGCACATGGGGTCACCCATTCATCTTGGCAAAATGGTCAGTAGTGACAAGTTAGGGGTATCTCTTCATGGTGCTGCTAAACAGGGTAATAAACGTGCTGTAAAACGTGCCATAGATAAAGGTAAACTGTTCCCAAAAGTGCTATTAAACTGTTGATAAATGTTTATGTCACGACTCACAAAGACACAAAGTACATTATTTTCCTGCATAATCTATAATAATCTTATAAAAAAGAGAAAGTTTTTACACAGCCATCATATTAAAAATACATTTTTAATAAAGAGTTGGACATTCTTGATGTAACAGTTCAAAAATGTACTAAACAGCCAAAAAACCCCAAAAAACATCAGTACGATTTCAAAATCAGAGAGGCACTTTAATCAAATCATTCTAGAAAACGAGGTACTAAATGGATCAAAGCAATTTTTTGTGAACAATATGCTGACACATTGGTGAAGGTTTAGAGTCTGTACATAGTCTATACATCAGTATCTGGTGTGTCCACTGCGAGTGTCAATAACAGCAGCGCAGCGTCTGTACATGAAGTGGACCAGACGATTGATGAACGCCATTGGCACCTGAAACCACACTCTCAGAAAAGCCTGGCGCAATCCATCAGCTGTGTTTGGTCTCGGTATTTTGTTATTAAGTCTCCTCTGAATTTCATCCCAAAGATGTTCAATCGGGTTTAAGTCCGGACTAAGGGCTGGCCAGTGCATAACGTTGACACCGTTCTGCTGTAGAAAGTCCCTAGTAACTCTGGCGGTGTGGCTACGGGCGTTGTCATGCTGGAAAACGTTGTTTCGATGACGTGCGAAATGTGGTATAATGTGGGGTCTGAGAGCTTGATCGCTGTAGCACACTGCTGTGACGCCGCCTCTTCTCCCTGTACCAAGATTTTGGAACACCACAGGACCCACTCTCTGGTTCAGGCCGATTCCACGCCAAACCATTATGCTTGGACCTCCCCATGAGTCTCGTTCCATGACACATTGGTCAGAATAACGCTGGCCACCTCAACGCCATATTCTGGTCCTGCCATCTGCAGTTGATACGCAATACCGAATCTCATCTGTGAACAGAACAGTTCTCCATTGCCTGTGTCACCAGTTGTGGTGTTGTTGGGCAAACTGTAGACGTTCACGTTGATGGCGGGGATTGGTCCACGGTAAAGTCTATGGCAATGGATGTTCTCTCTGGTGAGACGTTGGCCTGAAAGCGTTGCTGAAGCCTAGATGGTCCGAACATTGACCTGGAAGTGATTGGCAACGACTTGGGCAGTATGGCCAGGGTCGAATCTTCCAAACATGAGTTTCATGAAAATCATGGAGAACACATTACCATCTCAGAAGTCAGATTGCGTTTTTGAGAACATTTCCTAGTTTCAATTCTGTGTTTGGGAAGGAGCCTTATTGCTCAGGTAAAGTTGGAGAGTGGTCACAATAAATATACAATAAAAACATTTGGCAAGTTTTATGCAATGCGTCTATTCAGAGTAACATACCAACCTGACATTTATTTTGCTGCTTAGTATAGATGATAAAAGAAAGAAAATATTGAAAATTACTTTATTCTGAACAAATTTATCACTGTTGGAAGTTTGGGCTAGAAATAGGCATCAACTGTCTTTGCACCGTCTCCGAGAATTGCTGATCGTTTGATTGACAGACAACAACTCCGCCCACATATTCTCGATTATCAAGTAACATTCTCAATGCCTACGGTACCCAAGATTATCAGTCCTTTCATCGTCAGTCTCCGGGAGTGACGTCAGTGATAAACAGTAATATGTTAGCTTGGTCAGCCATTTAATTATTAAACAGACAACTGTTTAAATCCAATCTGTATCCAATCCATCCAAGGGTCTACAGAGTTGATGTTGGGCTTGTTATGTAAATTAAGGTCTAATTGATAATTTCTATAACATTTGAAGTCTATAGAAAGACTTGCAATAGGCATATTTAGCTCTTAACTAATGTATCTTTAAAGGCCTGAATAGTTACTTATCTTATAGCCTACTAGACCACTCACATTTGGTTAATTAGTAGATAATTACTTGTATCACACATGCAGTGGATAACGGTTAGGACGTGTATTTTCAAATTTGGAATTATAATCTCATGTAAATGTATTTTTTTTCTCAGGAATATATGTGGATTATCCAAATGATGAAGGCCAGACACCACTTTTTTGTGCATGTTTTGCTAATCAGGAAGGGGTTGCTAAACTTTTACTTCAACGTGGAGCTGATCCAAATGAGTAAGTAAACATTGGCTGGTTTAATAAATTGATTCATCATAATTTCTCTTCCGTTCTGGTATTAAAAATTGAAGAATTGTTGCAATTACAAGCTAATATTTTGCTATAAAAGCAATATAGTATATGCTTTTTATTATTTTGATTATTATATTTACAGGAAAAGTAATAATGGTCAAACGCCTGTATTAATGATATGTTTGCGTGGAAACATAAGTTTATTACAGAAAATGATGGACGCAGGTGGTGATCTAAGATATCATGATAATGATGGCAGAGGATGCATAGACTGGGCGTTAATGAATGAAGACCCAAAGAAACGAATTAAAATGATAGATTTTATAAATAAGACGCGAGTACATGCTATGACTTCAGCTGAACAAGAAGTTAGGTTTAGAAAAGACAGTAACAGAAGGAGTAGGTTAGTAATATTAATATGGATTATAATGCATAAGAACCAGTTTGACTGTAAAAGGATTCTTCTGATCTTTTGTTTTGCTCTTGAATAATTTATCGAAAACACAGAGTTCACATTTTTCATTGATTAGCCAAAACAAAAGCTTTGATTCAGTGAAAATCAATAATTTATTGGTATTGATTTGAAAAAATTGCAAGTTTTCTTATTGTTACTTCAAATGAGTACAGGAAACAATTTTATGGAATACAATTGCTTTTTATTACTGAATGATGTTTAAGTCTAGGATTATCTATTTTTATACGCCCACATATTATGCGGTGGACCCTGTCTGTCCGGACGTCCGTCCACAATTTGTTTGTGGACACTCTCTCTACAGGTCACAATTTTTATTGGATTTTGACAAAACTTGAAATATAGGTCTATCTCCCAAAGATCTCGGTTCCCTTCGATATAGGCATGTATCAGTCCATAACTTCATGGATTATGGACCCTGATTGTATGAAATATCAAACTTTTTGCTTGTGGACACTCTAGAGGTCACAATTTTAATCCGATTTTTAAAAAAAACATTTAGATTTATCACTGTTACACCCTAATGATGGTTGAGTTTCATTTTCCTGAAAATCTGACCAAAACTGCCTGACAAAATGACGACTCCTTGTACGCAAATAGTGTAAAAATATGTCATACTAAGATTGTGGACCCTCTAGAAGTCACAGTTGTTATCAGATTTTAATGAAACTTAAAATGTATGTTTATAACCCAAAGATCTTGGTTCCTTTTGATATTTGTGCATATCGAATAGTAACTTCCTGAATTATGGATCTGCTAGAAGTCGAAATTTGTATTCAATTTTAAAAAACGTTCAAATATATCACTGTTACACATCAATGAAGGTTGAGTTTTGATTTTTGTAAAAATCTGACTGAAACTGCCACACAAAATGGCCGCTTCTTGTGCGCAAATAGTGTAAAAGTATGCACATTTCAGACCATAACTTTCTGGATTATTGCCCATGATTGTACAAAAAATCCCGTTTGTTTTTAGCTTGTTCTCTATCCATCTCTTGCAAAATGTGGGCGTATCCTGCCGGGAAGCCGCTGGTTATCTGATTTTGATGAAACTTAAAATTTATGTTAATAATCCAAAGATTGTGGTTCCTTTTGATATTTGCGCACATCGGACCATAACTTTCTGGATTATGGCCCTTGATTGTACGAAAAATCAGGTTTTTAGCTTGTGGACCATCTAAAGTCACACTCACAATTTTTATCCAATTTTAAAAAAACGTTTAGGGAGATTTATCACCTTTACACCCTAATGATGGTTGTGTTTCAATTTTATGAAAATTGGACTAAAACTGCCTGACAAATAGTGTAAAAGTATATCATACTAAGCTTGTGGACCCACTAGAAGTCACAATTTTTATCAGATTGCTGAAACTTAAAATGTATGTTTATGTCTAAAGATCTCGGTTCCTTTCGCTGTTTGCGCATATCAGATTGTAACTTCCTGGATTATGGCCCCTGATTGTACGAAAAAGTTCTGTTTATTAGCTTGTGGATTCTCTAGAGGTCACAAATTTTTATCTGATTTTAAAAAAATGTTTAAATATATCACCATTCCTCCATAATGAAGTTTGAATTCGAATTTCGGGAAAATGGAAATGAAACAACCAGACAAAATGGCTACTCTTTGTACACAAATTGTGTAAAAGTATGTAAAGGTTTTTATCCAATTTTAATGAAACTTAAAATATATGTTTATGTTCCAAAGATCTCAGTCCCTTTCGATATTTGCGCCTTTCAGGATTATAGCCCCTGATTGTACGAAAAATTGCTTTTGTTTTTAGCTTGTTCTCTGTCCATCTCTTGCAAAATGTGGGCATATCTTGCCTGATAGAACTGTAAATGGTGCCAAATGAAAGACATGCCGCTAATTCAGTAATTCCCTTGAAGATGACCTAAAGTTTAACAGCTTTCTATATGCCCACATTTTCATGTGGACGTATATTGTCGTCGCCCCTGTCCGGACGGCCACAATTGTGAACACTCTACAGGTCACAATTTTTATCCGATTTCAATGAAACTCGAAATATAGGTTTATCCCCCTAAGATCTCTGTTCCTTTCGATATTGAAATGTTTCGGACTGTACGAAAAATCACATTTTTAGCTTGTGAACACTGTAGAGGTTGCTATTTTTATCCGATTTAAAAAAAACAACTTGTGAACACTCTAGAAGTCACAATTTTTATCTGATTTTGATGAAACTTGAAATGTATGATTATAACCCACAGACCTCGATTCCTTTTGATATTCACGCATGTCGGACCATAACTTCCTGAATTATGGCTTGTGGACCCTATAGAGGTCACAATTTTTATCCGATTTAATATATCACCGTTACACCCTAAGGATGGTTGAGTTCGAATTTCGTAAAAATCAGACCGAAACTGACGGACAAAATGGCCGCCCCTCGTTTGTAAATAGTGTCAAAATATTGTGTATCAGGGTTGTGGACCCTCTGGAGGTCACAATTTTCATCTGATTTTGATAAAACTTGAAATGCATGTTTATAACCCAAATATCTTGGTTCCTTTTCATTTTTGTACATATCCAATCGTAACTTCCTGAATTATGGCCCCTGATTGTACAAAAAGTTTTTAGCTTGTGGTTCCTCTAGAGGTCACAATTATTATCCGATTTAAAAAAAACGTTCGAATATATCACCGTTACACCGTAATCTTGTCTGAGTTTGAATTTCATGAAAATCGGACCATAACTGCCGGACAAAATGGCCGCCCCTCATACGCAAATAGTGTAAACATCTGGTATATCAAAGTTGTGGACCCTCAAGAAGCCACAATTTTGATCTGATTTTGATGAAAATTGAAATGCAAGTTTATAACCCAAAGATCTCGGTTCCTTTCAATAAGGAGATCAGATCGGATCGTAATTTCCTGAAATAAGGTCTCTGATTTTACAAAAAATCACGTTTTTAGCTTGTGGTTCCTCTAGAGGTCACAATTATTATCCGATTTAAAAAAACGTTCGAATATATCACTGTTACACCGTAATATGTTTGTTGAGTTCGAATTTCCTGAAAATCGGACCAAAACTGCCGGACAAAATGTGTTTTTTTGATATTCGAGCATATCTGATCGTAACTTCCTGAATTATGGTCCTTGAATGAACAAAAAATCATGTTTTTAGCTTGTGATCCCTGTAGAATCACAATTTAAAAAAAAAAAGTGTAAATATATCACCATTACACACTAAGATCTTGGTTCCTTTTGATAATCGCGGATACCCGAACTTAACTTCCTGGATTATGGCTCCTGATTGTTCGAAAATTCGCATTTTTAGCTTGCAGATTCTCTAGAGGTCACAATTTTTTTCCGATTTTAAAAATCGTTTAAATACATCACCATTCCACCATTATGAAGTTTGAATTCAAATTTCGGGAAAATCGGAATGAAACTGCCTGACAAAATGGCCGATCTTTGTACGTAAATTGTGTAGAAGTGTGTAATCCGAACGTTGTGGACCCTCTAGAGGTCACAATTTTTATCTGATTTTGATGAAACTTAAAACATATCTTTATATCCCAAAGATCTCAGTCCCTTATGATATTTGCACATTTCAGGCCATAACTTTCTGGATTATTGCCCCTGATTGTACAAAAAATTGCGTTTGTTTTTAGCTTGTTCTCTATCCATCTCTTGGAAAATGTGGACGTATCCTGCCTGGCAGCCGTTGGTTTTCAAATACAATGTGAAGCATTGGGACAATTCGAGGATGAGCCCTATCAAATTTGCCAGTTCTCTGTGGGCATATCTTGCCAGGCAACTACTGTATAACATTTTTTGCTATTTACTTTTTCAAAAATTGCTAATCACTATTTCAGTTGCTTGTCCAGAGTAATTAGATATTCAATTATTTTATTCTAAATTGAAATTTGTTTAAATATTTTTCACGCTACAGCAAATTTACCTTGCACTTTTGTGGTAAGATTAAAATTGAAATATGAGACATAGAGCCATGGGATCAGATATGTAACCAAGTGGTTACAGATCAAGCTCTGTAACCGACCACTGTTTTTCTCACCTTAACCTTGTGTAATAAATCTATTTTTTGAAACTCTCCCAAGAGTCAAGACTATATCAGTTTTTATCAGCTTACAAAGGTTACTACTCTCTATTTTGCACAAATTATTCTGCGAGAGTCAGCCCTAACACGTTCCTTTTGTGGCGTTTATGATAATACCGTTTGTACGCCAGACACTGTATTAAGTCAACGGGTCACTTCTGGGGTCAAAGGTCAGTGGCATAACACTGAAATGCAGCCTTTTAATTTTAATAACCTGGACAAAACAACAGAGTTCTGTGTTGATTAAACAAATTGACAGTTTAATAAGAAATCAGAATGTTAATAATAAAAGTTACAAAAGACGAAAATAGTTACATTTACACTTCACATAGATTCAGGTTTGACAGTTCTCAGTTCACAATATCATTTCACAATCACAGCTCACTCGGAAATTGAGTCGAATTTCACATAGAGTTCACAAGAATAGACAAAGTTCACTGTTGACAAAAGTTAGATTAATAGTTCATTCACACATTACACTAATTCAGATACAGTGTCTCGGTAAAAATCCACGATATCACGACCACCGTTTAAGAAGACAGCCTTACACGTATTGACATTCACGCCATTTTCACTGTTTCTATGCATGCTTTTTCTATACCATAATAATTTAAAGTATACACAATCACACCAGTTACATACATACTTCAATACTAATATTTTTTATTAATAAAGGAAGACGCTTTCATCCAGAGAAAACTTACAAATGCAATGAAAAATATTATTATACCCTGTTTAATAAGTGCAGAGAATAAAAAATGTGAAAGATTACCAGAATTAATAATGTCTAACTGTGTTTGTTTTATATTTACAGAACAATGTTAACAGTTCCAGAATCACTTGTAGATATAATTAGAAAAAAATTAGGAGGAACTAGACCTTTGGACAGTACCAATAGTATAAGTAGAGTTGAGAGCCGAGGATTTGGTAGGGTGAGCTAATTATGTATGATATATATTATTTGACACTATTTGTAGAACTTTGTTCTTAAATTGATAATCAATGGATGTTTCATTTCAATTTTAGGTTTACACAGGAGAAAAGGATGGTGGGCTAGTGTCAGTTACTCCTTTAGTGCCAGAAGCCAATTTACAATTTGATGCTTATGGTCCGAGTTTTGATAATGGAGCTTTCATGGCAATGGAAAGGTAAAGATAATCAATTTGATTGCAAAGAATAATTTTGAAGGCCTGATAAATTGCTTAAAAGTTAAAGGGCAAATAGGCTATCTGACAACAAAGCTATCTGCCAACTCATTACCACAGAGAATCTGGACTTCAATTGACCTACTGTATATGAATTTCTAGTCAATCAGATATTAACTTTAGCCTCCATAGGCCTACTTGTCTTGTGAACATAAACAGTGTATAAATTTTCAAGTCAGTCAGTGAATAATTTTAGCCTTGATAGCTTCCAAGATCAATTTTTCAACAACTGACAGTCTGACTAACAGATGGATGGACGAGGGTGACAATGTAAGACCATATTTCAATGTGAAAATCCACAAATATATACAGTAGGCATCTTCAAACCAATTCTCCAACGATTTACTGATGTGATAACTTACTAGGTAATTGTGGGCGTATAAAAAAATAAATGATTGATGTTGTGGGGTCTGTTTAACAAATGTGTGCAAAGTGTGGTACAATATTATGATATTAAAATCTTAAAATTAATTGAACATATTCTCTTGAATGTGTATAAGTACATAGCTTAAAATGTAATGAAAATGGGTTGAAGTATTGAAGTGAATAAAAGTATAAAGATAAGTATTTATGAAATGCACATATGACAGGTGTATAATTCGGACGCTATCAAATAATTTTATTCTGTTTGTTGTTCTTTTTAAATTTGTGTAGCATGTTTTGGTATAAAAGTACTGTCACAGTGAAAAAATTACATAAAGTTACACAGCCAGGAGGTTATATTGATTTACTTATTACAGAGGCTGAAAGATTGGGGTAAGTAAGATGAATGATAACTAATGTCATCAAGATGTTCGTTTTATTCGGCTGTATATAGTTTGATTCACCAATATCTTCATTTTCTATAGGGCAACAAAGTTGAAATCTATTATCTTGAGTTACAAACACTTTTGATATAATGGATGGGATCTACATAGCAAAATATGATTTATTTTCTCATTTTTTTCAGCAAGTTACATCATCCTAATATACTGCTATTAATGGGTGTTTGTCAAGCCTACACTATGGACTCTATGATGCTGGTATTTGAAAGAATTAATGTTGGATCCATTTACTATTATCTTCATGCAAAGGTCAGTGGTAATCAAGTTTAAAATCTTACATTAAAAACCTAAACCTTCATCATATCATTTTTATAGCCCCAGCTTTAATATGGACATATATTGACAAAACCTCCATCTGGCATCTAGTCACAATTTCTTGTGAACACTGCCTGTCAGAGTTCGTGATAGATTTTGTTTTGAATTGCGGGGATTTTTTTTTTATCGCAAATCGCTAAGTAATAAGTTATCCATTCTGTTTATGTTTAAATTTATGAAATCATGTGAATGTTATACAGTACAGAGTTTTCAACATAATTTTAAAACCTTGTTCATTTGGCCTTAAAGGAAAAACTTTTAAGTTGTTGAATCGAAAGAGTTATTTTCTTAACTGTTAAAGCTTGGGAATGCCAGTACCTTGCATATTTAAAAAGCCTTGTACAATCCGATTGGTCAGTGAACTGAAACACTAGCAAACAGATGTCATCAAATTTGGAAAGTGTCTTCATAATTAAAATCACTAGCCTTGGTTCAAACTATATCACCTTCTGACACTCTCAACATAAGGAGATGAACCTCAAAATATAAGGAGATACCATGAAATGTCAGGAAAATTTCATAAACGTATAAATTCTTTCAAAAACTAAAGATACCACTGCATCAAATGCCTTCATTCAAACACAAAAACATGAAAATCATGTCATTGGGGCCTACAAATTGAATTTATTTCATTAGTAAAAAACACAAAATTATATATGATTGATTGAAATACCTTTCTTCAGTTTATACACAATTGTAAGTAAATACCTTTCTTTATTTTATACATGACTGTAAACCTCTATTCAATTTATACATAGTTATAAATCCTTATAATTTAATTATAAATCCTTATAATTTAATTATAAATCCTTATAATTTAATTATAAATCCTTATAATTTAATTATAAATCCTTATAATGTAATACAGAAATATTTAGTATGGCTGTCTTCTGCTTCAGTTATAAAATTGTCAGGCATAATTTCTTTTTCTCTCCCAAAAATATTGAAATATTCTCCATTGAATGAGATAATAGGCTAAACACTAGAAGTAGAACAGAACTTGTTCAACAGAAATAAATTAAATTTGAATATATCTTCATGGCTGTAAGTTAAAAAAATCAGTGCCACTCTTTATTAACCCACAGCAATCTGATTAGTAAATGTAGGTGTGTGCTGCACTCACTATAATGTCTCTGTCCAAATACATAGACAAGATACTGGTAAAGGGACATATGCATAATTGCCTTGTTACTTTGTGTTAATATAGAATTGACTTAACTTTAATTTTTCAGTTAGAAAGACTTCCTACACAAAATATTAGAGATATTGTGATACAGATTTGTGATGCTATGATATTTCTACATCAGAATGATATTATCCACTGTAATTTATCATCACATGCTGTTTTTCTAGTTAATCCTTATTCAGCGAAGATTGGCAACTTTGAATATGCAATGGATAGGTGAGACACAGAAGAAAATATTTTTCTTTATTTTGGGTAGTAATTTTTCGGAAAATAATTCTTTCTAGATTTTATGTGGGAGTATATATATTTGTCACCCCCATCCTTCCACTCCCCAGTTCATTCACCAGTACATCAAAATTCAGAGTGTCATTCATTTTTATGTAGATTTTTATGCCATGAAGTGTCTACGGGTGAAGATTTGCTAGTTATACAAAAGAAATATATTTAGAAATCCAATTTAACTTAAAAGATACCTTCCTGCATACAAACTGTGTGATTTGATGATATATTTGGACTAAAAATATATTCAAACTAATTAATCTATCAAAAATTTGCTTCAAATCCCTGACATTGAGTCAACTGGCGTGGTTTCGATTCCCCAGTTTAGGTGACAAGGAGTAGGGTTGCCTGTCCATCCTTGTGGATTTTCTCTAGGTCCTCCGGTTTCCTCCCACTGCTAAAGACCCATACGTGAAGCAAATTATTGAAATAAAATTGAACCACATGTTAGTCCCAAAATGACCTCATTTGTGTCGAGTGGACATTAAAACCCATTTCTCTCTCTCTCTCTTTCGCTTCAAATCCCCCTCAAAACTTTGTATTCAGGAGGAGATACCCCAAGCTTTAAAAAAATCTATTTTTAGAAGCCATATGTTTTTCACCGAACTTGATTGAGAGAGGGCCCATTTTCCAGAATGTATTTGTCATTACTTACTGTCCATTTACCATACATATTGAGGCCTAAGTAAATTCTTAAATTATTTTCTGCCATCTTTCCTTTCTTCCATTTAACTTGGTAAATGGTGATTGTACTATCAATCACATGTTTTTAGCACTGAAATACAGTATTTCTCTGATCACTGAAATCTTGTAAAGTGTTTTTAAGACTATTTTGATATCACAACACACTTATTCCATGAGTTTTTTTAATCCCTTCACAAGCCAGCTGTAGAGTTATGATAATATACTCTTGATATACTGTTAAGATAACTTTTTGTTTTACATTTTAAGTGAAAAGGCTGGTTTAGGAAAACAAAGTGCAGCATCTCAGATGAAATATCAAAATGCTTTATATAATTGGATGGCCCCAGAATTGATGGATGGTAATGAACCAGGATTTTATAGTGATGTATACAGCTATTGTTGTCTTCTGTGGGAAATATTTGTGTGTAAGTTTAAACTAAACTGGGAAATAAATTTTACAAGTAGTAGTAATATACAAGATGATGTATAGGTCAATGTCATGATTGATTACACCCCCCCCCCCCCCCCAACATACTAAAATGTTGACTGCTGTTGAAGTCCTTAAATCAATTATGAAATTGTTTTGAATTGGATCTTGTATGGAGATCATTAATGATATTTTGCTCAATTTTTATTGTCACAGGTGAAGTTCCGTGGGATATGTGTGATGCCGAATTGATAAAGCATAAATTATTGGCAGAAAGACAGTCCTTAATGAGAGAAAATGATAAAATACCCAATCTTTTTAAAACTATAATTAGATATGGCTTAGAGATAGAATATAATACAAGAATGCTAGATTTTGAAACAATTCGAACCTGGTTGGCAGCACCGCCAGATAGTGTAAGTTTTCCAAATCTTTACCTTTAGCTTTGGTTATAGACAGTACCATTCTGGTTGAAGTATTAAAACACATAAAGGCTAAAATTACAATCCCTCTTCAGTAAAGTACTGCACAAAGACTCACCACAAAACAGATTTCGAAGGACATGAAACTGTTGGATATTTTGATACAGTGTAGTTACCCCTAAATTCTGATGAATTTCAATTGAGCCGAATCAGTTCGGAATAAGATAAGATCAATGCAGTTTTCATCAGTGACGATGTAAAATTGCAAAACTTTTGAACATCTATTCATTTTAGCTTTAGGACATTTTTGAATGTACATGATTGGGTAGGTTACTCATCTGACTTAGAAGGAATCGCTATGAATTAGAATTCCCATCTTCATTGGCTTATTTGATTACTTCCCTCTTGTTATGTATTTGTCAGACAAATTGTCAAACAGGTGACCAATTTACCCAACCATAAGGAAGTATGAGTTTTATACTGGCATATTATAAAATGGAAATAATTGGTAAATTTTATTGAAATTTTTTTTAAGAAAGTTTTTTAAGCCATTTCGATTTAAAGTAATATTTTCTAAAGTTTTTGATTAAATAAATTCCAGATACCAACTTTGCCTCAAAGACACATGTCACTTGAAGAAACAGAACCAAAATGTATAGATGATGTTGATGGCTATACAAAACATGCAGGGAAAATGGTTGATGATAGACATAGGCAACACAATACGTCACCAAATCATCAACGTAAACATAGTCCATCCCCTGATAAAGCTGGATCCACCAGGCATCCCAGATCGTCATCATATTGTCATAATGAAAATAACCATCATGATCATCATCATTCAGAACATAGAAGCAGAAAACAAAAACAGGAATGGTGAGTTACATCTTTATACATTTTACAGTTATCTCAATACGAGTCTTTCAGTTTCATTCTATTAATGAGTGCAGGGGAACTGAAAAGACAAACCTACGGACAAGACACAAACTACACAGACATTGCAAACAATACAATAAACAAATATTATATCAACTGAATGGTATGTACTTTAGCTATACACAGCACTCAGATTTAAAAAAAGCAGTTTGTTGATCTAACTGTTCATGTTTTTAGGATCTTGATTTACAAAGCACACATAAGAATAACGTATGGTACATTTTACTATACAACTCATCTGAATTTACATGTACGTTACTTTATATACTTTGTGAAACAGGCCCTAGGTCTGTAATCTGGTAGGATCTAGTTTATATTGTAACTGAAAAATGGTTTGAGTTTTTGTGTTAAGGGCAAAACTACGTTATGTATAAAACCTAATAAATTATGAAATTTACCAGACTTTGTTTACTCATGTGTGCCCTGGTACGTCTATAGAAATTCTTCTAATGAATTCAATGGGAATTCATCTTGATTCTCCATTATATAATTTTGTCCTATTCTAGGTATGATGATGAGGATGATGTTGATTTTTGTAAGAATGAAGCATACAATTATTATGAAAAACATCCTAAATCTCCAGGAAAACGGTCTTTACCAGGACATTATACCAGAAAAACGTAAGTTTATGGCTATAATGATAAATAAGTCAATTGAAAAATTGATGTTGTTAGATTCTTCATGTATTTCCTATTTGAAATCGGCAAATATTTGTAGGATGCTGGGAATTCTACAATTGATTCTGTATTTTTCTCTCCAGAGATGGAGTGCAGTTTGATGTGAATAGACATAATGATGGTCAAATGGTAGGCTATCATGTGAAAGTCAGATCACCTAAAACCAGACAAAAACACCAGTCAAGATCAAGACCAAATAGTTATCAAAAAGATTTAACTAATACAGAAAGTTCAAATGAAGAAAGACGGTTTGTTTGAATATTTTCATTTTCTTGAATTTAAGGGCGTTGAGTACTCTAAAATGCACAGTTTAAAGCTAGCACTGTAAGTTTTGTTCATAAGATATGACATATTTTGTTATTTGGGGTATTAAACTACATATTAATCACCAAAAAAATACCAATATTTACCAACTATGTTCCAAACTTGGCCCAAAAGCATGATAATAATTTGGCATGAACAATGCTAAATGCAAGTCCAAGAAACCTATGGTTCACATTTTAGCTGTAGACCATGGTTTGTCTGGTATCCATGGGAAAGCCAAAAAATTATGAGTTTTCTTGAAAATTCTACAAGTTCATGGCAAAAACAGATATTGATAATCCCAACCGTAGATTGAAAGTAGAGGTTATAAGAGAAGTTTTGACACCAAAAATGTTAAAAAATATCACCTCAAATTATTTTAAAATCTTTGTTCATTATTTGACTTCAAAAAAGATTTTGTGGTTTTGGGTAAATTCTTTGAATACATCCACAGCACGTTTTAAAATACAACAATTCGCATTCAAAAGCATTTTATGCATTCAAAATGGTAGTCTTCAACCATCAAAAATGGTAGATCTGGATAATCGTGTTGTAGAGGAAATGAAATGAAATGAAATGAAATGGAGTTTAACGTCCTACTGTTCTGCTCCGAACTGGGCTAATGAAGACGGGCATACGTGATACAGTGTGCTATGTGCTATGATTGGAAATTTTGCTCGGACAGCGGCACTACGGCCTACTCTTATATCGAATTCCAACTGTCAAGGGATCTTTTACGTGCACACCAATGTGTACACGGAACCTTGTTTTTTTGTCTCATCCGAATGACTAGACAGCTGTCCTTGTCGGACCCTCCATCCTGCATCACTGACAAGGGGGAACCACGCCGGAAAATCTGAATGAACTTTCTCGGCCAATGCAGGGATCGAACACCCGACCTCCAGGCTAGCGAGCCAGCATCTTACCCACTTAGCCAGCGAGATCCCTGTGTCGTAGTGGGAATTTCTTCTATGACGTCAATGCGTTGTCCAGTGTGACACTGTTGCTTGAGTCAGCAATGATTGTTTACTGTAGGTCACATGAGCAATGTGTACCTAGGTCGTGGAAACCTTCTCGTTTGCTACCTTCTATCTCCATTATTACACAACAAACGGTTGGACTGTTAATGTGTCCTCTGGGTTATTTTACACACTGAACAGGCATGCAGTCTTAATAAGATTGGCATTAGTGTGTATTTTAGACTACTCAACACCATTAAATTCAGTTTGCATCCAAAAAAAGTAATCTGAAATGAGGTTGATTGAAAAATATATTCTTTCTGTTATCTATTAGTTTACGACCTTGACGTGTTAGAGGAAGAAAATTGCCTGTTGGGCCTTCAAAAATTTATGTTAGTACAGGCACAAAAACTTAAAAAATTATTCAGCTTACAGATTATCTGTTCTCTTAAAATTGCAATTTGATCAGGTTATGCAAATCGTTTACACAAATTCTTTGCAGGGTAACTTTTGAAATAATAATTTTCATAAAAGGATTTCTTTATGGTGCTGATTGTTTTACTTTTGATTATAAATTGAAAGTGCATGAGATGGAAAATAAATATCATTGGTCTCCATTTTAATAACTTAAGCTAGCAAAAATTAGTAAAGGGACATACATACTCAAATGGATATTATGCAAACAAATCTATTTACTTTTCAGTAGAGGGAAATACTCGATATCAATAACCAATTTTAGCAGAACTTGTTTTGAAGGTGTTTTCTATATTAGAAAAATGTGCTGAACAAAATAGGCTTGAGGCAAAATCCCAAAAATTCTAATGTTTCGGGCCAAGAAGTAATATTTGAAATAGAGCAAATGCCGAAATAACTGACTCAAGCCCATTTTGTTCAGCTCATTTTTCTGATGTACAAAACACGTTCTAAAAAAATTTCGGCTGAAATTGGTTAACAATATCTATTATTTTCCTCTACTGTTTGGTTTCATCTTTGTTTTGTGAAAGTATTCTGGCATCCATGTTCGTGTTTTTATCAAATGACTTGTTAGTATTGATTTTGATAAATTTGTAATATTTCTTTTTACAGAACATTTATACCATCCGATAATAAACGAATTGATTTATGTTCTCCATCTAAATTTAGCTACTTATCATTGAATCAAAATGGTGGTCCAAATCAGACTGTAGTTAAACCAGCTAGTCATCATACTGACGGTGGTAATCAGTGTAATACACAGTTGTCTACTGCTGGTAGTATCTATGCTTTATATAATGCTAGTCATGATACAAGTAGAGAAGAGGAAAGTTTCTCCCCTACATGTCATGTTAAAACATATAAAGATTGTGAAACTGTAACTAAAAGAAACAGAGAAAGACCTCCAAGCCCTTCACCTGATACAAAAAGGTAATAATCAATTGAGTTTTATTTTATTGTCCCCCGCCTTTCGAAGAAAGCAGGGGACTATTAAAATGGGTTCGTCCGTCTGTCTGTCTGTCCGTCACACTTTTTGGGACACAATAACTCTCCTTCTAATTGACCTAGAATGGTGTAGGTGTTTATTAGGTCAATGCCTTGATGGAGTTCGAAGATGAGCATTTTCTGCTTAGGGTAAGCAGAGATAACTTTAGTTCTAATTAAGTGAGAGTGATGAAACTTGGTGTATAGTTTCATTACATCAATACCTTGACTAAGTTCGATAATGAGCATTTTCTGCTCAGGGTAAGCAGAGCGATAAGCAATTTGATTGGCCGAGACTTTGGAACACAATAACTCTCCTTCTAATTGAGGTAAAATGTTCAAACTTGGCGTAGGTGTTTATTAGGTCAATGCCTTGATGGAGTATGAAGATGAGCATTTTCTGCTTAGGGTATGTAGAGATAAGCAATTTGATTGGTTGATGCTTTGGGACACGATAACTTTAGTTCCAATTAAGTGAAAGTGATGAAACTTGGTGTATAGTTTCATTACATCAATACCTTGACTAAGTTTGATATTAAGCATTTTCTGCTGAGAGTAAGCAGAACGATAAGCAATTTGATTGGCCGAGACTTTGGAACACAATAACTCTCCTTCTAATTGAGCTAGAATGTTCAAACTTGGTGTAGGTGTTTATGAGGTCAATGTCTTGATAGAGTGCGAAGATGAGCATTTTCTGCTTATGATAAGTAGAGATAAGCAATTTGATTGGTTGATGCTTTGGGACATGATAACTTTAGTTCTAATTAAGTGAGAGTGATGAAACTTGGTGTATAGTTTCATTACATCAATACCTTGCCTAAGTTCGATGATGAGAATTGTCTGTTTAGGCTAAGGAGCAATAAGCATTTTGATTGGTCAAGACTTTGGAACATAACAACTCTGCTTCTAACTTGATGTTGATGTTCGTCTTGACCGAATTTAATGATTAACATATCGAGCTAAAGCTAAGCAGAGATAAGCAATTTCCTTGGTCGATGCTTTTGGACAAGATAACTTTGATTCTATCTGATAGAGAGTGATGAAACTTAGTGTATAGTTGATAATCAGTTTGATTGCTCGATACTATTGAAAAAAATAGATGTGCGATTAATTAATATGTGTCATCTATTAATTTGGGGATTTCGGCGGGGGACATCAGCCTCACTGTTGGCTTGTTCATTTTGCTATTCTATAATTGTCATATTTATCGATTCTGGACTAATTTCTACCCACACAACATGTTAAGGTTGTCACTGACTCACTTTAGTGGTAGCTGTTCAGATTCATTCAAATAAAGTTGCTTGACCCAATAAGGGTAGAGTCTCAAACTTTTTTTTAGCCAACGGCACACCTTTGAACACAAGAAAAAATAGTGGCACACCTGGCTAAATATATATGAAATATGAAATTTTTTTGAATTTTGCAAAATAAAAACAGGCGAGTCAAAGACGGCATACAACCGTAGACACAGACTAGTCATAGACACATAGAATGAATCAAACTAAATAAAGAAAAAAACAGCTATGGATTTACTTTATTGCAGTGTTTTGAATTTCATCAAATAGCTGGCTTCTTTAGTGAGAAATTTTCTTAGTATGTTGTTCGCGGCACTGGTTGAGAATCACTGCTGTAAAAGGTCACATGCAGCCTATCTTATTGTTTTTCACAACTTTCTCAGAGAGAGAGAGAGAGGGGGGGAGGGAGGGAGAGATAAAGAGAGAGGTTTTATATCCACTTGAGAAAGAGAGAGAGGTTTTATATCCACTTGAAAACCAGGTCATTTTGGGACTAATATACACTTTTATTTCAATAATTGGCTTGTGCATTAGGGGTCTTTAGCAGTGGGAAAAAACCCACTCCTTGTCACGTACTGGATTGGGATCGAAACAATGCCACTTGTGACAAACCTTATGATCTGAAGCGAACATATTAGACCACTCCCCAACCCTGCACAACTTTGAGAAACTTGCACATTCTTTTGCTATCTACATTATTGTAGATGTACATGTCATCAACTCTAGTTATATCTTTTCAAAAGATTAGATATCAGACTAACATTTGACACCAATTTTGGACATAAATGTTTTAGTGTACAGCATGAGACTCTACGCTTAAGGAGCAAATGTAAGTTATCTTATAAAAATGGTTGGACCCGCAACTAATTCTATTTTTATACGCCCACATTTTCATGAGGACGTATATTGTCATCGCCCCTGTCCATCCGGACGTTTTCCATCCACAATTTGTTTGTGGACACTCTACAGGTCACAATTTTTATCCTATTTTGACGAAACTTGAAATATAGTTTTATTTCCCCAAAATCTTGGTTCCTTTCGATATTGGCATGTACGGATCATATCTTCATGGATTATGGCCCCTAATTGTACGAAAAATCATGTTTTTACCTTGTGGACCCTCCATGTCACAATTTTTATCTGATTTCAATGAAACTTAAACATGCATTATGCAAGAGCTAAATCTGCCTATTGCAGGTCTTTCTTTAGGCCTAAAATGTTATCTAAATTATTAATTAGACATTAATTAACATATCCAGACCATAATCAACTCTTGATGGCATCGCTAGCCTGCGATCTTTAGTGGATTATGAGCCGATTTACTACATAACTTTCCTTCACGATTTAACGATTAAATGGATAATCAAGACTATGCTGTTTATCATACTGACTTTAGTATAATGATCAAGGCTAGCCGGAAATTTCAACTGCTTAGTTCTCGATTCATAGTGGATCAATTTGAATGAAATTTTCAGCAAATTGCCTTTACTTTATCAAGTTTTTATCTATTATAGTGAGAACTGCCAACTCGTTATCGAATCTCCCATAATGTATCTTTAAACTATATGATTTAAAAAAACGTTTGAATATCTTACCTTTACACCATAATGATGGTTGAGTTTGAAATTCGTGAAAATCAGACAGAAACTGCTGGACAAAATGGCCTCTCCCTGTACCCAAATAGCGTTAAAGTATGTAATATCAAGGTTGTGGACCCTCTAGAGGTCACAATTTTTTATCCGATTTTATGAAACTTAAAACATGTGTTTATATCCCAAAGATCTCGGTTCCTTTTGATATTTGCACATATTGGACCGTCAGTTCCTGGATTATGGCCCCTAATTGTACGAAAAAATCGCAAATTTAGCTTGTGGATATCTAGAGGTCACAATTTTTATCCGATTTTAAAAATCGTTTAAATATATCATCGATACGCCCTGATGATGTTTGAGTTTGAATTTCGTAAAAATTGGACTGAAACTGCCAGACATAATGGGCACTGCTTGAATGCAGATAGTGTAAAAGTATGTAATACCAAGGTTGTGGATCTGCTAGAGTTTTTGATGAAACTTAGAATATGTTTTATTCCGAGCATAACTTCTTGATTATAGCCCCTGATTGTACGAAAAATCACATTTTTAGCTTGTGGATCCTCTCGAGGTCACAATTTTTATCTGATTGTAAAAGCTGTTTAAATATATCACTGTTGCACCATAATAAAGATTGAGTTTAAATTTTGGGAGAAACGAAACTGCCCGACAAAAAGGCTGTCCTTGTACACGAATTGTGTAAAAATATGTAATACGAAAGATCTCAGTGTAATTCGATATTTGTGCATTTTGTGACCATAACTTCCTGGAATATGGACCCTGATTGTACGAAAAATCAGATTTTTTTTTTTTAGCTTGTTCTCTATTCATCTCTTGGTACTAGCGTATCTTGCTTGGCAACCGCTTGTTAGTAAATAGTAAGGATTATGAATTTTAATTTTAATTAACTTACCTGACATGATCCAAGCCCATGTAAATCATAGATGCTCTAACTTGAACTTTGTAAAGGTCTGTAGAGAATAAAGTTTCTTACATATGCCACAGTGAATTTCTTATCTTATCTACTAGAATAGCATATTTTACCTAATACATGTACATGTATTTATTTTAATGAAAGGAAGATATTTGCATAAATGCTTATTTGATGATATATGAAACCCTGATATCTCGATCTATCACGCTGATTGAGAGATACAAGGAAGACCCTCGCTGACCACGCCTGGCCTCCCTTCCTATCTGGAAAGCCGTATATGCATAGGATCGGATGTAACTAGCATCCATAACGGGGACAGATCACCTCATACATCATACACCCGCCAATTTACTGCATGATCAGAATCCCTAAGATGTGACTCACTTTGCATTCTAAATTTAATTTAATTTAAACATAAAAATTGCAAGAGCTAAATCTGCCTATTGCAGGTCTTTCTTTAGGCCTGAAATGTTATCTAAATTATTGATTAGACATTATAATTAACTAATCCAGACCATAATTAGCCTGCGATATTTAGCGGATTGGAATACATTTTGTGAAGGATAATTAAATGTAAAAATGGATAATCGAGACTATGTTTTTTTTATCATACCGACTTTAGTAATGATGATCAAGGCTAGCCTAAAATTCAAAAGCTAATATCTCTCTTCAGAGTGGATCAATTTCTATTTGCGTTATCTATGTTTTAACTATTATAGCGAGAACTGTCAACTCTCTATCTAATCTCGTATAATGCCCCTTTAATGTGAGACATAAGCTAACATTTTAGTAATCATAAATGAGCCTGTAATGACTTTAGATTTTAATTGTTGAAACTGCATGTTGTTACTAAAACAAATTGATGATTTTAGTGTTTAGTGTGTTTCTTAAAATTGAGGCAATCTTGTGGTTGTTCTTTGCAATGGAGGGGGTGGGGGGAGACTGTGTGTGTCTTTGTAGGTGGGGTGGGGGATATATAGGAATATCCAGAAAGGGTGTAGGCCTAATGTTTATTAATTTGTATATGGCATCATTTCATGTGGGAGTACATTGTAGTCATTTGTAGACACCCTCTACAGGTCAGAGTTTTTGTGATTTCTTTTTTTTTTCACACAAGCTGGGAACAAAATTCAGGTCAGAGCTCTTAATATGGAGGATTGTATTGAATTTTTAGTGTAGTGCAATGGTTTTTAAAAGGTCACTGCCCACGTCAAACATTTTTGGGTTGTTCAGTGAATTAAAAAGACAAGCTGTGTTGTTTGTATTCTGAATATGGCACCTACCTTGGCACAACTTTGTGTGTCCTTCTACCATCATAACAGGTGACTAGGCAAATGATACATGCAGGCTAGCAGACACCAATTCTTTGATCTATGTAAGGGAGATAACTCTGGGTATTATTGATAGTATGCAGACCACCAAATAGTCTAACGTTGATAAGGTTTCCCACACAGCTATTAAAAGTTGAGCCTACCTCAACAGATGTTCACACTTTCACAGTGAAATAAATAGCTTACTATTTGATATTGTGTATCTATCAAATAATAAAGCACTAAAAAATTGAGTCTGAATTACACTAATATTTAGATTGTCAGCTATTAAAAGTTGAGCCTACCTCAACAAATGTTCATTGTCAAATAAATAGCCAACTATTTGATATTGTCTATCTATCACATAATGAAGCACTAAAAAATCTAGTGTTAATGAGTCTGAATTACAGTAAAATGATATTTAGATTGTCATTTGTGAAATCTTAAAGCAAGTTATATCAATTTTTATACGCCCCCATTTTCATGTGGACATATATTGGTTTCTTTCGAAAATGGCATCTATCGGATTGTAACTTCATGGCTTATGGCCCCTGATAGTACGAAAAATCACGTTTGTAGCTTGTGGACACTCTAGAGGTCACAATTTTTTTCCGATTTTAAAAACGGTTTAAATACATCACCATTCCACCATAATGAAGGTTGAATTCGAATTTCGGGAAAGTCGAAATGAAACTGCCCAACAAAATTGCCGTTCTTTGTAGAGGTCACAATTTTTATCCGATTTTGATGAAACTTAAAACATATCTTTATATCCCAAAGATCTCAGTCCCTTTTGATATTTGCACATTTTAGGCCATAACTTTCTGGATTATTGCCCCTGATTGTATAAAAAATTGCGTTTGTTTTTAGCTTGTTCTCTATCCATCTATTGCAAAATGTGGGCGTATCTTGCCTGGCAACTGCTGGTTATTTTTCAGTTTTCTATTCTATTGACTATACCGTTAAGGCCAAAGGCAACATGTTTTGGTTTAGTAGAATTTATAATTCCAAAGATCGTGCAGTCGGCCAGAATAGAAGGCACACCTTTAGAGACATCAATGGGTGTCTGCCTTTTAATTTAGGGTGTTGAGTGGTTTCAAGTGCCATGCAAGAGTCAATCCCACAATTTACGTAACATTGTAACAAAGAGTGGAAAATCTAGGTTTTCTTACTATTCTCACTTTATGATTAAAACTGTCCTGTGCACAAGCAAAAAAAAAAACCCATAAAAACCAATATGTTATTCACTCTCCTCTTTTTAATTTAGAGAGAAAAGAAAATGTAGATACAACTGTGAGTAGCTTGACCATTTTTGAAGTTTGTTCATTCAATTTTGAATTTTCTGTATTTGTATAGTGATGTGTGTGATCCTTCGTGGTTTGGTGGGCAGGGTAGTGTTAAAAATCTAGTTGGTTTATATCAAAAACACACAAGCCAGGTAAGTGAACATCGATTCAGAATGCTATTTCCATTTTGTCAGTATATTTTCAACACTTTCAGTAGATATGAATTCTATATATCGTAATAGAACAGTGTTCTTCATGAAATTTGTTAATATCTGTTTGGAGCTTAATGCATAAGGAATACCTCCTTTGAAGTTTTTTTTAGGGTGAATCACAGATTTTCTTGACTGATTTCACTTTGAGTGTCTAACCTTGTGAATGCTATACAGTACAGTTCTTGAAGAAATTAATGGGAAGGTTTAAAAATTGTGGCTGGGATTCATATGTTTTAAAGCATATAAAAGGGCTCCAAATGCCCTTGTGAATATTTTTAATTTGTATGAGCTTGATAATAATTATATAAAACTTGAAATTATATCTTACAAGTTGGTGAATATAGCACTTATTTTAGGGCTATTTCAAGTAATGTAACTACAATATTTTTTAATTTGACGTTTTTCAGCATTTTTCTCAACAAGCCATATTACATGGACAGAAAACAAATGCAGATAAACAAACTTTTAATAATAGTGCTTTTGATCTGGTAAGTCAGCTACTACATATAAGTCCAGCGAGCCGGCTTGATGTAATGATTACAAATATGGTAAAATCCCTGGTATTTTACTCAGGAAATATTTATGTGCATTACTTGATGCAAAAAGTGATGTAATTTTAGCATCTTTTATCCTATTCTTGGTGTTGCTTGTTGAATTGCATTTCATTACCCTGTCCCTGGGCTTAGGGACTGTGGTATCATTTTTCTGCAACATACAAAATTTTTATACTACATCATATTTACGTTGCACGAGAATCCAGTTATAACATTTTTTTCAAACAAGGGGACAGAATTCAACCATATTGTTTATACTCTAGATCTAGCTCACATAAAATCTAGCCAATTTGATTAATATACGCTATTTTATTTACCAATTCCACCCTCTGTCTTCATTAACCTTGTTGATAAACATGAACTTCAAGCCCATACTTTTTTTTTATCTCTTTACTATGGACTCTTTAATTATCCCTTCATTGTTTTATAAGCCACCACAGTATCCTCGGCCTTCATCATTTAAAAGTTTACCAGATGATTCTGTAACAAATATATATTATGCAAGAGCTGCTAAAACAAAAGGTATGTTTACTACATGACTAAATTTTCTGATCATGAAAATATATCTTCATTTTGCATGATGGAATATCATGAACTCAATGGGAATATTTTAAATTGTAAATTTAGAACTTGTTTTGTGGAATTTTCTTACAAGTTTTATTCTGACTAGGACACAAAGAAAATACTATCAAATTTATAACTTAATTATCTTTCTATTCACAGTTTGATTCTTTAAAAGCTTGTGAGCATGAGCACATAGTTTTCAATGAAATTTAAACAACTTGGTGGGACTGTTCAGTGGGGAACAGGATGGAAAAGTAATAAAACTAAGAATGTTTATGCCAATCACTGCCACTTAGGTTTAAAACACCTTTTGCTCATACAGTTATCTTTCGTTATACATTTTGACTCCTACTAAAGTTTGAGTCGTTTGGATGGGACAAAAAAAACTGAGGTGCTGTGTACACATTGGTGTGTAAAAAAATCCCTTGACAGTTGGAATTAAAATTTCCCTCATAGCACACTGCATCTTGTATGCCTGTCTTCATTACCCCAGTCAGTGCAGAAAAGTAGGATGTTAAACCCCATTTCATTTCATTTCTAAAATTTGTGAACACAAAATACCCTTGACAGTTGGAATTAAAATTTCCCTCATAGCACACTGCATCTTGTATGCCTGTCTTCATTACCCCAGTCAGTGCAGAAAAGTAGGATGTTAAACCACATTTCATTTCATTTCTAAAATTTGTGAACACAAAATACCCTTGACAGTTGGAATTAAAATTTCCCTCATAGCACACTGCATCTTGTATGCCTGTCTTCATTACCCCAGTCAGTGCAGAAAAGTAGGATGTTAAACCCCTTTTCATTTCATTTCTAAAATTTGTGAACACAAAATACATGACAAAGTTCTGTGTGGAAATTTTATCGCCCATATTTCAATGTGGGTGTATTAATTTGTCACTGTATCAGTCAGTCCATCTATAAAACTTGGTTTGTGAAGCTACAATTTTTAACATATATTTTTCAAATTTGTTGTGAAGCTTTGGGGTAATGAGAGGATGAACCCTTTGAATACAGTCTTGTCAAATTTGTTGCTTGAAGATTACTACCTATGAAATTTATTTATAGATGTAAATACAACGCAAATACCAAAATATAAAAAAATCATACCACAAGACAGTAAGAAAGACACCCAGATGGACAATGTAGGACAATATAGTACAGATGATAGTCTAACTACATTATCTACTGGTTGCAGTTTAACAGATCCAAACAGTTGAGTTTTTTACAGTTTGTTTTTTGTATCATTTGGTGAGGAATGATTTCTTATGTTTCTTTGATCATAGCCTATCTTTTTTAGTCATGATTAAAGTTCTTGATTCAAGACAAATAAGTCTCACGTAAACATAACTATGTGAGCTGAGAACCACTTGCACAATTCTTCCTTCCATTCTTACAAGCAAATGCCCCGATATTGCATACCGGCACCGAAACAATTTCTATACATTTGAAATTTTACTATGGATTGTCCATGTGTCATTAGAAAATTATATTAGCTTAGCTTATGTTTAGTGTTTTAAGATATTAAACATATTATTATGTAATACAATTGTGTTCTATTTTTGAAAGTACAATCCATGTTTTTGTTGAGAAAAATATAGCGTATTATTGTAAAATTAAATTAATTACTGATACCTCTAAATAGACAGATGACTGTTCTTACTGTATTTGTTTAGATCATCCAGAACCACAAAGTGCGAGTAGCGTTGATTCTGATCTAATTACAGCTTGGGTAGATGATGAATTACAGAAAGTGCAGAGAGATTTACAACAAGAAGTCAGTATGTGTACTCCTACCAAAGAGGATGAAGGTAAGCTCCATTATATTAGGGTTGCTCAACTGTTGAAACCCAAAACTGAATATGCTTTGTTAGATAACTTAAACAAAGTTCTACATATTTGTTCATCTTTAATAATTCTATTAACGATACTTTCCTGCGTACAAACTATGTGATTATACGCCCACATTTTCATGTGCACGTATTATGCCATTGCCCGTCCGTCTGTCTGGATGTCCGTCAGTCCACAATTTGTTTGTGGACAGTATACAGGTCACGATTTTTATCCGATTTTTACGAAACTTGAAATATAGGTCTATCTCCCAAAGATCTTGGTTCCTTTCCATATTGGCATGTATCGGACCATAAGTGCATGGATTATGGCTCCTGATTGTATGAAAAGTCACGTTTTTAGCTTGTTGACACTCTAGAGGTCACAATTTTCATCTGATTTTAATGAAACTTAAAATGCATGTTTATAACCAAAAGATCTTGGTTGTTTTTATTATTCGCGCATATTGGATCATAACTTCCTGAATTATTGCCCCTGATTGTACGGAAAATCATGTTTTTAGCTTGTGGTCCCTCTAAAGGTCACAATTATTATCCGATTTAAAAAAATGTTTGAATATATCACTGTTACACCCTAATGACGGTTGAGTTCGAATTTCGTAAAAATTGGACCAGAACTGTTGGACAAAATGGCCGCACCTTGTATGCAAATAGTGTTAAAATATGGTATATCAAGGTTGTGGACCCTCTAGAGTTCACAATTTTAATCCGATTTTGATGAAACTTGAAATTCATGTTTATACGGTAACAGATCGTAACTTCCAGAATTATGACCCTTGAATATATCACTGTTACACCCCAATGACAGTTGAATGTGAATTTCGTGAAAATCGAACCAAAACTGCCAACAAAATAGCCAACCCTCATACGCAAATAGTGTAAAAATATAGTATATCAAGGTTATGAACCCTCTAGAGGTCACAATTTAAATATCACAAAGATCTTGGTTTCTTTCGATAATCGCGCATATCCGAACGTAACTTCCTGGATTATGGGCTACGATTGTTCGAAAAATCACACTTTTAGCTTGTGCACCCACTAGAAGTCACAATTTGTATTCAATTTTAAAAAACGTTTCAATATATCATCGTTACACATCAATGAAGGTTGAGATCGAATTTCGTAAAAATCTGACCAAAACTGCCAGACAAAATGGCCGCTCCTTGTACGGAAATAGTGTAAAAGTATGTAATGCCAAGGTTGTGGACATTCTAAAAGTCACAATTTTTATCTGATTTTGATGAAACTTAAAATGTATGTTTATAATCCAAAAATCTTGGTCCCTTTTAATATTTGAGCATATCAGACCGTAACTTCCTGGATTATGGCCCCTGTTTTTACGAAAAATCACGTTTTTAGCTTGTTGACCCTCTAGAGGTCACAATTTTTATCTGATTTTAAAATACTTTTAAATGTTTCACCGTTACACCCTAATGACAGTTGAGTTCAAATTACTTGAAAATCGGACGATAACTGCCCCACAAAATGGAAGCTCCTTGTATGCAAATTGTGTACAAGTATGTAGTATGTAGGTTGTGGACCCTCTAGAGGTCACAATTTTTATGAGATTTTGATGAATCTTAAAATATATCTTTATATCCCAAAGGTCTCAGTCTGTTTCATTATTCGCGCATTTCAGACCATAACTTCTTGGATTATGTCCTCTATTTGTATGAAAAATTACGTTTTTCATTTTATCTTGTTCTCTATCCATCTCTTGCAAAATGTGGGCATATCTCGCCTGACAACTGCTGGTTTGATGATATATTTGGACTAAAACATATTCAAACTACTTAATCTATCAAAAATTTGCTTCAAACCCCTCTCAAACCTTTGTATAAGCGGGGAGATTACTGAAGCTACAAATAAACTGATGTTAGAGGCCATGTCTCTCCTCTCGCTTCTTTGAGTGAGGGTTCTTTTTTTCAGAATGTATTTTTCTTTACTTACTGTCCATTTACCATACATATTGAGGCCTAAGTAAATTCTTGATTATTTTCTGTCAATTACAGAAACTTTTGTACCTTGACATCCCTCAATGTTGCCCAAACCTGCTAACCAGTTGATCAAGAAATAACAACTGCTCCCTCAGTCAAGCTAGCACACAATAAGCTGGCAGACAAGTCAAGTTGCCAGTTAGTGATACCCTGACATATTTACCCAGTACTTGCCCCATGGGTATTTTTAGGGTACTCCGGTATTTTTCTAGTAAGATTAAGATTGGGTGTCTATACTTTCCATATATACCAAATTTACCATACTTTTATTGGAAATAACCATCCGATAAATACTTTCGGGACAATGCATCTTTAAGCTATCATGTCAACAGTTAATAATTGTTTATTTAAGATGAACGACCAGCTGATCTATTAGAAGAAATAATGGACGAAGTCTGCAGACCTAAATTTGAACAATATCCTGCCAGTCGTAATGATAGGAAGGCAAAAAGGGTACTTCTGTTTTATAGCAACCAGAATGTTGTTTTAATGTGTTATATTTTTATACGTCTTAAAGTAGCTAAGTCTCTAACTCAATATCATCCAAAGTCTTACACGTTGAAAATACGAATTATTTGTCAATTCAAATCAACATTGAAGTTGTGATCTTACCAGGAAAAGGCAGGCTTCTGATATCCAATATTTAAGACAAAAAATAAACATTTTACCATTGGTACATGAATCGTGTACCATAGTGAGTTTTAGCATCATTTGCAACAAGTGACCAGAAAGAACGAGGCTAGACATATTCAACTGGAGAGCCTGTTCAATAGACTTGAAATTAAGAGTCAAAACGGAAACAATTAAATGTAAATCAGTTTATATACAATCAGCTTACATTATTAAATGTGTTGCGACCCATTTGGGTCAATTGCTAGGTCCCAAATATTAGCGATTTAGCTCCTTTAACTTTAAAATATAACTATTTCTTATATTTTCTGTAATCAAGACCTTGGACATAATGTCGTGAGTATAATACATTCCTCTCCCAATATGCTAAATCATGATAGGTTATATCAGTCTATATATGGTAGCCATGGCTATACTATGTAGTTAGAAGAACACTGAATTTATAGCTTACTGGATAATATATACACTGTCTGGAAGAAGTAAATCCAGAATTGAAAGGTTATAGAAGAAATTTGTATTCACAGCATGGTGGGGGGGGGATCAAGTGCACTTTAATATCGCGATACTGCAGAGATATTCAACACCTTCTGCACATATTTCAAGAATGAAACGTATGCTTTTAACAGTAGAAAATCTGTAAATAGGCGAACAGCCTTCCCAGATTTCTATCAGCTACTAGTTTCGTTCTATTCGAACTCTTCAGGCTTGATTGAGGATGTGCGGTTGCCCTCTTTATATAGTCGGTGGGGACCGGAGTCAATCTTTAACACCGGAGTCGATTATTCCAAAAATTGTGCAACGATATTCGGCTAAGAAAATTGCCGTCGTAATTATGCATATTTGCATAGACTCAAGGCTCGAAACCCTTTGGACTTTTTAGTTTAAGGTTTTTTTACACTAATGAGGGCTTAATAATAACCCTATTGGGTTATGGGGGTGTATGCGCCATTTTTTTTATTTATTAGTTTTCACTGTGGGGGTACCACAGCTAAAATAATTGGGAACTTGTCCCGGTTTTCATTCTCTGCCCTGAGTTAGGCTAAAAATTATGCTACTATTTCGCATACTTTGAAAAGTGTCTCTTGGAAAGTCTTTTTTGGATTCTACAAGGAGCTCACAAAGTTGCTTTTGTGTTTATCGATTGAAAGGTTGTAAAAATACCTAGTCTTCTGCAGCTTAGTAATAGACTATGAAAGACATAACCAAAACCTTCTCAATTTTTATCTTAAAAGAGGCTATCCACACAAAGATGTGTCCGATAATAAGAACAGGGCAAAATCTTTAGCCAGAAAAGACCAGTTAAGCCCGACTACGGCTACCATTTTAAAAAAACGAAAATCACTTGTTTTTATAACGGATTACAATCTGACTGCCGTTCATGTTAGCATGCTCATAAAAGAGAAATGGCATTTATTAACCGGTTCGGATATGTGCCGTTCTATCTCAGACATTAAACCAATCACAGCGTTTAGGAGAAACCCTAATTTAAAAGATACGCTAATGAAAGCGAGACTCATATACCCACCGAGGAATCCGCAAACTAGCGGAGTCACGGTCCAAAATCTATTCGAAAAATTTATCAAGAAAGATTGTGACATCTGCAACAAATAAGACCAAAATAACTACTTTATTAGTAGTAAAACTGGTAAGAAATTTTCCTGCCGCACTAGCTTTAATTGTCTACCTATTAACTTGCTTCCTTTGTAAAAAACAATACATAGGAGAAAGCAAACTTGCCTTTTCAAAAAGAATAAAGGAACACTACGCAGATATTAGACCCAACAGGCCAAAACCGGTCGTAATACATTTAAATGGACGTACGAGTAGAAATGTTTTGATTAAAATTATTGAGCTCTTTAAGACTGACCCAGATAATGGCAAAAATGATGCCACAAGAAAAGCCAATGAATTCAAATGGATTCACACTTTAAGAACTTTCGCACCGGATGGCATTAACGATAAGATGTAGTCCCGAAGGGTCCCCCACTTTATTGTTTACAGAATGGGTGAAAAACTGCTAGTGGACTGAGATTGTCTGATGATGTTCCTGATAATGATACATGCATAATGATAAAATTACAATCGATGAATGAATTTGTTTTATATTAGTACACAAGAAAAGAAGATTTAGATCCATTTGAAGATGATTCAGTAGATGACTGTAGGAATTATAGTTATACAGATAGAAAAAGATATAAAGAAGATGATTTCATATTACATAAGCCACGGAATAGTCATAATTATAGTGATGGAGAACATAGGGCTTATTATGATATATTTTCTGATGGTTAGTATTTTATACATTTATTCTATAACTACATGCAAATAAAAGCAAATATCATTGAATACAGCCATTGAATAACCTATGGTTATATTCAATGGCTTTTACACGTACTACTTTTGTCCAGAATGACATCAATTTCAGAATTACGTCAAACTGTAATGATGTCAACACTAGCAACCACAATTTTTGTAAAAAAAAAAGAAAGAAAAAAGGGGGAACCTTTGATGAATTTTAACGTTATTGGTGATTTTGTTTTGGATAATCTAGATAGTACAGTATACTGTGTTATAGAATAAAAACAGAACTCAAAGATCATTGAATACCGCTCGGGTTATTCAATGGTTCACTCGAGTGTATCCCTGCCGCTAGCGCTCATGGAATACTTGCGCATGGATACACTCTCTTAAACCATTGAATAACCTGAGAGGGGGATCACGTGGCTAAGTGGGTAAGACACTGGCACGCTAGCCTGGAGGTCGGGTGTTTGATCCCGGGCCTGACAAGGACAGCTGTCTAGTCGTTTGGATGGGACGAAAATTCGAGGTCCCGTGTACATATTGGCGTGCATGTAAAATATCCCTTGGCAGTTGGAATTTGATATAAGAGTAGGGCGTAGTGCCGCTGCCTGGGCAAAATTTCCCTCATAGCACACTGTATGGCGTATGCCCGTCTTCATTAGCCCAGTTTAGGAGCAGAACAGTAGGACGTTAAACCCCATTTCATTTCGAATAACCCGAGCGGTATAGTTTCCCCTTGTCCATTTGTTTAATTGTAGCATCTGTGTTTACAGAGTTTAGAAATAGTTTGGATTTAAATCTTGTGAAGTCTAAACACAAGTTTAACAGAGAATGATGATTTTTATTTCTTCAGATAATTACTTAGATCTTCCATCAGTTCAGGCCAAAAAGAAACCAAAAACAAAATCAAAACGAAACACCCATACAAATACAGAAAGTTATATGGTAAACAATAAGGTAAAATGAATGATGTATTCACATATGACATCTAAGGTTCTTATTGTCGAAGAAAGCAGGGGACTATTAAAATGGGTTCGTCTGTCTGTCTGTCCATCCGTCACACTTTTTGGGACACAATAACTTTCCTTCTAATTGAACTAGAATGGTCAAAGTAGGTGTAGGTGTTTATTAGGTTTGATGGAGTTTGAAGATGAGTATTTTCTGCTTAGGGTAAGCAGAGATAAGAAATTTGATTGGTTGATGATTTTGGGACACGATAACCTTAGTTTTGATTAAGTGAGAGTGATGAAACTTGGTTATAGTGTCATCACAATACCTTGACTAAGTTCGATGATGAATATTTTCTGCTGAGGGTAAGCAGAGCGATAAGCAATTCGATTGGTTATAGTGTCATCACAATACCTTGACTAAGTTCGATGATGAATATTTTCTGCTGAGGGTAAGCAGAGCGATAAGCAATTTGATTGGTCGAGACATTGAAACACAATAACTCTCCTTCTAATTGAGGTAGAATGTTCAAACTTGGTGTATGCATTCATTAGGTGAATGCATTGATGGAGATCAATGATGAACATTGTCGGCTTATGGTAAGCAGAGATAAGCAATTTGATTGGTTGATTTGGGCACAATAACTTTGGTTATAATTAAGTGAGAGCTATGAAAGTGAGGTAGAATGTTTTAACATGATGTAGATGTTCATTAGGTGAATGTCTTGACCTGAGTTCAATGATTAACATTTCCCGCTAAAGCTAAGCAGAGCTAAGCAATATCTTTGACTTTGATTCTATGTGATAGAGAGTGATGAAACTTAGTGTATAGTTTCCTTAAATGACATTTAGAAGTAGAGGTATAATATTCATAATAACACAACTTTATGGATTTACTACTTCTTGGTTTATTACATGCAACGTTTCAATACTCTTACAGATATCCTTTATCAAGATACCTGTAAGAGTATTGAAACGTTGCATGTATATAGTTGATAATCATTTTGATTGCTTGATACTTCTGAAAAAGATAAACGTGCAATTAATTAATATGTGTCATCTATTTATTTTGGGATTTCAGCTGGGGACATCATCCTCACTGTTGGCTTGTCACTTAGGGAATATGCCCATGTCTCACTTATATTTATTTGTAGTTCAAAACATACTGGGCAAATATGATGTTGGGCAAGCGACCCTACTCCTTGTAGACCGGAGGCTCAGTGCGCGGGGGTGTCCATTACACACTAAAGATTGGTGTGTTTGAATCTTGTGAAAATCAAACCGAAACTGCCAGACAAAATGGGCGCTCCCTGTACACAAATCAGGGGCGTGCTGGCAGGGAGTTTAGGAGGACGGTGTCCTCCCAGGCCCCCATTAAACAATAAGTCCACCCGTATAAGCGGGCCCCCCTGAGAGCTCTAATTTTCACGCGGAATCCCCTCAAAAAATTGAGAGTGCGCACGCGAAAAATCATACATACACAACGATAGCATAATTGCATTTCCTGCATTTTTGTGTTAGTATCATGTCTCATAGAGACTAAAGATTCATACATGTATTCATGCCTCGATATGTATAAGATGCAATTTATTATTTGGATAGAAATACATTGTATTAGCATTATATTAAGCAGACCTGTCATGAGTGTCTTGTGTAGTACAGTAGTATGTCTTATAGTCAAAATAGCAGCATAAATTTGGAAAATATGATACCTAGATTTCTCCCAGAAAGGCTTGCAAAACGCGCTTCCTGTTGTCAAATTTCAAAAATTTTCTGGGGGGAGAACCCCCACAGACCACCCTACCAGCATGCCCCTGACACAAATAGTGTATAAGTATGTAATATTAAGGTTGTGAACCATCTAGAAGTCACAATTTTTATCCGATTTTGATGAAACTTAAAGCATGTGTTTATGTCCCAAAGATCTTGGTTCCTTTTGATATCTGTACATAGCGCACCTTTATTTCCAGGATTATGGCTCTTGATTGTACGAAAAAATCCCTATTTTAGCTTGTGTACCCCTCTAGAAGTCACAATTTTTATCTGATTTTGATGAAACCCTTTTTAATCATTTTTATTTTCAGTCCAACTCTACCGGTTATTTGACAACGGTTCGAGTTGAAACAAGTCTTCAACATCCAGGACACCATTTTCTAACTCATACCTCTAAAGATCTGAGTACTGGTAAAACTAAAACTATTCATTCTGAAGAAATTACAGCTGACAGAATTCAATCGAGTATAGGTACTGAATAAAAGAACTAATACAGCCCTTAGTTCTGAACAAAAATTATATAAATCATTTAGAAAATAATATGGATGAAAATATTTTAAAATTTTGATACTTCCAAACTGTTAAGAAACATTCATTACATAAGTTATTTATGTATATTTTATTATAGCAAGGAACAAATAGCATAATGATAATTTGAATCAAATGTTTATTGATTGTTTTTTTAGAATATTTTGTTTAAAGTCATCTATATTGTATATCAGGAACCCAGATTTTTTAATGAGAAAATTTATTCAAGATTTCCATGCTTACACCATTTAGTGGAACAAGCCCCTGAATCTTCTGTTCAAGTTTTTCCAATTTCTTGTTCATTTTTGGTTTGTTATGTTTGTATATATTTGAAATGTTGATTTTATTGAGATTATGTTTTACATTCCCATTGTATATTCATGTTTTATTAGGAATTTTTATATATTTAAAATTGTTATTATTGTGTGCTGGCGATTGAGGGTAATTTTAACTTGTGTACATTATATAATTTGTAAATAATTAGTTAATTTTTAACTGTTTCTATCTACGCCTACATTTAACGTGGTTATAAACAAAGTCACGAGTATCACATGACCATCTTTCATAATTTGGACATATCTTGTTGTCACCTTTGTCCAGCATCTTGTGACCCCTTTTAGGTCAGAGTTCATTACAGATTTTTTTTTTAATTTCATAAGGATTGTTTATAAGGAAGACCCTATCAAAATTAAGTATTCATATTTAAAGCTTTTGGACATGACACAGGACAATCTCAATGGAATGGTTTAAAACTTAGTCATATTAATCATTTGGGCTTTTTGGAATTCAGATTTTTTAAATTTTTAACATATCACAGATTTAGTCCCGTCATTTAGAAATTTTTACAACTCAGCAGGAATATTTATTAGATTATTATGAAGAGCCCTGTTGATGCTCTTAAATTTTCAGGTCACAAATTTCAAACTCGTTGATAAGCATCCGTCCATGTTTAAGCTTTAATTAATATTATACAGACACATTAAAATATGATTGTATATTGTTGTCACTGTCACTCTTTGTTCACAATTTTTCAATCAAAACTGCATTTATCATACAATCTTTGAAAAAATTTATAGATGTTTACATTATTAAGACAAAGAAGCCAATTGAATTTAATGATTTATATCTTCAGTTGTTATAACCCTTGATCACTTTGTAGAATCTTATAAATGCTCCATATATCCCTTGATTTGTCTCAAATTTGAAAGCCTTATTCTGATTACTGGGATATATTGCCCTTAATTATTAATGCTGCAATTTATTGTTTTACAGTATAATGATTTTGTTTTTATATGCCCACATTTTCATGTGGACTTATATTGCCCTATCCGTCCAGTCTAAAGGTCAAAATTTTTTTATCCAATTTTGACTGAACTTGAAATATAGATTAATTTCCCAAACATCTTGGTTCCTTTTGATTTTGGCATATATCGGACCATAACTTTGGGTTATGGCCCCTGATTGTAGGGGAAAAAATCAAGTTTTTAGCTTGTGGACAGTCTAGAGGTCACAATTTTTATCCGATTTTGATGAAACTGGCCCCTGATTGTACGAAAAATCACATTTTTAGCTTGTTGCCCCTATAGAGATCACAATTTTATCCAATTTTACAAAATGTTTAAATTTATCACTGTTGCACCCTAATGACGGTTGAGTTCAAATCGGACCAAAACTGCCTGACAAAATGGCGACTCCTGTATGTAAATAGTGTAAAAGTATGTCATACCAAGGTTGTGGACCCTCTAGAAGTCACAATTGTTATCAGATTTTGATGAAACTTAAAATATGCTTACCTAAAGATCCACAATATAACGACCTTTATGAACTACTCAGACCACTTATCTGCTATTGGTGTATCTTATTTTGGATGGTTGGATGGTGTGATTTTGATTCCCCGGTTGTACGGAACATGGGTTTTCTCTGGTTCCACCGGTTCCCTCCCACTGCTAAAGACCCTACGCCCTACGCGCAAGCGAATTATTAAAATAAAATTGAACCATGTTTTAGTAGGGTCGCCTGTCCAACCTCGTGGGTTTTCTCCGGTTCTCTCCCACTGCTAAAGACCCTACGCGCAAGCGATTTATTAAAATAAAATTGAACCATGTTTTAGTCCCGAAATGACCTAGTTTGTGTCGAGTGGACGTTAAACCCCATTTTTCCCTCTCTATCTCTCTGTATCTTATCTTAATTTTATTTTTTTTATTATGAGTATTTTTATTATATATAAATATTATTTTACTGTTATTTTTTTCAGATGTTACTTTAGAAAATAATTGGAGAAATATAATTTTACTTTGTATATATGGAAATTGTTATTTAAGTGTATATATTTGCTTTGTTAATGTTTCTTGTTAGTTAGTTTAACCTTTATTTTGTTAATTCTAGTCATCTTATTTATTTTTAGAAAAAAAAAAATATTTTAAATATGTTACAAAGTTCTTATGGAATAAAAATGTAATAAAACTTATAATGTCATTTTTGTGTACATGATTCACCATTTGCCAGTATGATTCCAATACATGTATTATCCTTGGGGGGGGGAGGGGGTAATATTGCCACTATGTTGCTACATTCTCTAACCATCAGTTTATCTTTCCCAAAGTAACATGGACAGCGTGTTTTCACATTCACTTGTAGTTGTATTCGTTATCTGCATCCTGTTTGTGGTGCACAAATTTAAATAACAAAGCAAAAGTTGTCCACTTTTTGTCATGCCACAAAATCTCATGTACATGTATGCCACTCCTGATGAAAGTTTCATAGTAAAGGATTTCAGTTTCTTGTACACTGAAGCCATGTGGTCATTGTTCAGTGCATTGAACCAGCTGGAGTAATTTAATTGTATTTCTCAACAAAAAAATATTCAACTGGAATACAAAATAAGTTATTTGCTTTGCAGTTTATGATATGGAATATAAACAAACAAGCTTGTAGGTCAACTTGAGCTACACAGGTTAAGAAATTTCTTCATGAATACGGATTTGGAATCACAAGATTTATTTGATGTCAGTGGCTTCTTATTTAAACAGAGACTGTCTGATTGTACACATCTATAGTTTTGGCCTGATTAGCTAATGGTTGACTGTGGCTGGATACTGTTTTACTCTCTCTCTCTCTTAAGTATGGCTACCCAAATCAGACCTATAGCAGGCAAAAACAATAATTTTGGTATACCTTTTATGTCAAAGCAGTTAAACAATAACCTACATTTCAATACTTAATATTTACATGTCTTTTTCCCAACATCACTTCACTCCAGATTTCCTGTATTCATTATTCGGTTGGTTAATGACATCCAATTACATCAAGATTTACCCAAATAATATGGACATTGGCCTTGAGAGATTATCTGGTGAATTCCCATCACAATACCATTTTAAAATGTAAACAACTGGCCTTGAAAAAGGTAAATGACCAACATGTTTATGCCAAAGATAAAACAACCTGGCAGTTTCTCTATTTTCCCCTATAGGTCTTTCATTTCCCTTGTATTATGTGACATCTAACTTGTTTATGAATTTGGAACAATATTAGGTGGAGACCATAATATTGTTACATGGATCAGTGAGGTTGGAGAAAAACCAAACTAGCGAATTAGAGATTATTTATTCAAATATGATTTACTCTATGAACGTTACTTATCCGATTTAATAATTTATAAATATAGGAGATCATTAACAAGATTTGGGTATTCAAATCATGACTTGGGTATCAAATAACTTAGCCAGAGAAAACAGGATATGTAGGCTAAATATTGCTAGTCCATGTTATAATGAATGTCTTTATTATAATTTTAGCTCCATCTTACTTCCATATTATCAGAATCAGAAACCTTATAAAACGTGTAAGTGTATTTTTATAAACATATAGGGATATATGTAAATCTTTAGCAATGTTTATTAACAGTCATTTCTCCAGTAGGCTAACCAGTATTTCTATGAACAACAAAATATATATTTTAAACAACTTATTTTATTAAATACAACAAACAGATATACTGAGGTGCTATATATATATGTAAAATATACTATACACATGTTGGTATACAAATGGAATATGAACAATTAAAGCACCTCTATCCTTAAGTATATCCACAGCATTATTATAACGGAATATAAAAATATCCTTTGTGAAATGTATCATATAAATACTATACCTACATAAAATATATGTACATATATACAAATTCATTGTCTTTCAGTAATTGTGCAATGGAATACTTACAGTACTAACTGAAAGACTATTTGGTTTCAGTAATAATTAGAATACAATTTTTTAAATCTTTAACTTGTTCTACTTTATTGGAGTGTAAATATCATAAAGCCGTTCAGAGTTAATGATACATTCACACAAAGTAGACACCCAATCTTACTAGAAAAATACCTGATTCCTTGAAGAACCCATGGGGCGTGCAAAAAATGTGAGGGTAGGCCTATCCCTAAGAAGCAGCCTGTGTCCTCAAGCAAAGTAAGGAGTGCTTCTTATGTTATGTGTTGAGTGAATTCAATGGCATAGGATAATCCAAGAATTTGTGTTGTTCTTAGTGTTTAACGTCCGCTTCCACCAAAGGTGATATCACAAACAAGTCTTATTTTTCTTTCCTGTGGGAGGAAACCGGAGTACCCAGAGTAAACCCACAAGGTTGAGAAGGCGCTCCTATCTCCAAGCCACATACGCTCACACCAGGAATCAAAACCACAGGCCGCAAGCCAGAGGTGACTGGCCAGCCAGATGTCGAATCGTGGCACTCTAGACCACTAGGTCATCCCAACCCCCCTCCAAGAATTTACTTAGGCCTCAGTATTTATAGTAAAATGGATTCTCCCTCAATCAAGTCCACTGATAAACAAGGATGGTAAAAAGAGATTCTTGTGGCATGGAATACTTTTCTTCTTATTAACATGTTTTGAGAGGAATTTGAATCTATGATTTGATAGATAAAATAGTTTGAATATGTTTTTAGTCCAAATATATCATCAAATCACACAGTTTGTATGTGGGAAAGCATCTTTAAGCCTAATCATTGTTTTGGAATATGAGAGATAGCAAGTTGGATGTTTGTTTGTAGATGGATAATATATCTATGATTATACATTAGAAATAGATACTGACATATATTTCTATGATTATACTGACAATGTTGTAAGTTGCTAGGTAGAGCATCAAGACTTAGTGTGCATCTATGTAATATTATGTAAAAAAAACTGTGATAAGAAAAAAATTAATTGATAAAATAATAAATGATATAACTACAAAAAATGTGATATAAATAAACTATGACATTCAAGACTATAATTATTGACATATTTAATAAACAAAAATATAATAAGAGATAGGTTCGACTCATTTGGAAAGAGTTTGGTATATTTACAGATTAATTCCTTGAGTTTCACTTAAGCTAAAAGTATATTTCTTATGACCTAAAGCAGGCTCAAAATAAATAAATAAAAATACCCCATGCTGTTAACTATAAATTTTGCAGACCACTTGTTTTCGATGAAGAGTCAGTTAGTTGTTACTCATGTAATGACAGTATTTTTAGATTTGGAATTAAATAGGATTCCCAAATTATAGCATGTAGTTTGCAGCAACACATATATTTCTCCCTGTGCTTTGGATATATTTTAAGAGATTGAACATCTCATTTTATCCAAAGTGATGAGTGATATGGGGTGAATACAAACCAAATGATGGGTTATTCAATATACATCGAAGTGTGGATTGAAAAATTAAGGAGGGTAGCATTAAATTTTCAACAGAAAAGGGGCCATGTCCTCTATACAGGAAAATGTTTAGTACATATATTTATTTTTTTTTCATTGAGTTACTTGCATCAATTACCCCTCCTTGTTAAAGGCTTTTCACAATAATTTATAATTTGTGCCTAATTAAGTGTAAATAGTCTTTTTAACATTCCACCAAAACATGATAATAGAGATCAGACAAGACTGCTCTATGAGAAAACTCATGTTTCAGTGGTTTAAAAATATAGACTAGAAATAAGTACAACAATGACAATATTTCAATTTAAATGCACCAAATATTTTGATTAATTTAATTTTGAAAAATTAACTGGTATTATCATGAGATATAGACTAACTTTAGACTATCTGTTTTCTTTTTTCCTTTTTTTAAATATGATATACTCGTAATATACATGTACAGGAAACCCCTCAAACATTTCTGACCGCAAATTGTGATAAATGATTTATTTTAGAGCTAGCATGAATGAATTTGCTCACAGTAGGGGAATGAGAAGCCCCTGTTTATTATTTCTTGGAAGTGAGTTTTAAATAGGAATGTGAACTATTAATCAAGGTACATATTATATAATGCTGACTGCCCAATGTTGAATACTTGGTAGGTTAATAGGTTTCAGATGGTTTATTGATTCAAATAAAAGATCTTACTTGTCAAGTGATTATTTAATTGTCAATAATTATCTTGTTTTAAAAATGATAAAAGTTTTGTAATATAGTTATTTATGAATGTTGATTTATTATTAACATTTTGCCTAATTTCAACTGTCATGAAACATTACTTTATTTTTGGACCAATGAACCTATTAACCAATCACGTCAAATAACACACTTTTATGGTTATTTGATTATGTTCCAAGTACTAAATGCCATTCAAAGAATAAATCAATCACATCATTAATCAATCTTCAGATTACTGAACATATGGCAGTAAAATTAATTAATATGTGTTATATATTTATTTATAAAATAACAATTAAAGATCCTAGGCAGTATTTAATGGTGAATAACAATACAAATCAAACCATATAAATATAATATATAAAATAACAATTAAAGATCCTAGGCATTGTTATTTTATAAATTTTATATATATATAAGTAGAAATAAAACTTTTAGATGTTGAATATATAATAACTATTATAAAGTTGCCATTATACTGTAGATATGCACCAATAAATCAATCATGCATTTTCATGCAATCTGTAAATTGATTGCTTACATTAAAAACAATCACATACACTTATAATAATTACTTGGTTGATTTCAGATCTGATATGGACCTCCTTTCATTCATTATATAGAAAAACAAAATTATGTCATCCAATGAACAGTAATTTTTATTTCTTACAAAAATATGCAAAAAATCTATTATTTGGAACCTTTTAAAACCAACAAGCAATAAGTGACCACAATTTTTGTCAAAATTTTATATGGTGCTTTATGTGATATTTAAGAAATTTTGATTTTTCAAACACCCTTGTAAGATTTGTTTACTGACTATGAATTTTATTTGGTAGAATAAATCATGACAAGTTTTCACTAAATAACTTCTCATTGGTATGAAATTCATTTTTTACACCATAATGAAAAAATATTTAATTATTGTCACTAACCAAATGAATATTAGATTCACAAAAGGAAAACATAAAGGAAAACATAAATGAAATGAAATGAACGTCATACTTTTCTGCAGAAAGAAAACATAAAATCTGAGACATATTAGTATGATATTAGCAGTCAGGTAAACACATATATAACCCATTTGCTTTTTATGGTATACATCAACGTTTTTGAATTTGGAAAATATACCATGTACTGAATGTCAATAACAAGATAAAAACATACAAATAATATTCAATCATCACAGATTTATTTGCTTGGAGTACATTACATGCTGATCCCAGAGTGACTGTTTAAAGGAGATCCAATCGGGGAGGTGGTTGTAGGTGATGACGGGACTGAAACATTTTTGGGGTTAAGAGTTTCCACTATTGGTGATATTGCAGTCCACACAAACGCTAACTGAAATACATAACAAAGTTTTTAAAAATGTTAGAAACCATTATAGCATGAGTAAGAATCTTCTTAATTACTTGTTCAACAGTGCTTTAAAAAGTTTATAAGTTTAGCAAATACAAATCAAATATTTTAAAAATAGAAACTAATGTAAAACTTAAATGGTCATAAGTTATATTAAAACTGATAAATAACTGAATATTGGACTATTGTGTTTTCTGGCAGGAGTATTTTTGATAAATTTTATATTTGAATACTTTTAATGGCTTTTTGTCCATCAAAATTCAATGTCATCTCACCTCATTATGTGCTTTAGCCTCTACTTCTGCCATTGAACTCAGGACTTCATAAAATATGTCTAAATTACCATGTATTAACTGAGTTTCCATTTGTAAGCAATGAAGAGAAAAATAATTTCTATTTTCCATATTAGCTATTTGACTTTCTTGCTGTAAAGAACATAAAAATGTCATTTTTGATGCTACCTCAAAAAGTATTAGTTGATTTAACATATACTTATAAATAGCTTGTAACAAAACACAAAAGAAATATTATTGTTGAAAGTATTAGTTTTAAAATAACTGTCTGGATAGTCAAAATATCAACTATCCTGAAAGTTTCAATATTATATTGTTAATTTGCTTAGACAGATATTCAATGTACATTAAAACAATTCTGGGTCCACAGATAGATACAGTTTAAGCCAAAACCGAACTAATACAGAACCAAAATTAGTAACCTAACATCCACTTAACATTTTGACACATAGATTATGAAAATTGTTACTTCAAACACAATCCTGTAAGATAAGTCACACAATTAATACATTACTGCAAAATATATTAAATTGAACATGGCGTAGGAAAAAAGGAAAGCAATTTAAGGATAAAACAAGCAAAAACATAGCAAATAAAAAAATTAGACAAATAGTTATAACTGACACTATTATTTCAAAGTTTGTTGTACATGTACATGTGTATTTAGTATTAGTTGACTTACATCTAAGATTCTCTGTTCAAGTTGTTCTACTGTACCTGTCTGTAAAACAATCATTATAAACGAACTCCCGTAAAATAGCAATAAATAATTATATATATTAAACTAAATTTACATAACAGAAGCTTTTAATCAGGATGGATAAGGGAATTTGTCCTAATATATAAGCTAAATGGATTGCATCAATATTTAAAGGAGTTTGCTAGGTTATGTGCAAATTTAGGAGGAATGTATACATTTTTAGGATAAATTTCAAAATTGTTGTTTCCTCTAAATTTACAACTTTAATTAAGTGGAAACCTCCTAATGAAAAGTTAAATAATCAATTTGGATCAAGTCTTGAAAAATTAGATATTGTCTGAAAAATGCAATCATGGCTTTAATAATTCATTATTACTAAATTTAATGAATTAACTTCAGTTGAATAAATACAATTAAAAGTAAATTTTGATTTTCCTTTTTAACATTATATCATTATCTATAAATCATATACTTCGAGATTTTTGAAAAACAAAATAACAGTAATTTATATTGTGAAATGTGCCGAAGTGTGATATAAATACCTCTGCAGATCCCTGTACAGTAGCTGACATCTTTTTTTTCTTATACTGACCCATTTTTTGTATAGCCCTTTGATGATCGTTTAATACTCCTTTCTCATGTCGATCACATAAATCCTTACAAAAGATAGAACTTAGTACAATTATTTATATTAGACTATGAACATAAAGATACATTGCCAGGCAACGAAACATATGCCCACAGTAGCTAAGTAGTCTGGGGAGTCAACAAGGGTTGTCGCATATTTTATTCTTTTGTCAGAAATGAAAACATTTCCAATACACTCAGATCTGAGTAACAACCCATTTGGCTTCTAGTTCTGCTCTATTTTAACATTTAGCATACAAAATATTTAATATCAATTGCCATTATCACTGAAAGTTGTTGAAAATTGATAGGTTTCTTCGTCTCACTGTATTAAATATAATGGCAATCGGATATTAACTTTAGCCTCTAAAGCATCCTCAAGATTTTTCAAAGGGATAAAGGGCACAACTTTGGCAGTAATTATCCTAATTCGTTGAAAATCAATAGGCATTTGTGTCTCATGACCTTAAAAATTGTGTCAATCGGATATTAAATTTAGCCTTTAAAGTGTCCACAAGATTTATCAAGGGCCATAACGCTGGCAGTAATTGAAAACAACAGGATTCTTCATCTCATGACCTTAAACATTGTGTATAAATCTGAAGTCAATCATATATTAACTTTAGTGTTTAGAGCATCCACAAGATATTTCAAAGTGATCAAGGGCCATAACTTTGACAGTAATTATATGCACTTACTTTATATGCTGTTAACATATCTTGGAATAAAGACAGTTTTTCTACAACACCCTCCTCTGCTTCAACAGCCTAAAATATATTTAACAAGTTTCTGTTAATTAATTCATGATGCTGATTGTTATTTGAAAGATTTTGAATTACAATGAATATCAGTAATTCAACATCTTTTCCAGATGATATAAACAAACCAGCACACCCTACGCATGGATTCAGCCATAAAAATTAGTTATTATCCCAAAAGTGCAAATGACGATCAGCAGCTTTAAATATGAAAGCAATTCCTCAATAATTCCCATCCATTGACTTTAAAAATGTATAGATACAACTCACACTATTGTGAATATTTACCTCATGGGATGCTTTATCAGATAATGTTGCATATTCTACTGATAATCGTTTGAAACCTCTCTGTAAATGAGACCAGGTATCGTTGTTGCCTGTTGCCCAGGCTGTGACAGGAGTGGCATCATTACTCATCAAACTATAAGCAAATCAAATCAACATTGTTTAAACGAATCTACTATATCTATATAATTAGTTATGAGTACTACAGTAGAATCTGCATTAAGCAGCCACCCATGGGAATTTTCACAACTGACCGCTTAACGGGAGTGGCCTCTTAATAAAATCTTGTTGCTTTTTGTGCTGACATAAATAAATCAAATAATGTGTCGTTACGCGTGAAAACAATGATCAGGTTAGTCGTTTAATAAAACAAAAGATTAATAAACAGATAATCCCGGGTTGATTGTTATTTTTACATTTCTTTTTACCTGATCAGTGGGGGTCCAGTTTATTAACTACTACTCACGGGATTAGCGGGGGTGTTACAAAGAATGACAAGATGGTATCATTCAACAATGGCCGTTGAATGGGCCGTGTTTTGTTGAATTTATTAGTAAAATAGTGACCGCTGGCCGCGTTAGAGGAGTGACCATTGAATAAAGAGATGAAACAACAGAATTTCTACGGGGGGAATTTATCGTGACCGCTTACAAGGAGATGTTGCTGAATAGGAGTGGCTGCTCATACAGATTCTACTGTATATTTATAAATTAAATCCACAGGCACAGAAATTAGACACTATGATATTAACATCAAAAATAATTAACAATTTGAACATTAAGTACCACATAATTATGTTATGTCCTATGTAAAGTTCATTGAATGGGAAAAAAAAGTATCAATTAACTTCAGATGCATGTTAGATATAAATAAGTAAAATTATGCCTACCTAAGTTCACTGCCAAAATGCAACATATCTCCTGCAAACCCTGCTGCATTAACAACCATTTTTTCAGATATGTCTTTCATTTTGGAAACACTATTATATAATAATTGTATTAATTGTTTACTATAACCTATCTGTGTCTGTGTATCTAATGGTACTAAATCCTGAAAAACATGAAGATAAATTTTATTTCATTTTATTATAAACGTTCAATTTACAAAAGGTCTCATAAACCCAATCTCTACAACCACCTACATAAATTCTATCATTTCAAGTGGGATTTCCAGGAGAACTACAATGATGACAATATATTGACAATACAACAAGTCCATAAACCCTTTTTGTCATGTCAAAAAATGTTCATAATAATTACACTTTAAGTAACCATTTATAATACAAACCTTTGCTTTACTTGCTAAATTACTAATCATAAATTCATCAGGGCTGCCTCTAAAATGATCTTTGATTTTATGCTGCATATCCTATTAAAGAAATTATGTATTTTAAAAGATTTTCTAAAAAAAAAAAGTATTTACAAAAAAAACATTCAGAAACAATGTACCGGTAATAGTAAGTGCATGAGTTGAGAACCACACTACACACAAACAAAACCAATTTGATAAGTCAAACTACACAGATATTGGAAGAATCAAACAACAAATGAAACTAAAACATCTAAAGAATTAATTATAATACGATAAACTGAATTCATTAATAATTCTGTACTTACTGTGCCGTTGTAAGTAAGAAAAAACTTTAATAATTCATCATCATTAAGTTGTGGATGTCTGGTTACTATTATTAAAAATCTCTTTAATGATCGTCTTCTCTGTTCAATAAATTCTCTATTAGCTGAAATAAAAAATTCTCATTTAATAATCTAACAACAATTTAAAAAGTGAAACATTATGTGGATTTACCAATAAGAGATATCTGAACACACTGAAAATTAAGTTTGAAAGTCTGTTGCTGTGGTTAAATATTATGAGAAAATTAAAATACCTCCCATCATCTTTTTTGGTGGTAATCTTGGAATTAATCGATATGGAAATCTTAACATTAAAAGTTCATGGAATGATATGAAATCGTTATAACGCCTTAAAACTGTTGTTTTCCAACGCTGAAATATGAAAAAAAAAAAAATAAAAATAACATAGTGAATTACAAAATAACAGGAATGAACTTAGTTAATAAACTGAAAATAATTTCAAAGGTTTATGGAAGGACATTTGTTTTATTATAACTGAATCCAATATTAACTAAGTCCTTTATTGGGATATTATCATAATTGGAATTTAATATCTTAAATAATTATACAAATCAATAATTACCTGACTGGTAACTTCATATTCTACATGTTTTAAAATAAGCCCCTTTTTTTCTGGAACTAATTCAACCTTGACGGTATCTAAATTGCACAGTTCAGAATAATTCAATCCCAGTACATTTGGATTTTTCTCCCTTCTTAATCGAATACTTGTTGTTTTCAGATCAGAAAGGTCACCAAGAGATGGTTTCGGTAATTCTGAATAAGCAAATAAAAAACATGATTACCTTTATTTGAAAATGTGTAAATTCCTTTTTCATTTCACAGAAAATCACAATCATTACACTCTTTCCAGTATTAAACAAGATTAAATAACAAAATAATTTGCAGTAAGATGTGATAGAATTGTCTACCTTGGCCAGAAAAACTTTCCAACAATTTTTCATTGATATTTTTCCCCTGCTGTGCTAAAGCTGTAAGTGCCAATGCCTTGTAAAGCCCATTTCTAGCTACAAAACCTTGACTACTATCCACCAATTCCCATATCTGAAAGTAAACAAATACATGTCATCTAAAGCTTTATTTTAGATATTCTATATCTTCCCTTGACAAAATTTAATGCAATGAACAAAAAATGCAGTATATTTGTCATTAGGTACAACATGGATACATTCAATAGCATATCTTTGTCAAATATTGCACAATAAAATAATGCAAAAAAATTATTTGCTATTAGGTACAACATGTATACATTAACATATCTATTGCCAGATATTGTACAATAAAATAATAACAATTTTTTATTTTGTTAATAAATCTCCCCCCCCCCCACAAAAACAACAACAAAAAATAGATATAATAAAAATAATCACTATCCTTGGTTATATAATTAATTTTGCAATAGATATATTTACATAGATGTTGCTGTCAATGTCATGTGCAGTGGTTTAAAGTGCACCTTGCAGACAGCCAACAATACGACGATCAGTGGAAACGCCCACAACTTTTTAAAACATCTTCTCAAAATAAAGTGTCCTTTTATTGAGTAGATCTAAATTAAATGATACTATTTTCAGTTGGCATTGTTAGTATATATTCTAAATTTGTTTAATGATGGCAACTTACCTGCATTATGGTAGTCTTTGGTAAACTTGACTTGACCAATAATTGCACAAAAAGTTCTCGATCAACATGTTCTTGATTTGGGCAGACGATGTCGTACACCTCCCGGTAAAACGGCGGAATGGACCCTGAAAAATGCCAATTTGAGTTCAGAAAACATTGACACTGCAACTGTTTATTCATCAACAAATTCTATTGTCTCATGACACAACTGTCAATCTATTACTTTAGCATGTAAACTAAGTTCAACTTACCAAAAACAAGGTCGGCCGACATTTTCTCTATTTCCAAGTCATGTGATCGAAAAATACTCTCCAACCGGTTGAACTTGATTACCGAGTTGATTTATTCATTAGTTCCCATCATATCATTCGACAGACCACCATCGTCATATCAAGACCGCATTCTGCATTCAAAGTTTAGTATGATCAGGACCGATTTACACTTTTACATTGTATTCGGTGCTTATTTTTCTAGCTTCTGAAAAAGAACTAGAATCGCTCTAACCATGATAATACACACCCATTCTGTTTCAACTCTCTATAATGTTATCCATCGGGCGTTATAAAATACATACAATAAAATGTTCTTATCGGTGATTTAAGATTAATAATATCGTTTTTCTCCAATTTTTAACTATCCATAATTTTATCAGTCATTTATGAAATCATTTAAATTTTGGATAATTATGATTTGTTGAATGTGCCATATCTTTAACATATTTCCTTATTGTCGGTCGCTTTTCTTAGCCTTGTCGGTGATAAGGATAACTTCAGGATTTTTTTATTTTTTTTTGTGTTTTGTGTAGTACATTTCGGACAGAAATGACATGTAATCTTTTTGTTTATCATCATTGCGAATATTGGCCCTCAACTGGATTCATATACATCATCGGTATGGGAATTGGGGGTAATTGAGGTCACAGGGGGAACCCAATGGTATTACTCTTTATTCAATATTAAATTATCTTTTTATTAATCTTCTATGTTTTATTTAAAACATAATGTAGGCCTATCTAGGTAAAATATCTTATTCGGCCAGTTAAAAAAACGCTAATAGATAGACCTGCTGTAGGTTCATCAAACTGTAAGCACGGATGAACATCCAAAGCAAGTTAGACTTTGTATAGATTCTCATTGGCTAAGTGTTTTGTTGGAGATTATGTATGTTTATTGATGGTTGCAATGTTTACTGGCAAGGTGCCCGTTTGTTTATTAATTGACCCAATTAGCGACACAAATAGTAACAATTTCATTCGTTTTACTTTAAACTTCAATCCTCCATCATCGGGTACAATCTAGTTATGAATCTGTGACCCAAGAACACTGGCTTTTAGCGTGTATGGGTGTTGATTGTTGTAACTAATGAAGCTAGGTGTTCAATAACATATTGACTGGTTGTGCATGACATTCATATATGCTGCTTATTGTGAGACCGGTTCAGACACGAGGACATACCTGTAGATTAGGTCTTTAAAATGCGGAAACGTATTCAGGTAATTAAGTCCTGAATTTCTTTTTATATTAAAATCTGTAATTATATATGAGTATGTACAGCCCATGATGCTTTTGTCTTAGATTCTTATTTGACAGCTTCAGCAGATCTTATCCTCTGTAATTGACATTGGTATTAATCAAATTTTAAGTTATTTATGATTTCACAAGTTGAGAAGACATTGTGAGTGAGGCATACTCTATGTTTAGAATGGATAAGATCTCTTCTGCACAAACTATCCTATTTTATTAATGCAATATAAGAGTAACCTATAATCAAATAATGTAATACAATATATGTTGTATCTACTTCTGTATTGTCGTGACAAGTGGGAAAATTCATGCTGTGACATATGTATGTCCCAACTTTGTACTTGAGTAGATAATACTAACTTGGGTAGATAATACTAGAACCTGTGCGTAATGAAAATGTCATATTGTTGATGAAATTTAAATGAATATGGAAAAATTGAAGGTATGGTAAATCTTTTGTATGTAATTATTAAATCTTATTTTCAGAATAATGATGATTATGAATCTGATGATTATGAAGAAACTGACACATTGGTATGTTTTAAGTTGTACAATGTTGAAAATAAAATTATTGTTATTGAAATCTTATTGAAATTAACTACATTAATCTTACAAACACAATACAGCTATTATCATTACAACAGATTTCTTTTATTACTTTGCATGTTTATTATATTTTATTTTTGCTCTACAACCAAGTTTTATATTTATCAATGGCATCTTGATTCTAAATTTTGTTTTACTACACCAGACGTGAGAGTTAGAGTGAGAAATGGGGTTTAAAGTCCACTCGACACAAACTAGGTCATTTCGGGACTAACATATGGTTTAATTTTATTTCAATAATTCGCTTGCGTGCAGTGGTCTTTAGCAGTGGGAGGAAACCGGAGGACCCGGAGAAAACCCACAAGGTTGGACAGGCGACCCTACTCCTTGTCACGTACAACCGGGGATTCGAAACCATGCCAGTCGAGTCAATGACAGACTTTATGATACAGCGCGTGCACGCTAACCATTCAGCCATCCAACCCCCCTACTACACCAGACAATGTTGTGCAGACTCATGTTGGTACACACTCCACCAGTTTTTGTTAAATGTTATAACTTTTTAATTTTTTCAGGTTTTTACGGCTGATTTGATTTGTTGGACATTTATACTTCATTGTCATTGTTTAATTACCACCTAATTATACATGTTAATTGTTAACACTTTTCACACATCTAAACATTTTGTCCTAGTAGAAATCCATGAGGTCTTGCAATAAGGGTGGCCTGGCAATTTACTGTAACTTGATAAACTCCTGGAATGTCAGTTGAATAAACTTAAATCCCAGAATGACATTTTGAATAGCTACAACCTAGATTCTAAAGACAGATGACTGGATCAGTGCTCGGACACTCTTGACTATACTTGTCCAAATGTAATAAGATTGATAGATTTTTTTCTCTTTAAACTAATGGTAGCATTATATTATATCTGTAAATAATTATTGGATTCACATACTTATTATCTCATTAAGGTTGCCGCGATACCCCGGGGATGGCGATATATCGCAATAATTAGGTGAGGCGATAAAATTATCATCTGGAATCTCAAATATTGTTTTATCATGACATATCGCGATAATTCTAAAAAATAATGCGATATTTTCATTTTTGATCACAATTCACGTTAAATCTGTTCAAAATACTCCAAAAATGTAGAAGAAATCAAATTGTAACAAGTGCCGATATTAGATCTATTCCATTTTCCAAATTCCACAACAGAATTTGAGACGGCCGTTTTTAACGCAAAGGACCAACTGACCAACATTAGTCTCATGTGTCAAGTACATTTCACTGAATAATATTAATCGTTATCATACACGTGTTGGCTACGCTTTGATATAGTCTGGTCCCATACCCCCACGAAGAAAGCATCCACAATATTATAATTATAAAAGATATTATAACGGTAAGGATACCCCTACTCAGAATGATACAGTTAAACTGCACGTGACAATATATGTCGCCATAGTAACGAAGAGGTGGTTTATCACTGATTACTCAGTCCTTTGAAAATTAAATTGATATTTTACATTGAAAAATCGTCAGGATAATATTTCTTTTATTCTTTAAATAAAATGGCTTCCGAGCTTGAAACTGTCAATGTCAATCAGAATATTTCGGATGACAGTTCGGCAGACTGCGAAAAACACACTGCTGCTGACACAAAAAAGAGCATTTCTTCTGTCTCTCATATAAGGATATATTTAGTTTAAAAAGAACATCCAACAAATCTGTTAACCAGATATTGAGTTGATGAATATTTAATCGGTATTCCAGGCATTCCAGCTGATCTAAATAGAAATAATACAATGATCTGAGGTGACGATACCTACAGGAATAATCTTACCACAGCATAAATATATATATGTTTCTACGTCTCACTTCATCAGTACATCCCACATACATTGCTAATCAATGCTTGATATAAAATGTAAAAACGACCTGATGCATTGTTATTCGTGGTAAGTCAAACGTCTTAAGTAGAAGACCGGGATAAAAATATACACAATGTGAGTCCTAAGAAGAGAATAAGAATCGAATATAACCAGAGACAATAATAGACAATCACAAGGCTATTAAGTTATGTACGGTAGTAAGAAGAGAGTGCATGGGCCATGCATAGGATGTGGCGACCGGATTTGACGGCCTGCTTTCCACGTCTGATGGCTGAATGGTTAGCACGTGCGCCGTATCATAAGGCCTGTCATTGAGTCAACTGGCTTGGTTTTGAATTCCCGGTTGTACATGACAAATAGTAGGGTTGCCTGTCCAACCTCTTGGGTTTTCTCCGGGTCGTCCGGTTTCCTCCCACTGCTAAAGACCCCTACGTGCAAGTGATTTATTGAAATAAAATTAAAACCATATGTTAGTCCCAAAATGATCTAGTCTGTGTCAAGTGGATGTTAAACCCCATTTCTCTCCCTCTCTCTTTCCAAGTCTGACAAAAGACCCATGGTACTACACACATTGAATTTGTTATGGACTTGATCCATTGTTATTACTGTTTTAAGGTAGTTTTTGATCAAAATATTTTATGGAGCTTTTACCATGGCACTTTTTGGGCTGGTATCCTCCCACCTAGTATCTAAGACACCTTAAGTGCACACAGTGGCATTTGCCCCCCCCCCCCCCCATTAATCTGGTCTGCCCTCTGTTTGCTCCCCCCCCCCCCCAATAATTTTAGAAAATAAAAAAAAGTATTTGTGATACGTTTCGGTAATCAATACCTTCTACGGTGAATAAATCCCACATCCCCACTCAGTCATAAACTTGCATGTTGTAGAGCATTTCCGACAGTCTATTTTTCAAAATTTTCTTGGCGAGGTCCCCAATGGACTCACTACTTTGGCGCTCACAAGGGGAATTCGTTGAGGTTTGCAAGTCCGTTCGTTTGACATTTTGTTCTCTAGTCGGATAAACTAGTGATCAAGCGACGGACGGTATCTGGTCAGATCTATTTATCTTGAGGATTGGTGCCTGACAGAATACTGTAAGACAGCATTTCCGGCAGTCTATTTTTAAAATATTCTGGGGGAGGACTCCTTACTTTGACGCTCTTGAGTGGGCTTCGTCGTGATTCACAAGTCCGTTCGTTTGACACTTCACCTCATCGATCAGTGCCTGAAATACTGCCAGGCTGCATTTCCAGCAACCTGTTTTTCAAAATTTTCTGGGGGAGGCCCCCTTCCCCTAGTTAAAGCTCGTGCCTTTGCCCCCTTAACCTTGGACTTTGCCCCAGCTTTGCCCCTCCAATCACCGACAGCTGGTACCGCCACTGAGTGCACAGCATATTGAGATGCTGTTACCTTTGCTAAATAATAGAACAGTCCAACAGAAATACAAGATAATTCATTTATTGATATTGTTGATAAATCACATATAATATTATAGCACACTTAATTCAATAGCACTGACATATGATAGCACACATAGTAGACTTGCGTAGTGTGCTGATGAACTTGTCTTCAGCATCTTCTGGGGGATGGACATGTCTGCTGACATTGCGATAATAGTCGCCAATAGTAGTGCACTTACCAGAGCATGCAGCGACCCCGCATCCCCAGTGTGTGCAAGTCTGTCAAAAACTTTGTTACGGTTGTAGAGGTACCCACCAAAAAAGACTTGTGGTGTGCTTTTCAGCGATGTGACAAATTCCACTTTCCTTAATCCATCTGTACTGACATAATGCATCTACTCATATACAGCACTTAGACCCAACACAAAACAAAGAAACATGTCAGTGCTTTGGGGTTTTATTTCAGTAAAATAATTTAAAGATTTTCAAATAAACACATCTTGTGGTCAACTGAGTGGAGTACACTAATTAGGACTGTTCCATTATAGCTATTGTGTTAATTAATCCTCAACTTGACTGTCTGAGATATGGGTGTTTAAGACATGGCTGTCTAAGTTTCGGGAGATAATTTTTTTAGCTATAACTCCAACCACCTAACTGTTATATTGGTTTCTTATTATTTTAGATATCAAGAAGTAAATCAGCTAGCAGAATAAGAACAGGTAAGTAAGCTTAGTTTATCAAAAACTCACTGTTTGTTTTGTTACGGTTTCAAGGGCAATAAATTTGAAAATTTTATTAGACTGCAATCTGTTATTCTTAATCCAAATTACAAACCATAAAATACTGAGCTGTTTGAATAAAATAACATTGATCAACTTATTTTTGTTTTCATGCTTCTTATATAATAGCATCAGAAGTATTTTTATATTTTTCTTCCATTCATAAATCTGAATGATCTAAATTATCCCAAGATAGAGACGATAAAACCCCACACTCGATAGGAACCGAAGGGCGAAAGATTTCCTATGACAGTACAGGCAAGTTTGGATCTCAGTGATGCATCCGGGGAAAGACAGGAACCAGTCCTTGTAGATATATCAAAGTAGAATATCTCCGGCAACAAACTTGACAAGACTGTGTTAGTTAATTAATGTATATATTTCCAGGACGCGTTTCGGGTGTTCACCCTTTATCAACTGTACATTAATGATTTTAATTTGTCTAAATTTATATCATTAGTATTTTTATAATCCCAGTATAGGGATTAATAATCCTCAACGTTTTGCGCATGCGCAATAATTCTATTGTCTATATATACCCGGTAACAGGATTATTTTTGTAACCAGTTGATAAAGGGCGAACGCCCGAAACGCGTGCGGAAATATATACTTTAATAAACTAACACAGTCTTGTCAAGTTTGTTGTTGGGGATATTCTACTATGATATAAATTATATAGATACGTTTTAGTCAGTTGAATTCTTCTTGTCAAGTCCCATGATTTGATTTAAAAGATATCTTTGCTTCTTATTAATTGTAGCTCCAAGAAAGAATACTAAAAAATCAAGTAGACGACCAGGTAAAATGTTATAAATAATAATGACATATGTGTACAAAAGTTACTGACAAAAATGTCAATTGTTTGTATAAGATGCATGATAGATAGATAACAAACACAACTTCTGTTATGTCGCACATTATAAGGGATATACACATGTAACGTTTTTTTTTATATTACTCTTTATACAACTCACAATTATGACATACTAGTAAATAGGCATATTTAGCTGATATAAATATAAACAGTTAATTAAAAAATCATATTATTCTATGAAAATATGCAATAAACTTTACATCTTTAATATCGTTTGCAAAGTAGGGTTGTCCTTCTGGCCCACTTTACTTTCCACTAGTTTTTGTGGTATGATAAAGCAAATAAAATGCAAATAATATACTATATTTTTCATTTTGGTAACTATTTTTCTGGAAGTAAAAAACATCTCCATGATACACAATATACTTTATACCTCTTATATAAATAGACTCACTAGTATACATAGACTCACTAATATGCTGTATATAACACACCTCTACACTATAATACACCTTACATATACTATTCAAAAAAAGTAGGGGATATTTGATTTTTAAGTGTTATTAAAGTCACCTAATGAAACTGACGAAGAAACAAATGACAAAATGAAATGAAGTTCACATTCATCGATTTATTCCAAATGATCGTTAGACTAAGTAAGGCACAGACTGACCATTATAAGGGTAAAATGATACCCGGGGTCAAACAGCAAAGTTACCACAGCATCACAACCAAGTCAGTAACGGGTAAATCTTCCTCTGTTTGCCAAACAAGCATTGATCCGACGTGGCATACTCCTAATGAGACGTCTAAGGTCATTTTGGTCCAGATTGTCCCATTCCTGTTGCAACGCAGCAGCAAGTTCTTGGACATTGGCAGGACGTTGTTGACGTTGACGTAACCTCTGTCCAAGCATGTCCCAGACATGCTCGATGGGGGAGAGGTCGGGACTTAGTGCTGGCCAAGGTAATGTGGTGATGTTCTGTTGTTGGAGGTAACCTGTAACGATCCTGGCCCTGTGACATCTTGCGTTGTCATCCTGGAAGATGAAACGGCGGCCATGACGTCGTGCGAACGGCACAACATGGACTGCCAAGATGTTGTCCCGGTAGTACTGGCCTGTAACACGCCCTGCAACAACATGTAAAGCCGTTCTTCCAGCAACAGTGATGCCTCCCCACACCATAACAGAACCACCCCCAAATCGATCATGTCTGATGACGTTAACGTCTTGGAAGCGCTCGTTTTGACGACGCCACACCCTCCTACGTCTGTCCAAAAAATCAACAGTGAACCTTGACTCATCTGAAAACATCACATTGCTTCAGCGTCGATTATCCCAGTGTTGACGATCCCTACACCAACGACGTCTTGCCTGAATGTGATGATCTCTCAAACAAGGGATCACGCGAGGACGTCGGGCGCGAAGGTGACCCCTATGCAGTCGATTCCGAATCGTCTGGCCACTCACTCTCACACCAGTGTCTGTTTGAAGACGAGCGCTGATCTGATTTGCTGTGATGACACGATTTCTCAAGGCCAAGGTACGGATAAATCGATCCTGGGCTTGAGTTGTCGCCCTTGGTCGACCTGAGCGTGGTCTGTCCTGTACAGATTGTGTATCACGGTATCTGGACCATAGCCTGTTTATGACAGACTGAGAAACATTAATCGTCCGCGCCACAACCGCCTGTGTTGTGCCGATCTGTAGCATGCCAAGGGCACGTAACCTTTCATTTTGGGTAAGCCGACGCATATCAAAATTTGTTTTCTGGTCACTAAAACAATTAAACTGATGTTTCCACCCTGGAATTCAATGCCACAATGACTGTAACATTCAAAGTCAGAGTCGTGCAAATCTTGGGTTGGACCCCCATGATGATCCCAAGCATCACCTGCATTCCATGCGGTAGCTATTGGTGCGTTTGGGCATCACATGTAACTGGAAATGTTTCTTCTGTTAGGTTCTATAGTGACTTTTTTCGTAGTCATTTGCATATTTTAGTATTATGCCCCCAAAATCAAATATCCCCTACTTTTTTTGAATAGTATATCTTACATGTATATACATGTACATTGTATTTCTAATATACTTTAGAACACACATTTCTATACTATAATACACTTTATACCTCTATTATACATAGTATCTCTAATATACATAGACTCCATACTATGATACACAATATACATTACACTCCATACTATGATACACAATATACTTTACACATCTTATATAAGCAGACTCGCTAATATACTAGCATGTTCCTGAAGCAACGACTGGACGTTGCTAGATTAATTCACAATTCCCGAACTTATAGCTGTGTTATCTACAGACATGTGAACAGTAGCATCCAATCAGATGTTGTTATATTGCGCCTTCCGCGGAAACCTTGACATTGAACGAACCTTGAAGACCAAGGAATCTGATAGGCTCACAAGCTGGGTTTGTACCCAATCAAAATTAGTGCCAATATATGCAGGGTATTACGTGAAGCCCTTGATAAGATGTACGTAGTTAAAACAAGTTCAAGCCTTCTATTGAAGATGATATTATACCCTATAACAAAGACCTCTATGATACAATATGCATTATACTTTACACATTTGATATACTTTATATTTATATTGCATCTAATACATAGTATCTCTAATATACTATGTATCACACACTTATATATTATACAATGTAATACAGAATATACTTACCACATCTAATATACATTGCTAATATACTTTATATCACACACACCCTCTATATTGTGATACCCAATATACTATACACATCCAGTATACATAGTCTCCATACTGTAATACACAATCTACTGTACATATCCAGTCTACATTCTATAGTACCCAATATACTATACACATCCAATATACATAGTCTTCATAGTATAATACACAATATACTTTAAACCTCTAATATACATAGACTCTCTAATATACCATACTTTCTATGACACACCTCCATATTATACATAATATTATGCTTTACACATCTTAGATATTATTCCTAAAGATACACATATTATTATTTTGCCTTACATATTTTGTCTATTTTTAAGGTTCTCCTAATAAGGCTCGACCAAACAGTGCTTTAGCTGGTAAAACGGGTCACGATTTGTGGATGACAGCTTTAAAGAAAAGACAAGGAGCTTGTAAGTTTCAATATAGAAATGACTGCTTTTGGGCATCACACTTGCAGACCCCTAACTTACATTACTAATTACTATTCTTGCAAGCAATCAATTTTGATCTGTTTTCTACACATCAACGGTGTCTTCTAGAAGTCTACAAGCACATTATATGAAATTGAAATGAACTGTCAATTTTAATAATGAAGGCAGTTTGTTTAAAAATCCTTTCAGATCATACAGTGGAGAGAAACGATAACATGAAATGTGAACAATTATATATGAATAAAATTTCTGGCTTGAAAAGATATTTATAGACATATCTGTATGTCATATACTTATTATGTTCAAAACTGTAAATTAATATTTAAAAAAGAATAAGTATGTTTAATAGTGCATTATGTAAGAGCTAAATCTGCTTACTGCAGGTCTTTATTTTGGTTTCAAATGTTATATAAATTATTATTTAGACATTTATTACATGACAAGTCTATAATCAACTCTAGACCATTGGATGGCAGACATTTAAATGGATTAAAACATGGTCGCCATTTAATGATTTAATTTGAAAATGGCCAATCAAGGCTAAGTCTTGAATAACAAGTCTTGTTATGATAATAAATAATCTGTGCCTCATCTTGTCAAAACTTCAAACTATTATAACTTCTCTCAAAATAAAGTAATTGGAATGAAATGTTCAGTATATTCATTTTGTATTATCTATTTTTGAATTATTGTTGCAAGTATGGCCAGCTCTTTATCTAAATCTTACATAATACATATTTAAACATTCATTATGCAAGAGCTAAATCTGCCCATTGCAGGTCTTTCTTTAGGCCTGAAATGTTATCTAAATTTTTGATTAGACATTAATTAACTTATCCAGACCATAATCAACTCTCGATGTCAGTGCTAGCCTGCGATATTTACTGGATTACGATCAGATTTGCTGCTCAACTTTCATTCATGATTTGATCATGAAATGGATAATCGAGACTATGTTTTTTATCGTACCGACTTTAGTAATGATGATCGAGGCTAGGCTGAAAATTCAATCACTAAAATCTTTGTTAAGAGTGGATCAATTTGACTGGAATTTTCAGCAACTTCCCTTTACATTATCTAGTTTTTAACTATCATAATGAGAACTGCCAGCTCTTTATCTAATCTCACATAATGTAACTTTAGTTTAAGTTAAAGCGAGAATTTCAAATTTTCTAAGAAAGTCAAAACATAATTATATTTATGTCTTTGCTCAATAGGTTATCAAATCACTATTATACGATCATGGGCATTATTTCCCACCCTTAAAAATTATGACACAGGAAATAACACAATTACCTCCCCTGTTTTGCTATTGACAACATGGGGCAGCCATTTTCGAACGTTGGAATTTGAAGTTAAAAATGATATTTTTGCCAATTTCTCAGCTGGCAATAGCGAATTATAGGATTAATAGGATTATTCTTTAACAAGGTAGGACTGTTTATGGATACCATCTATTTTAAGGCTTTATTTTAATACATTTTAAAAATATAACTTGAAAATTTGCAATTGCAACTTTAAAAGAGAGTATTTTATTTTAGTTTGTATTTTATTTCTATATTTTAGTGGGTAGTGGTTCACCACGTCATAAAACACCTATAGAATATTGGGTTGATACATTACGTAAAACTGGTACAGGTAAACACAATCTAGAATAATGATCACCATTTTATTTCTGGATTGCAATCAAAAGAGTTATTATCCTTTAAGTTATCTATATTAAACTTATTACCTATACTGAGACAATGAACTTTAAGGAAATACAGAGAATTACATTTAATTTTCTGCAGGACACACAAAAATAACAAATAATGGTAAAAATACTTTGTAACGTTATAATAAACTAGAAGGTCTGTATATTTTCATGGTTCTGGGATTTAAAGTATGTCACAGTTTTCTTGTCGTATTACATCTTGATTTAGCTACCGGTAAATAACTTCTAATAATATTATTGTGTTTATTATAGGTATCAGTACTGAGAGTTCAGGTAGAAACACATTTACTGGTCTAAAGAAAAACAATGATTTAAATATGGCCTATCATAGTACCAGTCATCATCTACGACAAATGATGGGAGTAGAAAAAGCCAAGAAATATCCAGACGCTACAAGTATATATATTTCAAACTTATCTTAAAGACCACATAAGATGAAAAATCTTAATTGCGTGTACTTATAGCCAATGGTTACTATATCTATTTTATGGCAAGTTCAAACCAATCTGATTAAAATTAATTCAGCTATTAAGGTTTAAGTATCCGAAAGCCAAACACGGTTTTCAAATTTTCAATTACATCCTTAATCTGGTCGATTGGCTGGTGACGTCACAGGCACTACACATACTATATACATTATCTATACAATATATCACTGTCTGTACAATATATCACCAGTTGACAAGTGTGTATTTGTCACTCTCAGTCCAATTAACATGTGACTGGCCTAATCATAATCACCAAATTATCGTCTTGCGTTGTTATAGATTAGACATTTGTGATTGGAACATTTTAGATTGATTTTTAAATGCTGTATCATGCCGTAGTTATATTTAAGGTGCCTTTGTTTAAATAAGCCACTTATGTGGAAGCAGACGTTAAACACCAAGAACGAACAAACGAAATAAGCCACGTGCAAATGAAGACGACCCAAGCAATTAGAGCATTTACCGGTAATTTGGATAATCCCGTAATACTTGATATCCCAAACTATTCTCTATAAGTACAGAAATACAAATGATGCCAGTCATTTGTCAATATATTCATTATTAGCTATATATAATAATAATAATAATAACCATTTCTATACACAAAAAACAACTTTTATTGTAACTCCATTTGAAATTCACAGAGAATATGGAATTTTCCGATGACTATGCATAACAATAGATTGCCCTCATTTCTCAGCCAATCATATCCGGGAATCTAATTACCATGTACTGTTCCATGCATACTACGGGTGTAGTAACAGGTTAAATTTTTGCGTGAAAATTGCATGGGATTCATGGACAGGAATATCAAATACATGTAATCATACATGGAGTTCCTGATGGTGTTTGGTGAGTGATTAAACTGATACATTTTGCATGACCACATCTTTTACTCCTGTACCGTTTCACTCGGGGAAGAGAGGGCGGGACATTATAAAACAAATTCTAAATAGGATCTTAAATTAAAATAAATTACAAAACAAATTATTCTGTAGTCAGTTGTTTTATTTAACTAGGGGATTAAGGAATCAGTCAGGCGTTAATGAATACACACACCAGCTGTATATAGGTAATTAAGGAATAAACAACGTCGTTTTTACGGGAGGTCTATATTTGCGACTTTGAGTGAAGATAGTTGAATTAATTTTAATCCGATTGGTGTTAATTTGCCGTAAAGTGCATATAGTAACCATTGGCTACACGCACCGAAAAGTTTCCTTGTCCATCTTATGTGTCCTTTAACTGATTATATGTATGTGCTTATGACACAAATCAGTCAAAAGTTAGAATTAATAGAATGGGCTACATAAATATTTGTGAACTATTAAATTTTCTTCATTTTTAAACAAAGATATTTATACTGATATTAAGATTTAAGCTATATTAGTTTGATAGCATTTGTAAATTTGTGTGATTTTAACAGGTAGGAGTGGTGCTGGGACACCAGCCTACAAGACACAAGAAGAATATTATGATGAAGTCCTAGAGCTGAGGAAGGTAAGTTTTAATTAAGATACAGTTGTCTATTTTAGATATAATAATTATGAATTTATATTTGATTTATTCTTAACACTGGATAGTGTACCATCATTTTCCCAAATATGTAGTTTGTTTATCTTGTATTTCAGCAAATAGGTAATTTAAGTCAAGACAACTCAACAATGAAGGCAAAAGTTAGGAGATTAGAAGAAGACAAGATTAAGAAGGTATTTATGCCAATCCACTCTACCAGTATGTACAGTATTAATTTAAAGACTTATTATTATGCAATAAGGGACATCTTAGTAAAAAGAAATCCTTTATTTATTACTTTATTTTTTATGATGTTTGTGTGAAATCAAGCTTTGAATGACTGACTTAATAAACACACAAACAATAAACACACAAACAATTACACAAAACAAATCTACGGACAAGACACAATATGCAGAAATCACAAACAAATGCACATATCAGATTAAGTTAGAATTGATCAGTTTGAATAAGTTTTTGACCAAAATGGTTTTTAATAAAGATATTTTTGATTGTGTGTAGTCTCGTAAGGCCATAAAAAATTTTTTTTTATGGTTCTCACACAATCCTTGGAAAAATCTGATGCAGAATGGAGGTTGTTATTTTTGCGTTTTTATTTTGTCAAGCATCATGTTTCAAGGCATTTCATTTATTTCATCACATTGTTGAATGTATGATTATCTAGTATCATTTTTGATTGTCAGTAACATTAATCAGGGATGGGTATTTGATAACTGAGCATATGGTACATTTCTGGATTCATTCAATTTATTTTTTATATTGTTACTTTCTGTAACCCGGGGAAAAAAGTTACATGCGGTAGTTAATAAAAACAGGTTGTGCAGCTCCTTTTAATTGATGCGAGAGTATCTGAGAACAAGAATATTATTTTATTTGGCCTGGTATATTTATCATGTATTCTGGCTTGTTTTAGTCCTCAACTAAACTACATTGATTTGAAAATGTTACCAAATAAAAATGTTGATTTGTGTTATTTATAGCAAATCACAAGTTTTTTTGACGTTTGTTGACAATTTATGTCCTTTATATTTCACAGGATAAAGAATTGGAAGGTCTTCTTAATCCAGCAAAGGTAGTCATTTTACTTCATATATAAATAGTAAACACATTAGGATGTATTTTATGAATTATTCTGTATAAATAGTAAACACATTACAGTATCAAAAAACCCACACAATTTCAAGGTGCAAATAATTGTAAGTTAATGATTATATGATATAAATTATTTTGTCTGGCAAATGATGCTTTGCTTGTTGGCAAATTATAATTAATATTCATAATTTGTATTTCACTATGAAATGTATCAATATATTCTATGTTCTGTTTGATAGAGTGAAGAATTAAGGAGAACAATGGGTGATAGAAAAGCTGATTCTGGTGCCGTGATACATAGTTTAAAACAAAAAATTCTTAAATTAGAAATGCAGCTAAGGGAGAAAGATGCATCACATGCGTAAGTTTATATTATCTATTTTGCATAATATTAATATGGTATTACCTGACTTTTCTGTATGTGGCGGTTGGATGGCCGAATGGTTAACGTGTGTGCGTTGCATCATAAGGTCTGTCATAGAGTCCAGAGGCATGGTTTCAATTCCCCGCTTGTAGGTTACAAGGCTTAGGCTTGCCTGTCCCACCACATTGGTTTATCCAGGTTCTCCTATGCGCAAGTAGTGAGTGAATGAAATGAAATTGAACCATGATATGATAGTCCTGAAATGACATAGTTTGTCACACCCATGACAAACTAAGGTAACAAATGTTTAAGACATCTTTCTTCTTATTATTTCTTGAACATCTGATTCCACTTCTCATGGTTGACACATGTTTATTATACTTTTTATCATATGCTCTTTTATCAGAAAACTACAAGGTGATTTAAAGGTGACAAAAATTGATGAAATGAAATGTCAAATGGAAGTCCTGTATCAAGAAATAACTCGTCTTCAGAATTCAAAGGAAACTGGCATTCCTAAATCTGCTCGGTAAGATTAATATTTGTAAATATGAATAATTTTTGCTGTGGCCATTCTGTCATTATCAGACTGATCAAACGCCAAGTTTTTCAGTAAGTGAATAAAAATACTACAATTAAATTTTCAAAGGCATTTTTTTGCCAAAGTAAAAATCACAACTTCAAAATGACAGCGTTGAAAGTGTTCAAACGAATGTAACAACTGCATCAATATGCCAAAGAGGATATATCTATATGATCAAGGGAGTGCCGGTATATGGATATTTATCAAAAACAATATGCAATTTGTCATTAAACCCCCTAAACAACTGTCAAAAATTGTGAAAAAAAAACCCCAATTTCAAGAGAAATGTAAAAAATATTGGGTTACAATATTGATAAACACATTGTTTAGAATTCATCAGACTAATTGTTAAATTTGAGTCTTAGCCTCGCTCTTCCATTTTTAAATTAAATCATTAAATAGCCAAACCGTTCTAATCTAGTTAAAATCTTGAGCATCCGATGGTATTGAGAGTTGATTATGGTCTTGTCATGTTAATAAATGTCTAATTGATAATTTATATACAGTGGACTCTGTTAAATCCGACACCGTACGGGATCGCTACAATATGTCAGATTACGCAGTGTCGGAATACTCAGTTTTCTCAAAACTGTAAGTATTATTGTAACTTCGAAAACCGGAAGTATTATTATAATGTAGCTTTGAATCCCCAGAACGTTATTCCCTTTAAAAATGATTAACCTTTCTGTACATTCAAAATTTTATTACATTAATTTTGCATTTTGAATAGGTCAAGTCTTTTGTTAATTTATCTTCTTCATCATCTTCAGTTGATCGCACACTTGTCTTTGGTGTCACACGGTTCGGATAGATCCGTAGGGTGAACAAACTTAGGTATTCACGTGCTAGGGATATTTTTACGACTGAATTCGTGGGAAAATTCGTGGGTATTCTTGAGTATTTGTCACAACTGTCTTACAAGAGATTATAAAATTATCAAAGTAATCAACAAAGACCTACGCGAGTGAGTTTTAATCTCACCGATAATTGATTAGTGATGGCTTGTTAATTTTTTGTGGCTTCACACCCACCGATTGAAGGCCGGATTATACAATGTTGATTCAATGGAAATTGTGTGACGGGACGATTAATTGATGTCGTAATTCGGAATATTCAGAATACGGATTACTCAAAGCTAAGACTGAAATAATAAGGAAATAAATCGGGACATTTCACAGAATCTCATAGTATTCAGATGTTGGATGTGACAGAATCCACTGTACCATTCAAGGCCTAAAGAAATACCTGCAATAGGCAAATTTAGCTTTAGAATAATGTATCTTTAATTTGATACTACTATCTTGGCCTTGAATGAACAATAAACTTGAAGTGTTAATGTTTATCCTGTATACGATCAGTGACATTTTATGTCAAATGAGATTAATTCCGATATTTTCAATATTTTATAATGATCTGAGAATTTTACCATCATAATAGATATAAATCAGAGATGATATGTTATGTTTTATTAGATCTGTGAGTGGAAAAGATAATATTAAAGTGAAGGCCTTGAATGAAACAATAATTAGATTGAGTAAAAATAATGAACAGCTACAGGCTGAAAACAGAAGTTTAAAGGAAGAATTAGAAAATGATAATAATGGTGTAGATGGTCATGTCTCATCTAGTAAGTATTATTGTTTAGAAATAAGCAGTTTTCTATATATTAGATATTGTACATGTAGATGCTGATATTTTATCCTACAGAATACTCCCAAACGGCAGATGTCAACATCTTTAATCATGCCTTCTGCAGTTAACCTTAGAATTCTACTGACAAATATGTTGTTATGAACTATGTAAATTCTGATGTACTCCACAATCACCAAATTAATTGTAAACATCGAATTATAATCATTACCTGTCAGTAGTGTGGAATAAACTACTGATTGACAGAAACTGATGCTTTAATTCAAAGAAACACAAGACTAAAGAATTATAAGGTTGTTTTTTTCTCAAATAGGAGATTATGAAGATATGAATAGAAAACAGTTATTATCAACTCTAAAGAAAATGAATTTGGTAAGAACAAACACTATTTTTTCCAAAAGTCAAAATTTAAAATATACACATATTATGTAAAAATCATAATGTAGATGCACATTGATACGTCAAATAGGGATATTATTGAAATTGTTTTCGTTTATATTCAGAAAATGGAGAAATTAGAGAGAAAAATAGAAGGAGATAATCTGTCTATAATGTCGATAGAAAAAAACAGAGCTAATGTTCCTGGTAAGAATTAATGGGTTATTTTTTCTTGGTGTCAATTTCTTTTCTATTTGTGGGAAGAAGCATGGTTATTTGTACTTTGTGTCAATTTATCTTATAAACAATACCTTAATTGTAAGTCGGGGATCACGTGGCTAAGTGGGTAAGACGCTAGCTCGCTAGCCTGGAGGTCGGGTGTTCGATCCCTGCATTGGCCGAGAAAGTTCATCCAGATTTTCCGGCGTGGTTCTCCCTTGTCAGTGGTGCAGAACGGAGGGGCTGACAAGGAAAGCTGTCTAGTCGTTCGGATGGGACGAAAAACCGAGGTCCCGTGTACACATTGGCGTGCACGTAAAAGATCCCTTGGCAGTTGGAATTCGATATAAGAGTAGGCCGTAGTGCCGCTGTCCGGGCAAAATTTCCCTCATAGCACACTGTATGGCGTATGCCCGTCTTCATTAGCCCAAGTTAGGAGCAGAACAGTAGGACGTTAAACTCCATTTCATTTCATTTCATTTTATAATTGTAAGTGTAGCCCAAAATAGAAATTTCTTGGATTCTGATTGGTCGAAAAGTGGCGTCAAATGAGTATAACAGTCCTCTAAATTTCCTGGATGACTCACTGCGAATGAATATTTTCTGGGTGCTATTGATAAACACCTGTTTAGAATTTATTGGACTGTTATTGTCCATTTGATACCGCTTAAATTTTTCTTTAGAGGCGCTCGATTTAACTTTAAGCGTTATCAAATGGACAATAACAGTCCTCTAAATTCTAAACAGGAGGTGTTTATCTCCTAAATGAATGGGATTTTTGGGGAACAGGCATGGCCTGTTTAACCCCACTACTAAAAAATATTTAAAAAATTGATAATAATTTTGCAATGATAATTACCAGTATATCTGATAATCTGGAGTTCTTATACATATGTTCAATTACAGGTAAGATCGATTTAAGTGGTAGTATTGAAAATAGATTACAACAATTAGATCATAGAGAGACTGAGCTATTAGATGAACTATCTAAACAGAAGAATCTCGTACAAAAATTGAAAGAAGAGAGACTATTTTATAAACAACAGTGTGAGGAGTAAGTACTATTATAATTTAAAGTAGCAAAGTCTTTAACTCAATATCAATCATCCACATATTAAAAACACGATTTATTTGTCAATTTAAATCAACATGGATGTTGTGATCTTACTGGGAAAAGATGGGCTTCTGATATCCAATATTTAAGACAAATAAACATTTTACCATTGGTACACGAATCGTGTACCAGAAAGCGTTTCGGTGCCATTTTTAACAAGGGACTCAAAGAAAGAGGCTAGACATATTCCACAAGTCATGTCAAATGGTGATGCCATATTCAGACTGTAGAGCATGCGCAATAAATACTACCGAGATAGTCTGGAATAATCAGATGCTAGCGTTTGCCAATCGATTGAGATTTCTGGCGTATTTCGCCGAACATAACTGATTTGAAATTAGAGTAAAAACGGAAACGATTGAATGTAAATCAGTTTATATACATTCATATTACATTTGTGTCAATTTCTAGGTACCAAATATTAGCGATTTAGCTCCTTTAATTAACCGAAGCTTTCTCATACTTTTCATCAGATCAATAGAAGATTAAGCTCAATCTAGTTAAAACACAGATCCTATTTTGTTTCGTTTTTATAGTTCAAAATTTCGTTTTACTTGTCTTTACTACACTTAGTACACTAGGGTCTGGAAGAGTTATCATTGACATGTTATGAATGGTGTGTGGGATTAGCCAATGAAACGGTCTGTTACGGCGAGCTTTAGGCATGTTTTGCACAGAACTGTGGGTAATCTACTAGTAACATCAATGCTGAGTGGTTAATCAAATATCCGATGTCATAGGTCAAAAGCTGCTCGTATGACCTCTGACGTGACCTATCGCTACAATCGGTCAGATCTTCATGTAGTGTAGGCCATCGAAAGTATAAAAAAACGAAACGAAATATAGATCTGTATTTTAATCAGATTGGATTAAGCTTGACTATTTGATATAATTTTATGTTACAGTGTACTTGGTAATATTTGTGTGAAAAATGATTAATAAAATAACTAATTTTGTCTCAATAGATCAAAATCTCCTGGAAGAATGACAAAAGCAAGTCCAAGACGCCCAAATACCAGGTAGCAAAAGAGATTTTTTTTTTTCTAAAAAAAAAGCAAAAAAACTTTTTAACTTTATTGGAAAAATATATGATTTTGAAAAAGGTAAGATTTGTATAGAGTTCATTCCATTTTTAAAAAATGGAGTTCATTTACACTCTATTTAAAGCCTAGCTCACAACCCGCTGTACGGGCAGTCTACGGGGGGAATATTAGTAAACCTGTGGGTGAGACTTGCGCGTCACTTGCTTGTGTATGGCACCGTAGAAGATCGCACGCAAACTGGCCGTAGAGACCTTTGGTCCTGCACATACAAAATTTTTACTTGGTTTCTTGCGGTTGGTCTGCAAGCTACCAAAGCCTACGACCTGTGCGTGTCAGAAAACGTGAAATGGGTTGTGAGCTAAAATGTCTTATAATATAATTCCAGCATCGTACGGGATCGATACAATATGCCATATTACACAGCATGTCAGAATACTCATTTGCCTTAATACAGGAGTATTATACTGGAAGTATTATTATAATGCATCCTCGAATACCCAGAACTTAAAATATGATATCGATTTCTGTACCTTCTAAATTTTATTACATTATATCAAACAATTGCATAACAAGATACCTCATTTGAAGGTTGAGTTGTTCTAACCAACCCAAAGAAACAGCACTTGTCATCCAAGCCTTACGATTGGCCAAGCTATTGACTGACAAGTTGTTTTTGTCCATGTCCTTAAAGCATCGAGGATTTTTTCACTTTTCCGCTCACAAGGAGCTTCAATTTCTCACCGGCGTTGCTACAACAAAATAAGATTGTTAATCATTCTTTTGAAATTTTACCATCTGCTGTTAAAGACCACGTAAGATCAAAAATCTAAATTACATGTATGTATAGCCCATGGTTACTATATCAACTTTACGGCAACTTCTCACCAATCTGATTAAAATTAAGTAGGCTGTTAACGTTTAAGTGTCCGACACGCCAAAACGCTTTTCAATTTTTCAATTACGACCTTAATCCGGTTGATTGGCTGGTGACGTCACAGGCACTACACATAGGATATACATTATCTATACAATATCTCACCGTCTGTACAATATAGCACTATCAATACACACGGCAAGTTGACAAGCGTCTGTTGACGGTCCAATTACCACGTGACTGGCCTAATCATAATCACCGAATTATCATCTTTCATTTGTGATTGGAATATTTTAGAGTGAATTTCAAATGCCGTATCATGCCGTAGATCCATTTAAGCTGCCTTTGTTTAAATAGGCCACGTGTCAAATGAAGACGACTCAAGAAATTAGCACATTTACCGGTAATTTAGATAACCCCGTAGTACTTGATATACCAAACGTACAGAAATACAAATGGCGCCAGTCATTTGTCGATATATTCATTATTAGCTATATATAATAATAATAACCATTTCTATACATAAAGAACAACTTTTATCGTAACTCAATTTGAAATTTACAGTGAATATGGAATTTTCCGATGACTATGCATAACATGTACAATAGATCGCCCTCATTTCTCAGCCAATCAACGCTGGGAATCTTATTACCATTTACGGTTACATGTACTACGGGTGTAGTAAATGAGGTTAAACTTCGGCACGAAAATTGCACGGGATCATACGTGGAGTTCCTGGTGCCGTTTGGTGAGTGATTAAACTGTCAATACAATTGTAAAATACTTTTATTAAAAAGAAGATAAACGATTGTTGTTTAAACGCCAATCAACAAATAATACGAGGCTACTTGATTACGAAAACACTGGTGAGCAATAATTATTGGGTAAATAATACTTATAAACAACTGATGAGTAAAACTTAATGATTTTATACAATTAATGTGTGGGTGTACGATTCTACCATTAGTTCGCTCATGAGGTATTATGCACACGTTCCACTTAGAGTGATGTCTTTGATCTGGCCGGCGTAAAAAAAGATAATTACCTAATCAACATTCTTAATCCAACTAACACTTACTGCCAACACCGACGTGTAAATTAATTTATAACCCATGCCTGTATAACTTTTATAGTCGGATTGATTAATTAATGACAAATATTAACGACACTACACTTTATGTGGAAAAGCGAAGTGCTCGCAGTAAAAAACACATAGCTGGACCAGTATATTATTTACATATTAAAAGTGGTCGTCCAATAAGTTCCATATTGTAAAAAATTAATTAAGATTACAAGACTTCAAAGTTTAAAAGTTGTAGGCAATCTAAATTGGATCTTAAATTAAAATGAATTACAAAACGAATTATTTTATTGTCAATTGTTTTATTTAATTAAGAACTAAGGGAGATTAAGGAATCAGTCAGGCGTTAATGAGTACACACGCCGGCTGTATATAGGTAATTAAGGAATAAACATTCCGAATATGCATTCGGTCACTGTGACGTCACTGGCGTCTGAGGGGATTAAGAGTGTTTTCGATAATTGGCAAAGTCGTTTTCACGGGAGGTCCATTTTTACGACTTTGAGTGAAGATAACTGAATTAATTTCAATCAGATTGGTGTGAACTTGCCGTAAAGTTAATATAGTAACCATTGGCTACACATATCCAAAAGTTCCCAAACCCATCTTATGTGCACTTTAAAGTTATCGGCAAACTTCTGTTTGAATTCATCTTTTCCCTTGAAGGTTGAGTTGTTCTAACCAACCTGAATAAACAGCAATTGTCAGCCAAGCCTTACGATTGGCCAACCAATTGACCGACAAGTTGTTTTTGTCCACGCCCTTAACCCTTGTCGGTGTATGTAGGGTCTCATATGCACATATTTTATAGTGTTTTGTAATAACTACTGGGCAATGTTTTCTGAAATTTAGTGACTTTGTCTCCTATACATTTTTACACGTAGCGAAGAGTTCGGTATTCATCTGCTTCCCACATGCAGAGTTCTGTTACATGCAAATCAGGCCCAACGCTTGAAGGGAACAAGGGGTCCGCCCCTAACTTACAACTCACAGTAAGGATTTTGCTAATGTGTTTGCTGCCTGATAACATATTGCGTATGCCAGAGTATTCCCTCTTTTAACATCTGCATGTTACAAATACCCAAAATTAAATGATGAATTCCAAATATTCAATGGTTTTTGTATCAAGCGTGAATTGCCATTTAACCTCCTTATCACATAGTACATAAAGTAGCAATTTTGAGAGAATTATTAAATCTTTTCCAAATGTCACTAAAATGTTTTAGTATAATAATTTGGTTGTTTTTCAGTTTCAAATATGAATGCAAATAAAAACTAAACCGCTGCTTTTTAATTCAAATATATCTGTACGTAAAAACTTTGAATTATAACTGGGGTCCATATGGACCCCTTGATACCTGCTATGTGATTCTCACAACGTGAACCCACAAGGGTTAAGGCATCGAGGATTCTCCGCTTTTCCGATCACAAGGGGCTTCAGTTTCTCATGATTGTTTATCGTTCTTTTGAAATTTTACCACCTGCTGTTTAAGTTATGGGCAAACTTTTGTTTGAATTAATGTTTTCGCTTTAAAATGTCGGGTACTGTAGTATGGCCAATTGTATACTTAACGGCTAATTCCTTCTGTTTAGGTTGTGGAACTTTCTCAAAATCTGGTATAATTTGCTGCTTGACATCCATTGTCAAATCTGTACGGGCACACTTTGCGGGACGATCACACATTATGAACACAATATTATAATGATACTGATTCTATTGTTGTTGTTGTTTATTACAGATTTAACGTCCAATACAATCAATATGATATTATGGACATGTTGATTTAATTAAATTATTTACACTTAAAGGGTTGAAAATTGGTAAAAACTCAAAAATAAAAAAGTTCTTGTAAATCAAAAAGTCACCTTAAAACACTCTTATAAAATTGCTGTTGTGAGAAGAGAGGGCAGGTCATCTTCTCTCTTTGTCATAATAAAAACAAGTTAAAACAGGAGGTCCAGCTGACTGATTATCCAATATTAAATGAACGCAAATCGTGTGACGGGACCGCTGATTGATGTCGTAATTCAGAATATTCAGAATACGGACTACTCAAAACATTTTTGGTTGAAGTAATAAGGAACTAAATCAGGACATGAAAATCATGACGTATTCACAGAATGTCGTAGTATTAGATGTCGGAAGTGACAGAGTCCACTGTATATGTGGATTTTTTGTTTGTTTATTGAAAGTTAAAATATCAACAAAAAATGTAATTAAAATAAAATTATTCGGTAAAATATATTTGTTGTTAGATCAGATGTCTTGACATATATTTCAAATGAATCTGTAGGGGATCTGATGTTTCACGTCCTCCAACTGGCAGACGACGATCGGGTCAAGATGAAGAAGATAGAATACGAGAAGAAAAACTCGAAAATCTGAAACAAAGAGCCGCTGCCAACAGTATCCAAAGAAACTGGCGCCGCCATAAAAGCGAGAAAGAAATTGATGAGGAGGTAAATTGTTTAAAACAGTCTCTGTTCACTGGCATCATTTCTTTCATATTTCTATTTTCATTGTTAATAATTATAGATATTTCTTTAAGAAAATTTTAATCTTTTAATTAGAAATATTTCTCTTTTTCTTTAATATTTTCTCTCTTACACTTATATATAGAAAAGACGACAAGAAAAACTTAAAATTATTCGAGAAAATATAGCTGCTAAACATATTCAAAGAGGATGGAAGGAACACCAACAAGAACAATATGTAGGCCTTCACAAAATGTTATCTCACAAGTTAAAAATTAACAATAATTCGTGCTTGATAATTTGATTGATTGACGGTAACATTAATGCATGTCTGTTGCCCAATAGTGAATACTGGTATATGAAGTGTTATGAACACCTGATTAACATGAAGCTTGCAAGAAAAACATTCACTTTCCAAATTGTATCTTTCATAGAAATCTAATTATTGCAGTTTGTTCTAACATATAACTTGCCTACAATAACAAATACTCAAACTTAATTCTTTGTGCTACTGACAAATTATAATATTAGTGGATGACATAATTTCAATTCTGTTTTTACATTTTCCTTTTAATGAGATTAATAATAATTGATTGGTGTAATAAATGAAAGTGTTGGGTTTAATATAAATTTTTCATATATTTTGCCATTGTTAAGATAAAAGCTTCACTGATTTGTTTGGGAACAGTTGATGTAAAAATATTAAATTTTTTACTCCGCTGATTTTAATCCTATAGAATATGCCCGCCACAAACCAAGATGGCACACTAGAATAACCCAACATTTCATTTTAACCATGATGCATGTTCTCCTTCACTGTATGCATGTATAATGACAAATGTGTATTTTTATACAACAAAATTTATATGTGGTTGTATATTGCCATCATCTCTTTCCATCCGTCCGTCCGTCTGTATTGTTCAGTCCATCTGAATGCCTTCCCCATTTCTTGTTGAGGCTTCAATTATGATGGCAATCTTTGCATAGCTCATTCAACAGAAGAACCATTTTGATTTTTAACATTTGTTGATAATCTTTTCCAGAGTTAGTACCTTTGTAACTAACCTTTTTGAACTTTACAGACTGCAGTTAATAACCTATCTTTCTAAAATTTATATTAAAAGAAAGAATACTATTGATTTTTTTGAAGATTTCTACAAGTGATATGGGCCCCCTTGTTATGAAATCTTGTTATTATCTTAGAGGCTTCAATTATAATATTTCTAAAATTTGTGTAAGCTCATGACTGGTGGGAAGACTCTGCTGCTTGTGGGCATGTTTCATTGCATGGCAACCTATGTTAAATATAGTGGCTATTTGCATAATTGTAGCCAATAAAATGGATTGAAGTTTTACATGACGTATAGAATCTGTATGCACAATAAAGAAATTAGACCAACTACATATAGATTCTAGTAAATAAAGCCACTACTTTTATATTTAAAGACAACTGCACTGTTATGAATGTTTCAAATTTAATGTACACAAAAGTATTTGTTCTGTTCTTTTGTTTTGTTTTATTGTGTTCTTTGAATCTATCTCTATCTTTCTACACTATTGCATAGAAGAGACAAGCCAGGCGAGTTCATGACTTTACAGAAAATAGAGCTGCTAGAAAAATCCAACATGAATGGACAGATTATAAACATCGCAGAGATGATCGTGAATTGGATGATGTAGGTTTCTCTTAAAATTTACTATTGGTGCACTCAGGATTGTTTTAAATATGCACATGCAGACATGTGAATATAAAGTTTCTGGGTGCACTTAGACAGTTATTAATTTTAAAAGAAAAGTATGGAAAATATTAAAGAATGATGTATGCATGAGTACTCAACTTTTAATATATTTGCATGGATATTTTTAAGTGTCAGATGTAGATATTTCTAATGTAGTTTGGAGGTTGGGAAATACTATAGATATATAGTAATGCCTGTTTTAATACATACAATTACTTGTGTTCTAATGTTTATGTTTCTGTTATTCAACTTGAATGTAATTAAAGTAGTGTAATTTACATTCTATATTATTGAGAGAGTCACTTGTATATTATATCTTACAAATATTAGGATAAAGTGTCATTCAAAGACAAGAGGATTTGTCACTCATAGACGTGTTCGAACCTGCAACAGTGAGAGTCCTGTCCAGTTGTACTTTCATTGTGATGTGAATTGCTGTTTTAAATTCTTTTGCACAAAACATCTTCTAGTTCTAGTGCATGATCAATGTACAGCACATTCTATCAACTTTTCATTCATTTCACAAATGCTACCTTTACAACAAAATTGTTTGAGTAAAGATATACTATTCTTTCAATTCACAAATGCTACCTTTACAACAAAATTGTTTCAAAAATGTAAAGATATACTATAACTTTAATGATAAAAACTTTTTTTTAAAAAGGCCAGTTATTTAATACAAGGTGCTTTAAATGGTCACCATGCTAGGAAACAGAGACTATCAGGCTACCAAACTGAAGACTCTACAGAAGATGAGTCATTAGACAATGCAACACAACTTATACAATCCAGTATAAGAGGCCATATGGGAAGAAAACAAAAATTAAAAACATTACGGTAAGTAGGTAGTGCATTTCTTACGGACAAGATGATATTATGAAATTTCTTGCTGTGTATTGTTTTTATATTTGTTTTACAGTGTGTTTACCCATTTATATCAATTTACATGTAGCTACTATTGAGTAGGTTTATAAAACATTTATAAAACAGGGACAGGGATTTTACATAGTCTAAGCCTGTTCCCCAATCCCATTCAGACATCCTGAATAAAATATTGTTTATAAAAAAACCCAAAAAAAACATGGAGTGAATATCAAACAAACAGCTGTTGAGTTTTCAACAAAGCACTCTAACCACTTTGCAAAAATTGTGTGCTCAGTAATTTGTGACTGGGTATCTTTTAGATCGGTACTCATCGAAAAGTTTTGACTGTGTTCTATTACTTGAAGAAGTCAGAAGGGCATATTCCAGAAAATATATATTTCCAAAGTTTGTCTGTGACCCCAATTCCACCTTTTAACCAATTTTTATATTAACTTACAATTAACCTTCAAACAAAGTATGACATGAGCATATGAAGTTAAACTTTCTTTTGTCTGCTGTACTAATTTTATCTTGGAGGTCTATTATTAATATTGAGAATATGCATCTTTTTATTATTTAGATATGATTCAACAGATGAAGAGGATTATAGAAGGCCATCATCAGGTACATTATTACTTACGTACACCTTTTTGGTAAAATTTAATTATACTATTTTTTTTACCTCTAATTTTGTTTTCTGAGACAAATGTGTGTATAATTGAAAATAAATCATGCCAGTGTCCTATGAAAAATTATTGGTCAGTATTGCAAAGTGTGCAATTCTATTGTGTAGTATTGATGATGATATTTATAAATTTCGTTTGTTTTCAGCCATGAGAAATAGAAATATATCAGGAGGAAGAGTAAGTATTTTTAACACTTACTTCTGGTAATATAAAACCCCCTTTCAAGAGTTTAGAAAAGAAAATTATTAACTTATAGATACTGCCTCATTTTATCCAGATAATGACCAGATATAAAAATTGTGACCAGTCACGTATGAAATAGCAGATCTATTTCAAACTTATTATAAATGAGATACTTTAATTCAGGGGCAAATAATTCTTATTCTCTTTAATTTTCTCCATGAACTTTATGAAAATAGTCTTGTTAGAAAGTAAAATGAAATGATCCTAGAGAATGTAATAGAAAGGAATTTTCCATTTTACAAATGCCTGTGATTGTGAACAGGACCTGCATCGTAATTTATTATTATATGTAGGTACTTATTTCTAAAGGTTTAGAACATTTTAGACTCCAATAGTAATACTTCAATTACTATAAGGAAAAGAGAACTTAGTTTTTAATTATTAGTACTTTTCACTTATCTTTACATTGTAGAGACCAAGTAGGTCACCTCGGACCAGCTATTATTCCGGTCATTCCCGAGGTTCACATAATGATGAAGATGATGACGATGACTTTTAAAATTTAGAATTGTGATATCTTTTGTATTTATATCTTTTATCTTGCTCAGGTGATTTTTAAATTGATTTTAATCTTTAATCAGCAGGTTAATAAAAGCTGTGTTCCCTTCTGTTGATCATCAGAATTGTAAATGGTGATATTATTATAGATTTAATATTTTTCCTTTGTATAAATTAATAGCTTAGATACAAATAAATCTAGAATTTAGTAGTACATATTGAGTTTTATCAAAATTTGATTGAAAAAATAATCATCAGCTTATGATTTCTACACACACTTTTCATAATAATTTATTAAATAAATGATCCAGAAAGCTTATTATTGGCTGTTTCATATGGTCTCACCACATAAATTCAAGTAATGGCTATTTATTTTCGGGAGTGTACCCCCTATGAAATCAGAGTTGTGCCTTTCTAATAAAATTGTTATTAAATACTAAACTATTTTTTTGATAGAGTACTTGTATTTATTAGTGTAAATATATATTTTAATGTTATTATAATAGCTTGTATCTATTTAATTTATATATATTATTATTTAAATATTGTAACAGCAAATATTAATTTGTATATTTGCTATGTAGAAAAAAGAATGTATCTATTCTATTAGATTCTATTCATGTTGATATTATTTCAGACTTCAGTCATGAATTAATACATGCAATGTAGAAAAAAAAATCAAAGCAAAAACAATGTTCAGTTTCGCTTATATTTCGTGAATATAGTTTTTGGCTTACATCTTGATGCATGTACTTTACTAATAATGTGCTATCAATATGATATGATTTACAATGTGTACACATGATATTTTAAATTATGAGAGATTTACTATTTAATACTACCCTGCCATATTGGTATTTTCCAATATGTTCACATTTTATTGATTAAATTGGTTTACAATGAAAATAACAATTTATGGTAGCATATGGTATAACAGTATTTTTTCTGCAACTCTCAATAATAGGCTTCTTTACATGCATCATTTGTGTATAATTAAGACAATCTGTATATTTGTTTTACTATGTATGTTTCCGTCCATGTTTGTATTATATATTTACCGGTAAATATTATAACATTTCTGTAGTTGATTATTTGTTCCTGTATGTTTATCAAATAATAATAACAGTCTTGTCTCATTAAAAGAAAACAGACTTTTTATAAATTCTTTGTTTTTCTTAACAGAAAGCTAGAATGAGGTTATGCAGGGGAAAGATAAACTTAAGGGAAGGAATGGAATAAAAGAAAAATGGGGGTGCTAACAATTAAACATATTTACTGTTTAATATACAGCTGTGTTAAGTTTACAATGCCCTCAAAGCCATGCATTATATAGTTTTAAGAGAGAAAAATGGGGTTTAATGGCCACTCGACACAATAATTCAGTAGCATGTTGGTGAATTTAAAAGTGGGAAGGAAACAGGAGGGCCTGGAGAAAATCCACGAGGTTAGGCATACAAACCTACTCTTTGTGAAGTACAAGTTTGAGATCGAAACCACACCAACTGACCCAATGACAGACCTTATATCCGTGTCCTGGCTTTTCAGAGTTTTTCATTTGTGTAACATTTTCAAGGATAAGAATGGCAGACTTGCGTGTTGGAGTGCATGGTTATGCTTCTGTAAGATAACACTCAAGGTAAAATAATCGCATTAGGGCAAGGTTCTTTCTTGAATATATACTAAACAGCAAAAAAAAAAAAAACGTCCGTACGATTTCAAAATTAGAGTGAGAGAAATGGGATTTAACGTCCACTCGACACAAACCCGGTCATTTCGGGACTAACATATGGTTTAATTTTATTTCAATAACTCGCTTGCGCGTAGGGGTCAGAATAACGCTGGCCACGTCGCTGCCATATTCTGGTCCTGCCATCTGCAGTTAATACGCAATACTAACTCATCTGTGAATAAAACATTTCTCCATTGCCTGTGTTGCCAGTTCTGGTGTTGTTGGGCAAACTGTCAACGGCAAGGGGTGAGGATCGGTCCACGGTAAGGTCTATGGCAATGGATGTTCTCTCTGGTGAGACGTTGGCGCACTGTATCGGTACTGATGGGTCTTCCATGTGTTCCCACTGTCTGACATGCTGTCTCAGATGCCTGTGTGAAGGGATTCTAGTTTCATTATGTATAACAATTGTTGTTAAACTAAATCGGGGAGATTTCGATTTGACAGTTTTAACGTATGTTTGAAACAGGTTTCAAAGTGTTTTGGTTCTGTTATGCAAGATCTTTTTCGACGTTCCAAAGTAAATGTACGGTGCTAAGACCACCGAAAGATAAGTTTTAAATGTTCCTTTTATTAATTAGAACAGGTTTCGCTTTAGTTTTTATATTTTACGCTTCCATTTTATTGCTTTAAATATTCCTAGTGCAAAAACGGAAAATTTGACCTTTTGGCCTCCGGGATCACAAAGAACAAAGGTGAATTAAGCAAGTTAACATTTTTATTGAAAGGTTGATTACTTTCAATCATTTTCAGCATTTTTCCATGATACAAGAATGGCTGCACATTCATTTTCAGTGCAAATGACCTCATTTGACCTTTGACCCCGAATATCTCGGCAAAATTTTACTCTGGAAAGGTTGGGTCTGGTTTAGTGGCTATTTGATGGACACCCCCCTGCACTCAGCCTCCGGTCTAAGACAATACATTACCATTTCAGAAGTCAGGTTGCGTTTTTAAGAACATTTCCTGGGTTCAATTCTGTGTTTGGGAAGGAGCCTTATTGCTCAGGTGGGGGGTTGGATGGCCGAATGGTTAGCACGTGCACGCTGTATCACAAGTCAACTGGCGTGGTTTCGAATCCCCGGTTGTACGTGACAAGGAGTAGGGTTGCCTGTCCAACCTTGTGGGTTTTCTGCGGGTCCTCCGGTTTCCTCCCACTGCTAAAGACCACTACGCGCAAGCGAATTATTGAAATAAAATTAAAACCATATGTTAGTCCCGAAATGACCAAGTCTGTGTCGAGTGGACATTAAACCCCATTTCTCTCTCTTATTGCTCAGGTAAAGTTGGAGATGTGGTCACAAATATACAATAAAAAGTTTTATGCAATGCGTCTTATTCAGAGTAACCTACCAACCTGACGTTTCTTTTGCTGCTTAGTATATATACTATTCAATTAAAGTATTACAAAGTTTATAATTCCCTGCTAATGATGTTTTGACAAAATACAGTTCATTCCAAAGAGTATGTCAGATACAGACTTCTCGGATCAAAGGAAATTACCATCATTATATAATGATGTAAGTGGACTTCGAAATCAATTCATGAAATTAATTCTCATCCAAAAATAGCCCCCTCTGTAACAAATGACACACCCAGAAACCTAGACCCTGTAAGCCATGAAGAAACTTTTGGCCATCACAAAGAGATGAATTAGTAACCATTTTTTGTCTTTAATCAGTTCTTGGAATTCCTTTATAATTACGAATTGTCTATACAATAATTCAAATGTAATATATCTGTCCGAACAAACCTGTCCCAATAAATCTAAAGATAACTACGCAAACCATGGAAATACGTCAACAACGCTTATCCGAAGAAAAAAAAAACTTAGATGTTGATCAAATTTAATAAGGACCTAGCATCCTTCAAGAAATGCACTTTTTATCATGTTCAAAAGCTTTTCCGAACAAATATTATATCGCTGTAACGAAAATCTTAGATTGCTGAAAATCAACGGGGTTCATCCTTTCCTATTCCAATGCTTCCACAAGGTTACTCTTCTCACAATCCTAATGTTTCACACAAAACTTGAAAAAAAAAAAAGATGGTTAATAACAGTAGTCTCTAATACATGTACACTAATAGTTTTCAGAAGGCCTGAACGGAAGGTAACAGAACACTGAATATCGATAGGGTCGTGCTCTCATGACTCCAACTCTTCAACCAAAATTGAACAAAATCTGTTAAAAACTGTAGCCTCTATTGCAGACTAATCTGCCATTGATTCTGGTTCAGTTATTACTATAACTATGATATTGTGAGTAAAATATATTTATATTTTAATACAAAACAATTTTACAAGGCCAGCCTCTTGTACGAATATTACTTAATATTAACAAAATCACATAATTTAATATTCTAATTCTATAATATATATTTAGAATCCAAAGCAGTTCACATATAACAACGTTCAGGATATGGTTCCAGCTTCACTATCTGCATCACAACTTTTAAATGCATTCTTTTGTCTTGCATGTCTTAAATATTTCAAGTCTTCCGCATATTGTTGTTCACGGAGAAGTTCTTTCCGCTGATCTTCGAGTTCACTATTATGATCATTTAAAGCCCTTGTTTTCTGGATTAATTTCAATAATTCTCTTCTTAAACGTCTATTTTCAGTTTTGATGTTGTCTGTGTGGTCTGTTAGACATTGCACTGCCTCCTAATGTAAAAAGAAATTTGATTACTGTGGGTCTGTATATGATCAAGTAATTTTACATAATGCAATTATTACCAATTAATATTCTAAAAAATAATTGAGAACTTTTGCTATTTGACTATTCAAACTTATTCCTGCCATTTATGGTTTAACATGTTTGCATGCAGACCCACCTGAGGTTCTGATCATCTGATGAGTGGTGCCAATTCTATAATGACATCAGGTTGATCAGGTGTTCAAATGCTCAGTGGTTGGTAAAATTCTGTATGAAATAAAAGATACCTACTTTATTTGCCTTTTTCTCTAAAGTCTGAATTCTGCTTGTAGAATCATCCTCATAATTTCTTTTTTTCTCCAGAAAATTTGCCTTTAAATCTTGAATTGTTTCTGAATGTTTCACCCTCATTTGCATCACTTCCTTTTCTAACTCTTTTATTTTGTTCAACTGTTCTGTTTGGAGATTCTGTAATAATAATATAGATACCGGTACTTAAAATTGAAAAAATGGTAGTTTCAATAATTTCTGTTTTTAAGTACAAAATTACCTCATCATATAATTTGATGAGTAACGTGACTAAGTCATTGTGTTGACCACCTGAAGATTGGTCAGTCTATGATCATTGTCAATGACTTTACTGCGGAATGGCATATGCTAGATACAAGAAAATAACACTTTTTGTTATGTGACATTAAGCTATGGAACAAGCTGCTAGTAAAATCTTAGATGGATACATTTAAATCTTCCCTAACACCATTTTTATGAAAAGAAATAATTGATCATGTGCTGTATACATGTATAACTGAACTCAGTCCGCCATATTTTATTTTCTCTGAAATCTCCAATTGTATTCTGACTGGCCTTGCAAAGTTTATTGAAGATGTACGTATCTACGGTAAGGTTGTGATTGAAATGACAATATGTACCTTATATTCTTGAAGATCTGTTAGTTCTTGTGTTGTTTTCTCTGATAAATGTTGTTTTTCTAAAAGCATGCCCTCTAAAGCTACAAAACAAATTACACACAATTAATGTAATGTTGCAGGTAGCACAAAGGAATCGTTTATACTTAAAACATATTTTATTGTTCAATAAACAACTGGATAAAACACAAGTTTTACAACTTATAAAAGTCTTCTCCAATACATATATTACATAAATGAACTTCTATATATATTAAATACAATTTTCTATTAAATAAGACATGAAAAGCAAAAATAAAAAATAAATACTGGTACATGTAAATATATTGTGAGGTGACAAGCAGAATGATTATTTAGGTACTTGACAACTGAGGTCTAGTCTTGATCATCCATTTTATTGTTAATTTTTATATCTTGTGGGAGTTCACATCCATTTGAAACTTGGCCATCCGATGGTCTAGAGAGTTGATTATATACTTATGTGAATATTACATTTGAAGCAAAAAAAAAGACCAACAATAGGTAGATTTAGCGCCTACATAATGCATCTTTGAACATAATAGTTGATAAATTTAATTGGAACTATAATAAATCTCATTTCGTCAAAGCACATAACCCACAGGAGGTCAGTGAGCCACCGATTCGCCCTTTCCATCTCACCCAATTACATGTGTCTGATAACCGAATATTCGAGAAAAAATAATTTTCTCTGTTGAACTTTTCTCAAATTATGATAAATTACCTTTTTTCTTTTCATCATATTCCTCTTCCATTAACTGTTTTTCAAGTTTAATATTTTTTATTTGTTGTTTGTTATGATCACTTAATGTTATTATAGTTGTTTGGCGTTTACTTGTTTTTTTTTCTATATAACTCATATATTCATGCTGGAAACAAAGACAAAGAAATGTTTTTCCTACACTGCATTTTCGGATGCATTTTAATTCATAAAAAATTGAGTTATTATGAATAGATACATTATTTGAGTAATGAACACTTTTCAAATGGCTAAGTTTGAAAAAGTATAATTAATGAAAACTAATGGAAATCTGCCTTGCCAATCAATAATAATTAATGTGAAAGGATATACTAATAGATAAACATAGATCTCATTTAATTAATACCAAACATGCAGTATAATAGAGTTATGAATGAAAATACGTTTATAAAGTTCTTACGCTTTCAACTCTAACTTTTTGTGCTTCTTGTTGCAACCAATCATTTTCCATTCGACTTTTAACGTGTGATAAGGATAATAAACTTTATAAATGTGTATCAATGATTCATTTTTTTTTTAAAATACAAACAAGCCAACAGTGAATAGATTAATTAATAGCACATTTATCTTTTTATCAAGCAATCAGACAGTTTATCCATATTTAAAAAGCAGTAAATCCTGATGATAGAACATAGTCATGGTTTAGACGTATTGAAACTATACACCAAATTTCATCACTCGACACTCTCCCTCAGTTAGAATCAAAGTCCCAAAGCATCGACCAATTAAATTGTTTATCACTGCTTAGTCTGAGCAGAAAATATTAATCACCAAAAGGCTGGGGACAAAAACAAATACAATTTAGTAAACAGTCAAGAGGATGGATTAATTGATCTCAACATTAGCAAATTTAGTCTAATAATAGTATGGATGAATTAATTGACCTCAACTTTAACAAACCAAATATAAACTTGGTGAATTCACATATAATTGACTTTTAAAATAGGATACAGATCCTCAACTCTTTTCTTGGCATTGTCCAAATCAGATGACACTTTTTCCAACCTGAAAAATACAATTAATATAGAATTATATATAAGAAATTCTCTGAACAAATTTCACATCAAAAGCAACTCACTATGCCCAGTTTGAGGCATGCATTACAACAATGCAAGTGACGAAGTGCTCAGACATGAATCGAATTTAACTTTTTTTGAGGGGTAATCAAGCAGATTGCAATAGAAATTATTAGTCTGAAATATGAAATAGTATAAAATGATGCAAAACGCACAATTTAACTTTTAAGTATAAAAGATCATAAAGAAATATAATTAATAACTTTATCTATGTATTTATATATTATCTGTATAGGACATTCAACAAAACCATTCCATGAGGTGGCATATTGCCTGTACAGGTGTGAAAATGTGTGTTTTCATTTTCAATTTTAAAACCTGAATGTACATTTTTCTACTTAGAAATCATCAATATTCAAGGTAAATTAATTTGCCTTATGTCCAAAGCATGATTTCGGTTGTTGATAATAGATCTTGGGTGAACATGCATGGATTTCATGACTTGCATGAATCTTCTTACAAATCAGGAATGGAAATTCACACAAATATTTAGCGCTGCCAAATAGTAAGGTTTAACATTACAATGTCAACCGATTTTACAGAAGAGAGCTGCCTTATCAGATAAATTTCACCTATCATTGATCTATTTTTCTTAAAAAATATTATACACAATAGCTCTGGGCTAGTTCTAATAATGTCATCCGGCACCCAAATGCTAATTTTCACTTGTGGTTTTTACACCCAGGACAAACAATGTTGGCCTGGACACTGATATTAAGAGGAAACCATATGCTGGAAAATCCTGAGGTACTTTCTTGACCAACATCTGTTAAACACACCGAAACTGAACTCAGCTGGACCTACTGGTTAGTGTACAAGCGTTTTATGTACGAGCCACTGTGTCTCAAGATAAAAGATGGTACTATGTGGATAATATCATACTTCAATAAGTAAAACTTAAAACCGTCAATTTTTTCTTCAAAACACAATTGCTTGTTATTTATTACATTTCTGCCACACCCAATTACAACTAATAATATGTAGAAGTAAGCTAGTTATACTATCTACAAGAATGTAGCTAAAATCGTTGAGATATAAGCTTAGTGTACGTGTTGTTTTTTTTATAGCTACAATTAATGAATTATTTAGATGCCTTTAGTTTCACCTGGCAAACTTAACTTCTTTATTATTTATTAATGCATGCAACATCTTAAAAATAAGTTAATTTTATACTATTAGTATTAGAACTAATTAAAATACCCGATCCGATGTAGTGAAAATTGGGCTGTTATTCATTCTCTTGTTTATCTGCAGATATTGTCAGTAAAGTTAATCAACAGTGTTTCTAACAGAATTGATATGGCCATTCATAATTACAGTGCCTTAACCATGCGCGACAAGGTTACTCTACTTGTCGCATATTGGCTGTTGTACACAACATATATCTCCGCCTTCATGACGTAAAGGTACGTCATACCTATAATTCCTTCTAAAAACATTGGAATTTTTGCCCGGGCAGCGGCACTATGGCCTATCCAAATGCCAAGGGATCTTTTATGTGTACACCAATGTATACACGGAACCTTGGCTTTTTGTACCATCCAAACGACTAGACAGCTGTCCTTGTCATGCCCACCATCCTGCACCTGATGAACTTTAATTCTCGACCTATTCTGGGATCAAACACGTGACTTAGTCAGCACCTTACCCACTTAAACGAGATGGTTTTAATATATTATTATTATTATTGTGTTGTAATATTTAATAATTTAAAGTAAAGATCACCAAAAAGACTTGCAAACATAGCTTGATTGAACAAACACATACGATTGACCAATGTTGACAAGATAAGCTTATATGACACATGGATGGAGTAGGTTAAAGAAACCAGAACAAACCATCTAACTCTCTACTACTTACTCTTCCTGCAATAAAATTTCCTTTTCCGTAGGTTCTGGAGTTTTGGGTTTTTCATTTGGAGGTGTTGCAGAACCTTTCCCCTTTTTGCCTTTCTTTCCTTTTCCCTTTTTCTTCGGCGGCATTTTATTTAATTAAATAAATAAATAATATTTTTTAAATTAGTGAAAGAGACGTTTATAAATGATTGAAGTACTTTGTTGACGTTAAACTAATGTTCTGTGGACCTAAATGTTAATACAATGTAAAAGCTGACCTAATTAATAAAAGCGTCCTGTTGTTATGACAATACCGGAAGTGCAATTGTAGAAACTTATTTTCGTACAAATATTGAAGTATTTTTGAACAAATTATCGTTCATAAACATGACAAAAACGTTATATTTATTAAGCATAAGATATTTTTTGTTGTTTCAGGAGAAAATAATATTTCATACAAATAATAGTATCGTTTTCAGATTATTAGTTCGAAAACATAACTGACATATTAAGAAAATGGCAGCCCCCGGGAAAGACGAGTCCACAGATGCCAAAAGTAAAGTTTCCATGCACAGTGTAGACGTTTTGTCTCCGGATTTCGACCCACTGAGTGCCTTATATTCTCGTGATGTAGTTATTCCTTATCCAGAAGTCCAAGTATTTAGCACTCTGTCTGAATATGAAAAGAAGATGACAGCAAAACCAAAATCCACCCCAGAAAACCCGCAAACCTCAGGCTCTGCAGGTGGCACAGCAAGGATGCCTAAGAAGGCTCAGTTCAGACAGGAGGGTGCAGCTCCAAAGGCTATGAAGTCCTCATCAAAGGAAAAGAAAATTTCAAGAAGACCACCAGACGTTAATATTCTAACGAGAATGGAGAAAAGTATAATATGTAGTGTCATAATAATCAATCACTGACACATATAATATGTAACAGGCATTGCCTGAGTAGAGCGAAGCTGATTATTGTCAAATACAAAACCTTAATAATTAATTTTCTCAAGTGATACAAAAAATGTTAAATAATTTAGTTTTTCAAAATTGATTTTTATTTAGATCTAAATTTTATACATTAATTTTGTTTTTAAAAAAAAGAACAAAAAAGTGTGAGAATTATTTTCATTGACGTAAAAAATATGTGACGTCATTGATTAGACGCATCATAGAAATAGTTCTATGAGGCGCGTAATCTCGCTTGGACGAGATTTGGTAAGTTGACATGCGCATTGCCTATTTTCTCCAGTGTATCCGGTTCCGGTCTGAATTTTTTCTTAATCAACAGTCTGTGGGTGACATTTTCAATTACGCTCCTGTGTTACCGGAAAAGAGCTTTGCTCAAGCGCTCCGCGCGGCGCTTTAGAGCTTTGCTCTATATAATATATAATATAGGTGATACTCGATTGAACATTTCAGAATTAAATTCTTTCAATTACAAAAATAGTGTCAATCGAGTGAAAAGTAGAATTTCGGAGTACAGCGCATGTGACGACAGCATAAAATATATCTCAATCATGACAGCTGAAACATATTTGTTACTTAAAATACATCACGATTCTACTCACAACACCTCAGCAGTCGGGACTGGCAGAACTGTGACAGCGACATAGCTGAATTCCATATCACTTGATTGTAAATTCTGTCAATTCGGGACCTTCCGGACTGACAATCGAGAACCCCGTCAAACACTTGTTTTAAAAAACATAAGCCTACTCTCAGTATATTCCTGTGAACTTAAATATTTCTTGTACGGTAACCTGAAATATTGTCTGTAAATGATGGTTACATAAATAGTAGGTCAAACTTGATAGGTATATCTTTAATTTGTATAAAACGTTTAGCTTTAGGTCAATAGATTTAATTTGTTCTTTAAATTTGGTCATTGTCATAAATTTGATATTTTCAGACTTAGCAGCTGTCTAATATTTCAAGGCTTAAATGTACTCAAATTGATTATTTAACATTTAATTAAGAAAACAATATATCAATGGTAGATAATCTCCTGGCTTGATTTTAATGGGATTAAAGAAGCTTATGCAAAGATTTCAGTGAATATTATAGGTGGCGCTGGAAGGTTTAAGTCATATTATGAATGAATGAATGAAAATAATTATGCGCCGTTTCCAGAAAGCTGCTCAACCTATATATTGTCTGCAGTGGAGACAAAATTTCCAACTCGTTACTCATCATATCTTTTAAATCTTTGATGATGTCAAATGTTTATAACCATTTTTGGGGGGTTGGATGGCCGAATGGTTAGCATGTCCGTGCTGTATCATAAGGTTTGTCATTAAGTCAACTGGCGTGGTTTCGATTCCATGGTTGTATGTGACAAGGAGTAGGGTCGCCTGTCCATCCTCATGGGTTTCGTCCGGGTTCTCCGGTTTCCTCCCACTTCTAAAGACCCCTACGTGCAAGCAATTTTTATTAAAATAAAAATTGAACCAAATGTTGGTCCTGAAATGACCTAGTTTGTGTTGAGTAGATGTTAAACCCCATTTCTCTCTCTCTAACCATTTTTAGACAGATATTGTACTTTGCAAGGGATTAAAAATCACTGAAATAAAGATCAGAGATTTTCTCCCCAAAATCAAAAGTTGAGAATAGGATATATACATTTCCCATTTCAAGAACTCATTCATTGTATGCCACTACTACAAGTCATTTTTAACTGCTTGTCATAGAACCATTTATATTATAAATTTGATTTTCAGGAGAATTAAAAGGTCCATTGAATGTGTTACAAAAATGCATCCAAGAAAGACATCATGTTCGAGTGTGGACAAGAAATGCTGTTAGTATAAGAGGAATTTGTAGAGGATATATAGTTGCATTTGATAAACATTTCAACATGGTAAATATGTTTCATTGCATACATTCAATATTTACGATGCACACTTTTATCATGACTGAAATATTACTTGTGTAGATGACTTGAGATTTTATGTATATCATATTAAACACAAAAAGTTATGGTATATCAACAAGTCGGAACATAAGGCACCTGTCATAGACTCTGTCAGGCACAAATTATCACATAACATTTATATTATAATATATCACATAACATTTATATTATAGTATATTATTTGTGTGGTAATTTGTGCCTGACAATGCCTGTGACAGGTACCTTATGTCCATGCTTGTATACCAACAGGATCATAAATATCTCAAGACTTTTTGATATTTCAGGCTATGATTGATGTTGATGAAGTTTTTAAAAATCCTTGTATTGATAAGAAAAAGAGAAAAAAGGCAAGTAATTAATAGTTATCAAGTATGACATTATTTCGTATGTGGTAGATTCTGAAGTATATTTTAGTTAAATACTGTAGAATTTGAAATTAAAGCAATGAGAGGCCTACACTTCATTGTAAAATCAATCCAATGGATACTGAAAACCATTGGACAACTGCAAGTATGGTGAAATTAATACTAAAATTGTAAACAACTAGAGATGCATTGATTTTATCATACATTTAACACTGATAATCCCCACGATTTTACTTGACAAAGTAATTTTGTCTTCTGCAGGTGTAATTATTGATATTAAGGACAAGCCAATTTCATTAACTATTTCTCTCTCTCTGTGAGTTGCCAAATTACATAATTTGAGGAATCCAGTATTCTTTTAGTAATCATATATACATTGTAAGTATATGTTTTTATTCCCTCTTAGATTAGAGATAAAGAAAAGCAAGAAATTGAAAAATCATCTGTTGCAGATCAACCAACAAGAACTGATCAAAAATCTGGTTCCAAGTTAGCTGTAAAATCAGATGTTGTAAAGAACACCACACAAAATTCTATTTTATTATGTGAATCTGTTTGGTTAGGTTTACATCCAACAGAGCTTTCTTACAGACATGTTAACCAGATATTTATCAGGGGAGATAATATTGCATGTGTTAATATAATCCAGAGATGATACTTCAAACTAACTTTTGTAAAGATATACAATTGCGATCGATCTCTGAATACATTACCAGGGACTGTTAATGCAAGAGATTGATATATTACATGGAATATTTATCCAGTGGCTGAATGTGATAAATATGACCGATATTCACTGTTGTCAAGATTGTTATGGGCTCACATATTGTATTGTGTGGAAAAACGTCTCAGTAAACCCAATAAATGTCAATAATTCTGGCTGAATAAATGACTTTAAATAAAAAGTTAGAAGTATTTTCATTAACTAAAGGAAAACTCAAACACATTTTCACAGACAAATCAGTATTTATTTTTTTGAAGTTTTTTCTGCATTTTTTCTGACCACCCTTATTGGTACAACTGTCCCTTTAATAATATATATACAGAAGCTTTACCATCTGTTACTTTATATAACAGTGTAAACAATAGGACAGCTGTACAAGGGTTCAACATGACATGCTGTACAAAAATAACCCCTCTGGGAGAAATGGCATCTTCTCTAGCAGAGTGGCTGTATCGCAGTTTGACATCACATTGCATCAATTATGGATCCAGTCCACAAATTAACACAAATACAGAACATGGGAAGCCTAGGTATGCCGAGTGAATATGATACTTGTGAATGGAAATGTCTTGCTAAATAGCTATGACTCTTTGATTGGAGACATCCGCTAATATGTTACAACAAAATGATATGAGATTTTTTGCCTCCCACAATCTATCCACTCAATCCAGTCAATATGTATGTACATTTAATTATAATAGAAAGTATTTGGTTCATTAAATTATTTAAGAGAAAAATGCTCTTCAGCAAATTAATTTAAATCAGATTCATAAAAATCTATTTTAGACAAACATACGATTCAAATAGTTATTAGAACATTTTACAATAACAAATTTCCCTTCCAGAGATACAAATGTCATAAATTATAACACTAGTCTTAAAGATGATCTTAATATCTGGAAGCAGTTATTGACTAGGAAAAGATCATTTTTTTCAAAAGTGTTGCTACACTTTGTGTTAGGCACTTATGCAGTCCCCAAGTCCAATTATTGCAATTTATATAGTCCAAGTAAGGAAAGAAATATGCTTGATTTATTTGCTGAAACAATAAATTATCTTATTCAGTATAGATATAATTTGGGAAATAAATTTGAAAACAACAGACTATGATTTAAATACATATAACATAACGCTGTGACTAAAAATTCTATAATTTAAAAACTAGATTTATAGTTAAATTAAAGTGCATATATTTCTCTATTCAAAAAATAAAAAGCACTTTTTAAAAGTAGAATAAGAATAGAACAAAATGTTTCCATTTAACAAGTGGAAATTAATACAAATCCTTTCCTTTAGGTTCATGTAGGCAATTTAGTTCAATGATAAATCAAATTAACAAGTTGTGTAACCAGTTTTAATCATTAATGGTAACATTTGATTAAAACAAAAACTTAGTGAATCAAATTGTTTGAAACATCAAAAACGAATCATTAATAATAAAAATAAATATCAATCATAAATACACATCTCTTTAATCCTGGTCAACTGATTATTTTCTTAATTTTATAAGAATATAATCAAAGGACAGATTGATAAGAATAATTAATAGTTTCAAAATAAAAAACACAATTTATATGGAAAACATGCAAAATGTGTACAAACCAATGATTGTTTTCCATATAAATTGTGTTTTCATTATTTCGTTTAATTTCAAAATAAATAGAAAATTTGCTTTTGTTGCCCAAAGTCAAAAGCTTCACATGTATTTTAAACCGGTTTAGATGTACACATATGTAGATTCATAGTTCAGTTCACATATAAATTATATGGCATTTTAATAATGGCCTGGGTTTACTTAAAAGGTAATTATATTATTTACCCAAATAATATTTTAATACTTTTAAAATGGTTACCCTATACAATTTCCTCCTAATTATATAAATGAAATGACAGTGATATTTTCCCAAATATAACACAGTAACGTGACTTCAGTAGGTTAAATGTAATTTAGTAACATGAAGGAAAATAGAATATCTAAGTTAAAAGACAGTAAAGTTTCTTTAAAGTTAACCACATCAATTTTTTTCTCATGATCAAAGAAGTTTATTTGCTATTCAAAAGTTTTGATTATTTACAGACTTCGACTAATATCTAAAATATTTTGTTATGGTTTTTTAAAAACCAAGAATAGTCATCTGATAAACAATTTCAAGAAGGAACTGTGTACTATATAATGATTTTGTTCTGATGAATTAAAGTGGGTGTACATTATAAAGCTATCAAAATTTGCCTTACACTAGGTGTCATAGATCGTATCTAGACATCGTCTTTATCTCTTCCATCCCTATTTCATTTCAAATGTTTCAATGTAAAAGTGATATGACCAATGGAATGAAGTTTATTATTTTAATGAAATATGCATGATAATGAATGAAGTATCAAATATGTGAATCATTCACCTCTCAAAAAGTATTTTGAATATACACATGCACTTTCACTCTCCACACAATCACAATATTATATGATACAAATGTACTCTAAATGATATAATGAAATCTACACATTCTTTTACATTGAAACACTATGCTGAAATCTTGGATACACAACAGTCTTCTATACAAGTATCTAAGGATCCCGACTACTAATTGTATGTGAATGAGCATTGCAAATAATAACAAATGAAAATGGGTTAAATTGCACTTAACTTTAATTCACTTGTCACAGTAATTGTCTATTGTATACAACAAACCTATTCCAAATAGGTTTCCAATATACTGTCAGATTACACAGATTACACTCACGCTTCATATCACATCAAAGTCAATGGAAACAGAAATAGCACTATATAGTGACTTTGATATGATTCTTAGTCCATGAATTAAAATAGATTTTTTGAAGAGAGGTATATATTCTATAGTGATAATCAATGCTAAGAAGTGGCCAGTTCAATACTAATATAGCAAAAAACTGGTCATACTAGTGATGATTTTATATTGTTGGTATGTAAGTAAAGACTTTCTAGCTTCACACTTTGATCTTGGACGGCAATTAACGAAACATCTTGACTGGAATAAGATGGAATAGTGGTGTGACATTTTGTTTTCTCTCCTGAATATCGTTGCATTGAGATCCAAAGAACATAATAAACTCAGCATTTGCTATCCTCCACAGTTCAGTGTCCTACAACAAACTGACTCGTACGAACAGCAGTTGTCCAACCACATAAAATTAGGATGGCAGATCCATAATCACATGGCTTATGCGGCCTAATTCAATACTAGTTCAAGTCCCGATCTTCCAAATATCGGTATTCAAATGTAAAACCCTCCTTCTTCCGTTGGCCCCATTTTTCATAGTCGAAAAAAATGTATGTGCCCTGAAATAACAATGAAATGTTTTTAAAAATAAATCTGTCATTTATATTATTATAAACAGACAATTTATAACCTTACTTGTTAATCAGAGTACAAGACATGTTGAAGGCTCGATATAATGTTCGTTGGTCACCTCAATAGGGAAGGAACCCTATTAATGGCAGTGACAAAATTATAGAGGGGGGCATGCGGTGAGATCAACAACATGCAAACAAGTCAGTCTCAAAAAGTCCAGCCAATTTGGGCATTTTAATGATGAATAATAATAATTCCTCATGAAACTAAAGTAGCATTAACAGTCTGTGTTAAGCAGCAGATCGTCATTTGAGATTTTTTAAACCCTGCAAACTACAATATTGGGGAAATTGAATATCAGTCTAAAATGGTTCATGTCTGTTCAGTATTTACAAAGAATATGATGAACTGAAAAGTTCACAGCATTTGACATCCTCTGCAGGCGATACAAACCAAAATGACAAAAATTATATAAATTTATAGAAATACAGGATTAGTATTAAATAAACAATACGTTTTTTTGATATTTTAATGGCCATTTGGACTAATTATACTTATAGACCTTTTGGCTATATAGATCATATAAACAAGCCAATGGCACCTTAAATCTTGGTTAAAATCTTTCGATGGGCTCTTTGTAATCAGATAGCATCCAAGCCTGGAGATTACAATTTCTTAAGTGATAAATAATCCATACGTTTAGATTATAACATGGTATAAGCTGTGAAAAAAACCATACTGTCCGAATAATGAAAATGAGAACAAGCGGCTGTAATTCACAATCATCAAACAAGCCTTTTTTCTTTCAAACCAGACAGCTGGCCTGAATAATAAATCAGTTCATATTCCACAATGACAATCAGTTCATACCTGCTCAGGGGAGGTTGGATGGTCGAATGGTTAGCTGTGCGTGGTTTTGATTCCCCGGTTGTATGTGACGAGTAGCATGGCCTGTTCCACCTCATGTGTTTTCTCCACATACTCCGGTTTCCTCAAACTGCTAACGACCCCTATGCACAAGTGAATTATTGAAATAAAATTAAACCATGTTAGTCCCAAAATGACCTAGTTTGTGTCGAGTGGACGTTAAACCCCATTTCTAAAAAAAAACATACCTGCTCAAAGTCTTCTGTGATAGTTTTTGGTTCTTCATGCCGCTGAAACCACATCATATATTTCGTGTGGAACCGCCATGATTGCTTCTTTAATGCTTTTGCTGCCAAGTATTGAGCCTTTGTACCCTGAATATCATATAAAATATAATCAGAATTTTATCGATCACAAATATACAGTATACTAAACATACAGCTATAATTATAGATTTTTAGATGGCAAAAGCATACATCATATATTTAAGACATTGGATTACATGGTTCTTTGGATGATATAGTCTGGTGGTAACAAATTTCTACTAATGAGATGGTTTATACACAGAAGACAATTTTTGGTACACATCACAACACTTTCTTAAAAATGATCTGCATCTTATTCTTTGTTGCAGACAAACAACTATTCTCTTGATTAATCCGATATTGATAGCATCTGTTGGAAGGCGAAAACCCACAATAATCAAGGTTTACACTACATTGTTTAAAGCGGTGGACACAAAGAATGAATAAAGATTACCTCCATATAATAAAATATGAAGAAGAGAGTCTCTGTTGACAATCGTGTGAAGAAATCTACAGAATCTGCATGGGGTGGTGGGAGTTGATAATAATAAGATGGTGTTGGACAGGGATTACGTGGCAAATAATGCCTGAAATATAAACAATAACATGTTGTATTTTATTCCTAAACAAAGCTGGAAAAAAATAATTTATGATTTCTAAGATTGAAATTTACAGTTAAAAAACAAAACATTATATGACCATGATATTATGAAGACAGAAAGCACCAAACTGATAAACATCTTCACACATATAAAACATCACATTTTAATGTGCAAAGCTAGCATGTAGCTAATAAAAATGTGCATGTAGCTTTTCATGGGAAGATTACTGTAGGTGTAGTAATAGAGCAACCAATAATGAAAGATGGGTTGCCAGGCAACGAAAGATAGGTTGCAAGGCAACGAAACATACGCCCACAGCAACTAAATCGTCCGGGCAGTCAACAAGGGTTGTCGTATATTTTTACTTTTTTCGGTAATGAAACATTTATAATACACTAAAATCTGATTAAGAGCAACAACTCACGAAGTAATTACCAGAAAACTATTAGAATTTGTTTGGTTTTTATAAAGTTCTGCCCCATGCTAACGTTTTGTATGCAAAGCTTTTAATATCATGGATTTAACTGTTTAAGTCATAAAAGTTCATTGAAAATCAATATACTTGTTCGTCTCAAGATCTTAAACTCTGTGTATCAATCTGAAGTCAATCGGATTATAACTTTAGCCTTTAGAGCATCACAAGATTTTGCAAAGTGATCAAGGGCCATAACTTTGCCAGTAATTATCGGAAATCATTGAAAATCAATAGGAATCTTAGTCTCATGACCTCAAACACTGTGTATATATTTAAACTTAATCGGATATTAACTTTAGCCTCTAGAGCATCCACAAGATTCTTTGAAGTGATCAAGGGCCATAACTCTGGCAGTAATTATCGGAAATCGCTGAAAATCAATAGGCTTCTTCGTCTCATGACCTTAAACACTGTGTATAAATTGAAAGTCAATCGGATATTAACTTTGGCCTCTAGAGCGTCCACAAGATTTTTCAAAGTGATCAAGGGCCATAACTCTGGCAGCAAATATTGGAAATCGCTGAAAATCAATAGGCTTCTTCGTCTCATGACCTTAAACACTGTGTATAAATTTAAAGTCAATCGAATATTAACTTTCGATTCTAGAGCATCCACAAGATTTTTTGAAGTGATCAAGGGCCATAACTTTGGCAGTAATTATCAGAAATCGCTGAAAACCAATAGGCTTCATCATCCTATGACCTTAAACACTGTGTATAAATTTAATGTCAATCGGATGTTAACTTTAGCCTCTAGAGCATCCACAAGATTTTTTGAAGTGATCAAGGGCCATAACTCTGGCAGTAATTATCGGAAATCGTTGAAAATCAATAGATTTCTTCGTCTCGTGACCTTGAACATTGTGTATAAATTTAAAGTCAATCGGATATTAACTTTGGCCTTTAGAGCATCCACAAGATTTTTTTAAGTGATCAAGGGCCATAACTCTGGCAGTAATTATTGGAAATCGCTGAAAATCAATAGGCTTCTTCGTCTCATGACCTTAAACACTGTGTATAAATTGAAAGTCAATCGGATATTAACTTTGGCCTTTAGAGCGTCCACAAGATTTTTTGAAGTGATCAAGGGCCATAACTCTGGCAGTAATTATTGGAAATCGTTGAAAATCAATAGGCTTCTTTGTCTCATGACCTCAAACACTGTGTATAAATTTAAGGTCAATTGGATATTAACTTTGGCCTCTAGAGCGTCCACAAGATTTTTCAAAGTGATCAAGGGCCATAACTCTGGCAGAAATTATCGGAAATCGCTGAAAATCAATAGGCTTCTTCATCTCAAGACCTTAAACACTGTGTATAAATTGAAAGTCAATCAGATATTAACTTTAGCCTCTAGAGCGTCCACAAGCAATTGTGGACGCCGGACCGCCGGACGGATGGGGGCGACGACAATATACGACCACATTTCAATGTGGGCGTATAAAAACTGATTGAACAATTCACATTGATATTGATATATGCAAACCCATTTCCTAATTCAGAATGCATCCCTTCTACTGGTTTGTCATCCAGTGATCATAATAACTGAGGTTCACTGCTGAATCAGTTTTTAAACCGCAATGCTGTATTTTAGTAATATAAATATTAACATAATCTTACCGTAATCGTTCTGAATCTGAAGGATGAGGCAAATGTTGATAGGCAGCATCTAACATTGTCAGTTGATAAACATGATCTTTAACAAGCGGCACTGGCCCTAACGGCGCTACTCCTAATAATGGATTTAGCTGGATTGTGGTGGTCTGTTGTGTCTGTGATTGAGATACTGACTGCGGCTGTAATGATGGCAGTATTGATTGTGACTGTAATGTAACTAACTGTTCTTGCGATGGTACTGTGGGCTGTGGAGGGGCTTGAGATAAGGGTGTATTAGAGATTCCTGTAAAGAATACATGGAATTTTAAATATTTTCAAATTTAAAAACATTAACATTAGCAAACAAATACTTTTTTTTTTTTTTAAAAGTATTATCAATCTTGGTACATTTGGTAAACAGCAATTAAAATCCATGTACCCACATACAGCTCATGAAAAAAACTGAATATGTGCATAGGCCCTACCTGTTGATTCAGTTTTCACATCATCAGACATAGATATCTCACTCTCAAGACCTGCATTGACAATAGCCTGCTGGGCCATTGACTTCAACGAAGACATGGGGTCAGATTCCTTAAATATAAAATTAATGAATGAATACATAATTTGTTATGGAAATGATGTGATTCAATTGACACACTTGTGTTCTATTTTCTTTACTGAAATACTCTTGTGTGCATCATTTTAAACCAGTAACTGAACATATCAACACAGACACTAGAAGGTTCATTTGTTACTGGTTCAACTTGCCTCCAACATACCCTACTAAACAGTAAGCTCACTAAATAGCCATTCATTAGACCTAAATTGAAGACTAATATATGGCAAAACTTTATTAGTGCTAAAGTCAATGGTAAAATAGTAACACCAGAATTTAAAGCACCATTCATTGATGTTAAAAACACTTTAGTCCACAATTAAAATACTAACACCATTCATTAGCGTTACTCACCTTTAAAATACTAACACCAGCACTAGAAGGACCATTCATTAGTGGTAAATCTTTTGCACTGTTTAAAGGTTGCACTGAACTAACCATCGAGTTGTTTAGGTTTGGCGCTGATGCAGCACCAGAGTTCGTAAATGGTGAAGGAGCAGACGGCACCGAAGGATTTCCCGAGGAGGTTAATGAGGAGACAGAACTACTATGAGAAGGAACTATGGTACCATTTGTCGTTGAACTACTTGCTGCTGCATGGTCTATAGAATTGGCCTGAGGCTTCAAATCTGCTACAAAAATGTGAAAAAAATAGTTTGATTAATAATGAGATTTAATAAATAGTTGACTATTCAAGTCATTAAAAATAAAAAGACTTACCTCTGAAAAGAAATATTAACAGATTTGGAATTCTGTTCAAGATTAAGGCAGATTAATGTAGTTCTCTGAACACTATTATAATGAAAGTGCCTTGTTTTGTTTACTGTGATATATGTAATAGGTAATAACAGTAAGCTTATACACATCAAACAAAATTACATAACTGATTATTTTCAATTCTGTATGTCATAACATTTAGGCTTATTAAAAGCATTTTATTATGAACAATAAATAGCTGTGTGTGATATGAGGCATTTAAATATAAATTACAAATAGATATGACAGTATAAAGAGTATCTGAAAGCAATGAACTATAGCCCATAAACCAATAGATTTTCTAACTGTGATGTGTTAAATTCAACTAAGCATTGCAAAATTACATGCATCTAGTTAAAATACCTAGATGGGAGATCTTACCGTGAGTAAAGCTATTCTGTGCGGCTGAATTTCGATGCCACACAGATGAAACGGAATTAGATAATCTTGTAGGCGTACCTAAAAAAATAAATGCTCTTGTTAAACGCCTACGTCTATGAATTCTCAAGATTAGAAAGTCTCTACAAACTATCTATATTAAAAACATTATCTGAATTAATCAGCTTCTATTCTAAGATACATCAAGTAATGTACTTTTATAACGACTTTAGCAAAAAGAATGTAGAGCTTTAAATTTTTATTGCTTTCTTTAAATAATGAAGAAATCGAAACTTTAATGAAGAATAGAGAAGCACAATATGTTAAATATACACAATAAAAACAAAATATAAGTAATAAATGAAGCAATAAAACCAATCAATAAGCTATACTATACATAACAACCCTGTGTTAACCTGATTACTTAAGGAATGGTATTGATCATTTATTAGTTTTCAATAAATTGTTCCAGTTCAATGAGCTTTACTGTTATTAACAAGATTACTTTTACAAAATGAATGATGAAAATTTACACATTTATAACTACAAACGTAGTCTTTAATTCTATTCAGTAGTTATATTCAATTCAATATCACAAGGATAAACTTTTATTTATTCTATTTCTAAATATTAGATTTGCTAGATATGTGCTGGCAGTTGTTATTGTATGATATTAGTGTAGAGATATATTAGAGAAAGAATGGATGGTCTTTATAAGACATGCAATGAAAATATAAAACAACATCATGCTAAGTACGGTATAATCTTGACATCAAAGTCTATTTCCATTTAAAACAGAACACCAATTCCATTATCAGGGTAGTAGTAATAAAGTAATTATTAGGTTTTTTCTAATAACTTTATAGGTTCTAGGGGCACAATATCTTTCTGAAATTCTGTCGGAAAGATAATTAATATAATCCTCAGTAGATCTAATAAACTATATTTTTCACGGAACGATTTACTAGTACCCAAATATAAAAACATTTTAATTATATAAACATTTTGTTAAAAATAAGGATTTTCGATGAAAAATTATAAAAGTTCTTTTTGGCAGGAATTTACAGGCAGAAGCTATTAACATATTTTCTCAGCATAAATATATTTATTATACCGGTTGTCTAGTAAAACCAAAATTAATTTCAATCATGATTCTGGAAATGAGTAAATGACCCTTTCTTTTGGTGTTATTGTTTTAAGTATGGATAAAACAAACGTAGATGTCAAGTCATGTGTGAACCTACACCACGATGTGCAAAACATTGATACTTACTTGATGTATTATTGTTTTGCTGACCACTAGCTGCTGCAGCAAATGGTGTAGACGGGGGCGTCACATGATTGTGATTACTAATAGTACTATTTTCTGAATTTTGAACTGAATTACTGAAATGGAAAATCAAGATTCTAAATAAAGCTGTTCAAATTAGAATAATGTATTCTAAGAAACCATAAGTATTAATAGACTTAAATATTTCCAAAAAGTTTCAGAAGTTAAAAAAATAAAAATCCCCATCCCACAATTCTATCCATAATTAACAAGTAGAAATGACATGGATTTACAATCTCAGTGACCTTACAATCTATAGCTGCTAATTAAATTATATCAGGTATCAACTCTCAGCAAAAACAAACTTATGGACACAAAAACAGCATGTAATATGTAACTTTGGTTGTGAAACTGTAAATAGCAAATGTAATAGTTTATTATCTCTAAACTGAAGAAAGTTTTTCAAAGGGAGATAATTAACATCCTGGATTTCCTGTTAAATATTTGTACTAAACAGACTATTAAATGTTTTATTTTTTATTTTGACCAATTTTACAATGTGGTTTGAAAAGCAACTGATCAAATTAAATTTACACATAAAGAAACAAGAATAAAAACAAAAAAGTAAATTTATCATTCACAATATATTTTAGAACAAATTATCCTGTGCCAAATGATGTGACATGCAATGGTTCAACTTCACCTCTATACTCTATAGTTAAGATGACCCATGAGAACCAAAGTTCAGGAAAACAGAACCTAGGGTAAAAATAATAAATTTGTATATTTTGAGGTCCTTTGGTTGACATCAGCAGTCACAGTCAGCAGGGCTTGATGGTTTGAATCTTTTACATCCTAGATTTTCCTAAAACCATTTTGCCTCAGGCTCCGCTAAATTTATAGCTGCCACCCAAATTCCATTTATTCAGTGCTACATAAAATTACTTTAAATATAATTGTCTTATTATAGTATAGTATTTGAGTTGCAACCAAGAGACTGCACATACACGCAAATTACAACGTATTAAGCTGGAACAACCATATTTTTGGGAGCCACAATCCTTTCCCATTACCCAAGCGGCCAAGCCCTATATGTACTTTTTTTAATACATAAATCAACACTGATATTTTGGTATTTACAGCAGTATCATTTATTTGTGCAAAAAAATGTGTAATTGACAAAATACAACCAGGAATTAAATGGTACTATTTGCTTTGTATTTGGTAAAGTTTGAAAGATGCCTTATGCAAGAGCTAAATTTGCCTATTGCAGCTCTTTTTCTAAGAGAGGAGAGGGGGGGGGGGGCTCCAAATATTGTATAAATTATTAATTGGGCATTTATTTACATTAGAAGCCCATAATCAGCTCGCTAGAAAATCGGACAGCAGAGATATTGAATGGATTAGAACATCAGCGCCATTTAATAATTGAAAGTTAAAATGGCTGATCAAGACTTTGTTTATTATCACAGCAATGGTACTTGACAATCTAGATTATTGTCAAAACTTCAAACATTCTCCACTTCACTCAGAAATAAATAATTTTGACTGAAATTTTCAATATTTTAATTTTATGTTATCTATTTTTGAACTAATATAGCAGAAGGTGTTGTTCACCTTTCACAAGAGGTTTGTGCTCTTCAGACAGAAATGAAATGGGGTACTACTTTTCAGCATCAACCGGGCAGTATGCTAAGAGGGCATACGTCCTACTCTTATATTGAATTCCAATGTTAAGGGTTCTTTACTTCTTATATGCTTACACGACCAAGTTACTAACAGTTTTTTCAAATCATGTACTCACAAAAATATTACCACTTGTGATTTTGATGTCTATACCAGTGTGTGTATAAAGCGGTTAATATTTTTAGCCATCTTCACTAGCCTGGTTGGTGCAGAAAAGTAGGAAGCTAAACTGCGTGTCATCTTTAAATTTGGCAATATTTTCGCATCTTTGATTTACCCACAGTGTTGAAATAAACTATTCTTATGGCCATTATTCTAGATTTCAGGGATCCCACCAACAATTTCTTAAATATTTATCTTGTCCAGCATTGACTTAATTACTTTTAATCTTTTCATTTGTTAAACTGTAGCCTATCAACAGACCTCAGTTTTTACGTCTCATCTGAAGACTAGCCTCTGTACCTTCCCAGGCACATTTGATTAACCCTACTTTCTCGGTCAACAGCGAGATTGACATGCCAGATCTCCTGGTTAGTGAGCCAGCACCTTACTTAGACAGAAAGAGAGTGAGTTTAAAAGAACTTCATAAAATAACCAGTTTTTATACAAGAACTTTAATAGTGCTAACGATTTTTGTTTTAACAGAAAAGATGCTTTAAGAACTGTATGTATATTTATTTGATTACCATTAAAAATAGCTTTGTCTGTTAAACGTTAAAATTCAATTTTTTCAATCCCTGGCCATGAATTAGACAAGAAACAGAATTATTAAATGTACACATTTAATGTGGATGTATATTAGGACTGGCAATCGATACTGATTTCAAGTTATCAATAATCGCCGACCATCCACCGATCAATAATCAATAATATTGGCAAATTATTTTTACATAACATTTCGTTTGAAAACATTCATAATTTGTATATGAATAACGAATACCAATTATATGAGTTTATACTGTAATATCGTTGTATAAAAGTATACATGTCGAATTTGTTTCATTGATTTGACAAAAATAATAGCATTCCATACCAAAACCAGGGTGTCAAAACTCAATCAACATTATTTGGAAGACAGAACTGTCACCACTTGACACATCTTTGCTGCTTATGACCAGAAAAATAATGAGCAAAATGTAGTTATTTCCCTTTGAAACGGATTCTGGCCAGCAGTTCACAGTAACTGTTTTTTTTTCTGGTAGTTATACAGATTTCTCATGCGCACCAAACGCCTTGTATAGTGGGTTAATTCATGTTTTTGACTTTTGGTCACTACAAGATCTATATAATTTCAATATTCCACAAATCGTTACATCATTAGGAACCATTTGCTCTCATTGTAAGTGACTGACAGTTTTTAGCGCTGAGAAACAAAACCTGTATGTTTAATGACTTTTCTGTTTAATTACAGTTAGCGAGCCAGGTCTAAGCATGCGCTGCAAAGAATACTGTGATAAGGATAGTCTTTTATGGATTTCTTCTTACAAGTGACTACTTATAATTGCGCAATTATCAATATTTTATATCTGTATAGTGTATCAATATATTGATATTTTTTGCCAGCCCAAATGTATATGAAATGAAATGAGGTTTAACGTCCTACTGTTCTGCTCCGACTGGGCTAATGAAGACGGGCACACGCCATACAGAGTGATATGAGGGAAATTTTTCCCAGTCGGGGGCACTATGGCCTACTCTTGTATCGAATTCCAACTGCCAAAGGATCTTTTACGGGCATGCCAATGTGCACACAGGACCTCGGTTTACCATCCCATCCGAACGACTAGACAGGTGTCCTTATTAGGCCCTCCATTCTGCACCACTGACAAGGGGAAACCACGCCGGAAAAACCTGATGAACTTTCTTGGCCAATGGCAGGGATCGAACACTCGACCTCCACGCTAGCGAGCCAGCGTCTTGCCCACTTAGCCACCGTGGCTTCCAACCTAATGTATTGTCGACAACTGCATCCGTTGAGCATTGGTACGTCCACAATTTCTCCACACTACAGGTAGGTAATGGTTCTTTTCAGAATCCTAATGAAATTTAAAATTTTCAGATCCCAAATGGCATTGCCATCTCCCATTTATGTTCTATCAAATCTTTTGAACAATATATACTGGACAGAGTTCTTACCATGGCAAGGAAAATGCAAATGGTGGAAACAGAAGATAATACTCTGAAATATTACCTTGCACAGATTATCCTTATATAAGTTACGAAATGTTGGAAGAAGGATTAAATGTTCAGAATAGGGTTTCCAATTCAAAATTTTGATTTAAAGGAGCTGAACCTCTAACTCAATATTTTCCATAATATTTGAAATTAAAAACTCAAATTAAAATTCAATATTGGTCCATTTCAATCAATATTGATTTTGTTATCTTGCTGTGAAAAATATGTGATCCTAATATCCAATATTTAAGACAATGAAAATTTTAAAATCAAGTTGTGTATTTCTGTGGTTTTGGGCACCATTTGTAATGAACAAAGAAAAACATTTCCTACAAGACAATGCAGGAGTAATTAGTAATTGCTGGTTCAAAAACTGCTGTTCAATTTTGACGGCTCATGTATTTCACCAAACATAACTGATTACAATGATATATAATAAATAAAAGTCATAAACAAATCAGTTTAGGGTTTGGTATAGGGACCTTGAACGACTAATTAGAGCAACTTGTTGTTTGAAAAAGCTGATTAATAAAACAATGAACAGGCCACTATGGTATAAATCAATCTACTTTCGGCTCTATTACAAAGAGTTAATTATTACTTGTTGATTTAGAGTGAGAGCGAGAGCAAAGGGGTTTAACATCCACTCGACACAAACTAGGTCATTTCGAGACTAACATATGGTTCAATTTTATTTCCATAATTTGATTGTGCGTAGTGGTCTTTAGCAGTGGGAGGAAACCGGAGGAGCCGGAGAAAACCCACTAGGTTGGACAGGCGCCCCTACTCCTTGTCACGTACAACCGGTGAATCGAAACCACGTCAGTTGACTTAATGACAAACTTTATTATACAGCGTGCACGTGCTAACCATTCAGCCATCCCCCCCCGTTGATTAAGAAGTCAATCAGCTTTTCAGCTCCAATCTGTATGAGTCATACAGTTGTGAGAATAGGCCATGTAGTTCATGATCTGAGTAATAAACACAGGGCCCTTATTCACGAAAACTTAAACTAAGATACAATCAATCAAAAGAAATACTGCAATTCGATTGGCTGACCAGTAAAATCAATTTGCATATATCCAATTTGCATATTGGTCAGCCAATCGAATTGCAGTATTTCTTAAAATTTTGATTGTATCTTAGTTTAAGTTTTCGTGAATAAGGGCCCAGGTAATTTTGATAATCCTGTAAATATACAAGCTTAGTGATTATTCATAATATGTCCAGTAACTTGCCTATGTGGAAAAAGGCCACACGGGCGAATGAAGACAATCCAACTAATAAGCCTATTTAACAGGACTTTTTGATAACACTCTATGCTTGCGGACCTGATATCCAAAATAATTTGCTATAATCACGCTGAAAGAATTCTTGTGCTGTAGCAAGACAAATTTTGTCCTGACTCCTTCCCACCTATGCAAGGACATTAAGAATATGCCAAAAATACGGTTTCTAACTTTACTCCTGCTTAGCCAGAGTAGGGCATCAGGGAGCTTTGCTGCACAATTACTGGCCAAGCCAACATAAATTTTTTTAAATAGATAGGTAATGTATGGACCCTCCTGGGGCTACACCACCATCCCCTTAGGCCTGGATATATCCATCAGAATGCTCTCTTTTTCATTAGTTATTAATAATAATTGCCGGGTAACTTATAATAGACAACGAATAACTTTCGTCACGAATCTGTTTTAATTCACAGTGAATACTGAATTTTCCCATGACTTTGCATACAAATAGACTGCAATCATGCCTCTGGCGATCAATGCTATAATTCTAATACCATATAAGGTTCTTTGCCACATAAGGCATGCCTATTAAACACATACTAATAATGGTGTTATTTGGCGTAAAACACGCACAAGCTTCACAGGAATGAATAATAAGCAAGATCTGATAATACGTGGAAATTTGCAAAGCCTTTTGACCAGTGATTAAGCTATCAATGTAATGCTAAAATACCTTTAATTTTTATAAAGAAGACAATGTTTACAAATTACATACCATGAACTATTCTCAGGATAGTCATTATTCAGGAATATTATTATAGGAAAATTTAAGCAGGTGTACCTATTTGTAGTTATTTTTTGTGGTAATCATATATATTAGTCTATTCAGAATAATACATTCTACATAACAAATTACTAAGAATTATTTGCTTAATTAAAAGTACCATATTTCCTACCCTGACCTATTTTGACACAATTCTGGCAGTTTGTTTCAAACTGATTTAAACTTTGTGAATTTTGTATCTCAAATGACAAGCGATTCCACAGACACTGAAGGCCTCATCACCAGTGTACATTTATCATCCATTTTGAATGCCTTAAGCGCACGATAGAATTAACTGATAATGAATCATAAACAAATCAGTTTTGAATTCAGTTTGCACTGGTTGTAAACACAATACATTTATAGATTTGAAAGTATCATTGGCCCGACTGGGAAAATAAAAGCAGATATTCTACCTAGCATTAGAATGCTGAATTATTTTTTTTCTTGGTATGCTGGTTTTAGCTTGGATTTATTTTATAATCCTGACAAGACCACAATACCACTGTATACAATTTTCTTCTCTATTTTCTCCTGAGAACAGCTAATTTTGTGCTATTTTTAATATGACAGTTAAATTTGACAAGCAGTTCTTTATTCCCAATTACCTTTATATCCATCGATCCAAATTAAGCTCTTTTAATTTGTACTGTGATTTTGTCCTCAAAAATTTGTTTGTCTGGACAAATAAAGGTGCTCAAATACAGGCTTAAGAACGATGGATATAAATCTTGTAATTTGAGAAGATTTACGTATAATAATTAACCTATACTATTCTATTTGACTAACCATCAATTATCAACAAAACACTCACTATAATCCTTTGTTGACAACACTGTATGCTATTCTTTAACACAAAAAATTATGAGCTGGCAATTTCTGTAAGTGTGTCAAGGACTCTATATCGTCTGGATATTAAGGGTTTTTTGTTAGCATTCTACTGTTCTGCTACATCTGGACTTATGAATATGGGCAAATATATTGGACATGTCCTACGTGGATTGACAAATATGGCCAAACAGAAATAAAAAAACGTAAAAAAAATATTTATTGTACTAAGGATAAGCTTATAACCATGACTATTGCTAATCTCAATTCTCAGTGAGGTGGGATTATGTAATTAGTAGACCAACCCAATCATAGTGTTATACACCTACCTTGATTGACTACCGATTTAACCTGCCTGGATTGACTACTTAATGTGTTTTCTCCTTTGTAAGAATTTTAATCCGATTGATATCGGTCAAAAAGGTGTGAAAACAAGTCAAAAAGATGATTGACCTCTGTATCAACTTGTCAGCTGATCTGTAACTGTTGTTCAGTTCATGATAAAATTATTAATACATTTAACAGTAATTTTGAAAATCCCATAAATCCCATATCACTTGGTAATTATTCGTAACATGTCCAGTAAGTAGCCTTCTAATATCCTAAATTATTTTCTACAAGCACAGTCACAGAATATTTTAATCTGTAATCATTTACTATCGAACTGACCATGAGGTGTTTAAAAAATAATATTTTGATTGCTCATATGTACAGCATAGATTATTGCCAAGTGAATGACATGTAAAATCCATAAAAATATTTTGATGATGAATGAGGTGCCATCAAAACAAAATATTTTACCATATAAGACAGCTCCATAGCCCTACCATATAAAAGGTTAAGTTATGCAAACAGCAAGGCCTGACAATGCTTGGAACGCTGCCATGTCTTTTGATGAGTGATTAAGCTACCAACAATTTTAAAATACTCTTTTATAAAGAAGATAAAAAAAGTTTAGACATTATTAACTATTCTTATCGCATACATTTTGCTTTTATTTTCTATCATATAAATGAAGACAGGTAATTATTGAGGAATGTAATTAATATGAATAAAAATATGGAAAATATCAAGATGCACCTATTTTTTAAAAAAATTTGTGGTAATTATAAATAATTCAGACTATGATATAAATAACATTTCTGAAGCTAACAAAGACTTCTGTAGTCCCTATACTGTTAACAAGCCAATTGTTGAAGGACGGACAGACGTACAATGGCGTTGTCATAACATTCCCACACACTAAAATGTGGGCGTATAAAAATCGGGTTGAGTGTGTGTGAAATAGCTTTATTTAACGTCCGCTTCCACCAAAGTGATATCGCAGACAAAAACTTCATGATATTTGAAAAGAAGCTTATAATCAAACATGGAAATTTCTATCATAAGTATAGTACGTTTTATAGTGTGTTAACTGACATATGGGTCACTAGAAATTTCAGACAATTTTCATGTCCCAGAAGCAAGGATACAGATTAAAATATGTAAAAATTTGACATGTGATTTGAAATGTGAATGATATTGATTAAAAATATTTAAGGAAAGCTTACCATCTTTATTAAAAGTAAAATAGCCTACTCACCTTTGTTGTTTAGTGGGAGTGATTTGTACTTTGTTATTTGAAGGTAATGGTGTAGTAGAAATCTGTTGGTTGTTTTTGTTTTTCTATGAAAGAAAAACAATAAATAGATTTGATTTTGTCATATTTGTACAACCTGTTATAAGACTAAAATGTTTATTGGGGGGGGGGGGGGAGAGGAGAAAGAGACTTTACTTTTCATATATATCTAAATATTATAGTCTCTGATTGTCATCTGCAGGACTGTCAATCACTTGCAAACCATAATATTATGTTAGTTGAATCTCTAGAGGGAACATCAGTCCAAAAATGGTTTAATTCCTTTCAGCGTTTACACAAAGTTATGATGAATTAAAAATTTATCAATATTCGGTATCCAGTAGATATTGTTCAACACAAGCCTGTGTCCAAAAAGTGTGAGGGACCCATTATGAAAGTACCCTGCTCTCTTTGAAAGGTGGGTAACAATAATAAATTTGAAGACATTTTTAGTAGCATGGATTAAACTGTGAAAAATTAGATACTGCCCCAAAAATTCAAACAACGATCTTACTAACCTTTTCTGCTTGTGAGTTATGCCTTTTTCTGTCATTTTCCTCCTTCTCCTGATAAAAATCAAATAAAAATATAATTAAAATAAGTTGCCTTATCTTTCAAACAATACTTCAAGATATCAAAACAAACAAAACTTTCTTCAAATTATAATACCAGTTTCAAATATAAATGGTTCTATCATTCTGACCTCAACCAAACCAACAATCTCAGCATATTTTACAAAAAATTCTTGAAAACTCCACAAGCAAGAACACTTGATGTTGACAATAAGCAAATGAGAGTATACAATTGATCTTAGTAGACTTACACTGGAATGGTTGGATATAACACTCGGACTAGGTGATGGTGAGCTAGAATTGACAATAAGCAAATGAGAGTATACAATTGATCTTAGTAGACTTACACTGGAATGGTTGGCAATAACACTCGGACTAGGTGATGGTGAGCTAGAATTCGTGGATGTTGGTGTTCCTGTTAATATGATGTCATCATTTGGAGGAGATGATGCTAAAAGACCTGAAAAAAGCAAGAAAACAATGCTGACATTAGAATTAAAGCTAAAAAAAGAATAAGGCACATTATTTCAACAGGATAGATTTTAAGCTGTACCTATCACTCTTTGTGCGTGGTCATGTGACACTAGTTCGATGCAGTGTTTTATTACCCGATGCACTTATGCAACTCATTATATAAAGTAAATTTAATCAGTGTCATTTAGCTCTAGAGGTGATCACATTTACTGAATGAACAGGTAAAGATTCTTGGACCACCGTATAAAAGGAGTTTGATATTGAAAAGTTTGCACATAGTGAAGAATTCAGTAATGACGAATAAATTATCACCACCATTCAATTCATTCATATAAATTAATTACTGCTTTAAATAAAAAATTATTTTTTAAATTGTTCTTGAAATATTTTAAAATTGCTAAAAGCCAGTATTACTGGGCTGTACTGGACTTTTAGTACAAAGCATTATACTATTTAAGTATCCTGGGATTTCAATTCAGTATTAAGACCACTCCACTAAGACCTATCTTTATCAGTCCCCCAATTGGTCATAATGGCAGGATTTCACATTCTCATATCAATAACTGTAAGACCATATGGGAAATTCTGTACCTAAATCTTCTAACTGTAAATCATCATAAAGGAACTCATTTTCTTCAAAATCAGGATCTTGATTGCTATCAACATAATACTCCACATCTTCTCTTATGCTTTTCATCTAAAATTTTAACAAAAAAAGTTTATTATTAAGGATTGAACCCATTATGCTCTATTCTGAATCTAGTTCATGCTAACAAAGTTTATTCTGCTTGCTAATAAAGGACTAGATAAAAAGGCTCACGGGTGTTATTTTGATCTCAACTAGTCTAATTTCAACTGTCTGCACTGTATTCAAATTTATATCAACCATAAAGTTCAACTTTGCATTTGAGAACACTGTTTTGTTGATTTGGTGTATTTCAAAAACCCCTTCCAATTTGGTATAAAAACTACAGATAGATATGTCTTTATAAAACAACTTACTTTTTCCACCGTTAGTGTTTCATTATCCACCATTCTCATTATTGTTTCTAATTTTTCTATATGGAACAAATGTCGATCTGTATGGTTTTTTAAACTTTCTAATCTTTCCTATGAAAGAGAAAATAAATAATTCAGTGACAACCTATTATCATTTAGAATATATAGATATTTAAATAAAAAAAAAAAAAGAATTACAGAATAAAAGTTCTTGTGTAAAGGCTACCTTCCATATATATTGCCTTATTCTTTATCATAAATTTCTAATGAATAACAATGTACATTTACTGGAATTATAAATTCCAAGAAGGGGCTATAATTCGAGGAATAATTGATGGACTGGGCTTTTAAGTCTCACTATTATCAATAATGAACAGAAAAAAATGAGTATAAAATTGTCGCTACATTTAGACTAGAAATTGAGACAATGCACTGTAATAACCTAAGAGCCATGGTTAAAAGATTATACACAAGACAGAAAATGTTGATTTTCTATAACAATGCCAACATACTTCTCTTTCTGCTTTCTTTTTCTTGGATGGACCTTGCAATTGTTCTATTTCACTTTCAAATTGATCTAGTTGTAACTTTAATCCCTCTATCATTTTCTAAAAAAATAAATAAAATACATCACACTTATACTATACTTAAGACAAGCCCCATTTTACTTGGGTAAGCATGTTATGGTATAATGTTCCTTTAAATCTAAGGAATTTCCTAAAACTTATGATAAATTGCATTCAATAAAACAACTTTGGTTCAATTCTGTTCAGTATTTACAAAGATATCATGAATGGAAAATTTTGCAGCATTCTGCATTTTGTACAGACGATATTGTAAAAGATAGGTTGTCAGGCAACGAAACATACTCCCCACAGCAGCTAAATTTTCCGAGGTCAACAAGGGTTGTTGCATATTTAATCTTTTGTAGTTATAGGGGGAATTAAGGCTGACCTTAAAAATATCTTTGTTTCACCAAACCCGACCCACCATCGAGGAGAAGGGTCGGTAGGTCGGGTTTTTTTCAGATTTTTTTTTAAGAGCTAATTTGACAGCTTGATAATTTTCCGGGTGCAAACATTCGTCTTCATTTATTGTCAAACAAATCAATGACATCGGGATTTTTCGTGATGCACGGCTCGCACACGAATTGCCAGAAACTGACGTTTGAAACTCCCTCAACACGTTTTTTAACGATCGTGCGGGTTGTGCCTTCATTTTTCTCGAAAACGGATATTCAATATCCGTTTTCGAGAAAAATAGAGGCAGAATCATTTCGTGGGAATGGACGTGCTTTCGTATACAACTATTTTGTTGAGAAGCGACACCTATGATGCTTTCGTCTTGATCAACCAGTTTCAATAATGAATCAAACCATAGCCATAGTAAAGGGAAATAACTCTCGTAATATAATTCAGGTTGACACACAAAATAAAATAAAAAGATCGCGGAAAAGTGCAATAAAATAATTTAAGTCGGGGGTGGTTTTAGTTAGTCGGTTGCGTTAGGCGAAACAAAGATATTTTTAAGGTCAGCCTAACAAGACAATTTCGTAACAGGTCAGATTATAATTTTCATACTTTGGGGGTTCACAAGGTGCTACAAACTGAAAAAGGGCCTTAACTCTGAAAGAAATATACAAAAATTGTTGAAATTCAATAGACTTTTTCGTTTCACTAACACAAATGATGCATATAATTTTCATTAGTGTATATTATTGTGATCGCACATGGTAATAAAGTGAGAGAGAAAGAAATGGTGTTTAACGTCCACTCAACACAAACTAGTTAATTTTGGGCCTAACATATGGTTCAATTTTATTTCAATAATTCGCTTGCACGTAGGAGTCTTTAGCAGTGGAAGGAAACCGGAGGACCCGGAGAAAACCCACGAGGTTGGGCAGGCGACTCTACTCATTGTCACATACTATGCCGGCCTTATAATAAAGCGTGCACGTGCTAACCGTTCGGCCATTCTCCCCCCTCCCACATGGTAATAAAACCCTGATGAATATGTTGCTAAAAACAGATGGTGCCCATGCATCAATGGTTTATTTAACAGAAAGTAAAGTAGAACTCTCACGAGACGGGAGAAATTACGAGAAATGGCACGTGAAAATTTCCAATGAGAATAATTCCGGAAGAATTAGATTATATACTCTTCAAACAAAAGTAGAGGATATAAATATTGCAAATACCTATGCAGGTTGCGATATCATAAATAGTCATGGACATTTGACATGCTTTGAGAGTATGTTCACAGATGAAGAACTTATCGCCCCAACAGAACCACTTAGCTGCACATGCGACACGCAATTGCACCATACCCGTGGAAGGGGTTCATTGTCAAATTTGACACTTCAAAGAAGGGTTGATGAAAACTGCCGCCTGCTGGTTTATCTATCCATGTTTGCTTTCCTATCGGTTCTTGCATAAGATTTACTGTTTAGCCTATCTTTGCTTTAGTGTGTTACGTTTAATTTGGCCGTGGCACTGCAAGAGGAGTGGGTCAGATTGCCCCAAATCGTGATTGGACGGTTGATTAGGAGCATGCCACGACGAATTGCTGAATGTCTGAGGATTGGTGGAGCAATTACTCATTATTAAGACAAAAATCAAAAAACGTCCATTTCCACTTTTGACGGTGTATCTCTTTGCGAGTGAAATGAGGCCGTCAGATAAGCAGCCCATATGAACTGTTTATGTTCATATGTAGGCAATTGGCCTGTTATTAACATATACTGGTTACTGCTAATAAAAACAGCAGTGCATTTCAGCAGTTTTGTATTGTTTCTAAATATCCCCTACTTTTTTTGAAGAGTATATTTTGATGGAATTGTCAAGTGTTTATGAGCATATTTTGAATAGGGGTTATGTTTTTAAACAAAATTTATACAAGCTATATTTATTTAGAAATGTTGACAAGCATTTCTATTGAAATCCTATATGTAGTTATAGACGATAGCAGAAGTTTGACTTGACCGTACGACTACGAGTGCTATTATTTAGCAGACGATGTTTATTATCATTTATGTAACCAGGAATGACCCCTTACATGCAGTTATTGATCTTCAGAACCATTTCTCATACATACAACTAATCACTTTCCTTAATATCAGATCACTTTCCTTAATTTCTAAATCACTCTTCTTATCGAAACTGGGGGAGCCTTTTTATGGGAGCGATTTTTTTTCAATTTGTTCATTAAGGGGAGCTTTTTTCGGCTCTCCTCTAAAATACAAAAATCGACTGCATATAAACAAGCCTGAGCAGCCTATAATTTTGGCTAAAATCTCCACCGAATAAGAATTTAAGATCTAGCATGTTTAAAACTACTCAGTTGGTGACTGAAAACCAAGTGACTAAACTGGGAAAAAACTGGTTTGGAATGGTAGAAAGTGGGACCAGTAGATTTAAGAAATGAAACGAAATGGGGTTTAACATCCTACTATTCTGCTCTGACTGGGCTAAGGAAGACGGGCTAGTGTGCTATGAGGAAAATTTTGCCAGGGCAGCGGCACTATGGTCTACTCTTATGTCGATTCCAACTGCTAAAGGAAGTTTTACGTGCACGCCAATGTGTACCAGGGACCATCCGAACGACTAGGCAGCAGTTCTTGTCTGGTCCTCCGTCCTGCCCCACTGACAAGACGAAACCACGTTGGAAAATCCCGATGATTTTTCTCAGCCACAGTAGATTTGAGAGGTGCACTGTAAATTAATTTTCAGGACGCTTATTTGCCCATGCCTTTTCTAATCACCTTTATCTTGTAACTGGGCTCCATGTGAGAATATAATATTTTGTGCATTGTCAACCTTATTTGCATAATTGGGTTTTGGAATACTTACTGATAACCAGTTTGTTGCATCTTCTTTCTCCTTTGTCTGAGGATCAACTTTGGATGCAGCACCTAACCCTTCTTTTGAGTAAGCTTTTGTTTTTGTTTCTCGCTCTACAACCTTAAATCTTTCCATTTGCTATTAACAAATAAATCAACAATAATAAATTTCATAAAATAAAAGTTCTGCAGATTTCTTGCAATTGTTTATCATTATTACCTATGCTGTTTGCTGCTGCAGTGTCTGTGTGTTTTTTGTGTCTTCTCCGTAAAATTGACTTATGTATTTTGTGTATGTGTGTAGTGCAGTCCTCCTGCACTTACTATAAGAGCTCTCATTATATATCAATCTGATTAAAACACAGATCCTATTTTGTTTCATTTTTTATAGTTCAAAATTTCATTTTACTTGTCTTTACTACACTAGGATCTGGAAGAGTTGTTATATAACCCGTATTCATGATGATGTGAGGGATTAGCCAATGAAACGGTCTGTTACTGTCTGTGAGGTGCACAGAACAATGAATAACCCACTAGAAACATCAACACTGATTGGTTAACTGAATGTCTGACGTCATCATTTTATGAAAATAAAAACCCCCAAAAATAGCACTTACTGTTTCTATAAGCTTCCGATGGTCTAAAAGGGCACTTTTGTCCTTTATATCGTTGCTGGCACACCATGATTTTATCTGATCTCTTTGCCGCTAAAATAAGTAAAATGGCAAAAAATGGAGATTATGACAAGAATGTTCAAAATTTACTTTTAAATCAGCCAATTATTTTTTAATTATTTGTGACAGGGCTTTACAAAGGAATTCCCAGTTTTATCAATGGACATTAAACAGAATAAAAATAACAGATCTGTTTCAAAGATACTAGAATTCTGGCCAAATAAACATACGATAAGCAGTTTGTAAACTGTCAACATTTGAATGTTATGTTATAAAGTTCTGAATTTAATTTCTCCAGAACATTAACATTTTGAAGTGCAGATTGAAAACTTTTGGTGACAGAATTTAAACATGGTTCTGTTTAATAACAATCTCAGAAACTGCTGCCTATAGAAAGATTGCAGGGATAAATCTGAAAATTACTATGATAAACAATCCATATCATTGTACTACTGTAGCTATGAAACATGTATTCATGAAAGTTTTTCGAAAAATACAAAACCTGTACGGTAAGTTTTTTTTAGTTAATTTTAAGGTCATGATAGACACGGGGAATATCTATGAATAAACGATGCCAAACTATAATTTTAATCCATAGATTTCTATGACAAGGGTAATAATTCAATGAAACATCAATTACCAGACAACAAAGCATAATGCTAGTCAGCAGCTGTGAGCTAAACATCAACAATCTGACCATAACTGAAGCCTATAAAGTGCTAACAAGATTTTATTACAAAATCATTTCAATGGGATAGAGAGAGAGAGAGAAATGGGGTTTAACGTCCACTCGACACAAGCTAGGTCATTTTGGGACTAACATATGGTTTAATTTTATTTACACAATTCGCTTGCGCATAGGGGTCTTTAGCAGTGGGAGGAAACCGGAGGACCCGGAGAAAACCCACGAGGTTGGACAGGCGACCCTACTCCTTGCCACGTACAACTGGGGATTCGAAACCATGCCAGTCGACTCAATGTGGGTGTATAAAAATTAATGATAAGATTTAAAATCAACATTGATGGTGTTATCTTACCATCAAAAGATTGGTTTCTGATGTCCAATATTTAAGACATAATGAAACATTTAAAATCACGTGCCAGAATACTTTTGAGTGCCATTTGTATTGAACAGTGACACGTCCCACAGGAGAATACTACCAGTGTAGACTGGAATAACCAGATGCCAAAGATTGCCATTCAATTTTGACTCTTTGCATATTTCGCCAAAAATAACTGATTAGACATTACAGTAAAAACAGAAACGATTGCCTTATATACATTCATATTACATTAATATGTGTTGCGACCCATTTGTGTCCATTTCTAGATGTCAAAGAATTCAGAATTAGCTCCTTTAAGTTTAGAACTAGTGAAGAATCCCGGTTAGTTCATAACAAAAATCTCAACACAGTCAATGGGTGAATAGATACTAGGATACATTATAAAGTTAAGTTTTCATGTAATTGTTATGACATATACATAACCTATTAACCCTTTCAAGTTCTTTCAAATGCTGAAGAATTATTACAACAAGAAATGTTCAAGACCCGAGTCAATAAATGGTGTACAAAATTAAATCATTGGTTCAGGTTTGGTCAGTTGCCAGTAAAATCACAAGTTTACTGATAACATGCGAATAATAATAGGTGGGTGGCCTGTACCTGTAATTTCTTTATTTCCCGTTTCAGATCAGTTTCATATTTTTCTTTTTGATTTAAACTTGCAGAATTTTGCTAAAAGACAAAAATACATTAAATAAGAAATAAAAACTTTAAAGCAGCTCAGACATAAGATTGTATTATAAATAATGTTAAAAAGATAATTAATAAGTAAGATATGATAAAATCTAACAACTTACGATTGGAGTCTTACGACAAAAAAACTAAATAAGCATATAATAATAATTAAAATTAGTTCACTTGTTGCAGTTTAGGATGTTACTGTCTACTTTGACATACTTATACCATACCATAATCGAAAGAAGCATATATTTGATATTACTGTTAATGTAATAATCACAATATTTAAACCTCGTTCAACAGTCAGCCACTTAAACTGAAATTAATAGAACACATCAATTATTAAGTACCTTGTTCCATATATCTTCAAATGTTTCTACACCCTCCTGAACTTTTTTAAGGCATCTATCAATTTCACCTAAAATGAAAAATTCATAAAAAAAGATAAGCTTATTTGTCCAAAACTATGTAATGAAATGGAGTTTAACATCTTGTTTTCCTGCACCAGCTGTGTGCAATGAAAAAAGATTTTCCATGCGGATGACAGATAGCTAACAGTAAGTACAGCCTACTCTTATCTTGATTTTCAACTGTGAGACCCTGTTGTCCATCTCATCAAAACAACTGACAAGGGAAACAAGTCTTGAAAATTACAAGGCACTTTCAAGGCCAAGACTTGGTTTGAACATGAAAACTTATTTTTGACACATCGTCATGTACTCCCCAGACGGCTACCTGTCAAAAACAACAAGTTATCCAATGATTTTTACCCTGGCAACATTTTTACTTTGAATTTTGCATAAAACATGTTATTGTCGAAACTTAAAAAATGGAGTTAATTAAGTTAACTCTTCATAGATAATTAGTAATTAATCATACGTTCATGAAATCATTCTGAATATTTCTAAACAGTGTGAATTGAACTTTGAAGAGAAGAATACTGACAAAATGCTTTAAATTAATTGGCATTTTTGCTTACTATTATTAATTAGCTACGAGAACGTAGCTAAAATTGTTGAGATATACTGTGATGTGTTTGTTTTTTTTTATAGTTCAAACTTTCATTTTACTTGTCTTCACAACACTACTAAGGATCTGGAAGAGTTGTTATATAACTCGCGTTCTGGTTGAAATGAAGGATTCGTCAATGTCTGACGTTATAGGGTCAAAAGATGCTTGTATGACCCTTGACACGACCATCCACTACAACCGGTCAGATCTTCATGTAGTGTAGGTCATCGAATGTACCGGTATACAAAAACGAAATACAGATCTGTATTTTAATCAGATTGTGTTTTTAGCTACGATTTGATGCCTTTAGTTTCACCTAATTAAACATACCCAGCCCAACGGAGCGAAACAACTTTAGTTTATCTACAAATATTGTCACTCAGTAAAGTTAATCAAGCAGTGTTTTTATCAAAATTGATATGGACATTCATATTACAGTGTATTAGTCAAGTGCGAATCGTAAAGGTTCTTTACTTCTTGAGAGATGAGGTTTATTATCTAACTACTAATGAGCATTACACGTATATAATACTACAGGTATGTGTTTTATGGCTTACTTAAAGGGTTTCATTTAAATACAAAATCTATACAATGTACAGTCTAAAAAAATAGGTCTATAAATAAAATTTGCCTAATCTATTATAGATCAAGATGTCTATAGTTTTACTTGTCCTTTCAAACATGCCGGCCTATAATATTTAAGCTGATGAATAACTTGCACAGTAAATAAATCTCTGGAGTTTGACTTATAATCCAGACATTAAATTCACTGTTTACTTATTCTTGTATACACTTCCTTTCTTGCTTCAAGCCAGATTGCAAAAAAAAAAAAATAAATAAATAAAAAGAGTCTATCTATGGATGTGACTGACACAGGGCTACACCAGCTACTGTCACCAAACAGATGGCAGAAAACTAGTGCTATTAACCTTAGCACTGATATTGTTCAGATAGAAATTGTTCTAATATTCTGGCCCAAATGTATCAAAAGAAAACATATTTACATTATTATTGAGTAAAATGTAGCTGACATGTGTTTATTATGTTATGACATCATATCCATCTTGTGGATTCAGATCTACCTCCATCTATTATTATGACTACACCATGCATGTCAAATTTAATTCATGTTCCTATGAGAATGTCTTGTATCATTATATTACCATAAAAACATATCAGCATAAAGACAATCTGGCTGAAAACGAAAGATTGCATGCATATTCAACAGTTTGAAAGTTAAATCTGGAAGGCCCGAAATTTGGAAATTACCCTGCGAAGGAAAAGTGCAATTTCTTTTCCAGAAAACAGATTCCAATTCAGATATAAGCAGCTAATATTCTCACCTTGCAGCTTCCGCTTGTCAGCCATAGCTAAGAAAACATATGTTTCGATATATAGTGCATGCTATGGTGGATAAACTATATCCGAAATATTAATTGCAGGGCTTAAAACAAGGGGGAATCCTTTCTCATATGACAAATAGCTAAACAAAATGGCTGAAACGGATAATCGACCTTCACAAAAAATAGAGCATCCGCGTCAGAAAAATAGTGCAGGGAGCTTTTTAAATTCTTTGATAACATATAGCTTATTTTTGAATTGATAAGTAAACATTTGTGAATAGAAGATTTATTATATTATGAATTATGTGATATAACATTTAAATCATTCTACGAAATCGATCAGATAGTTCGGTAGATTATTCCTCTGCAAATTACCAGACCGGAAATATCGTATACGCATGACGAGAGAATCCTTGAAATGTTTACAAAATTTACATGCCTGTCAATGATTGAAATTAAGTTATGATTAATTGTTAAAACAAATTAATCAGAGCGATTATGTGATAAAACTGTTATTAGGTAACTATTTGATCAATTGTTAGGTGAAGCATTGAGCATTACCAATAACAGCACCTGTTATCTTTCTTTTTCTCTGGACACCGGACTAAACTAAATCAGTTCTGTCAGAACTGTTGACTTACTCAGCTCTGACTGTTCATGTTTATAACTCTTTCAATAACATTTTTATTTCATAATGTAATAATGTTTTTATTTAAATTCAATCGTGATAGAATTTAGAGTGGCCAATTCTCCTCTGTAAAAGGGTGGTTTATGTGTATGCTTCACACTACTTGCCTTTCTGGAGAACTCCATGGATGATTAACTGACACCAACAAACAAGATAAAGAAAGGTGTGAAATAACATTAATCATTTAGTTAGTTAGCTTTAACACTTCTACATCGCTTGTGGAACTTGTATTAAAAGCAAAGATCAATTATAGTCACCCTGATACATGTACTATATTAAATTTTCTGGATCCATTCACTTATACTATACGTTTGTTTGTGATTTCTGTGAATTGTGTCTTGTCCGTAGATTTATTTTGTGCAAATTATGTGTGGTGCACTTACTATTACAGCGTAAAAGATTTTTTAAAACTTGCTCTGTGGGATTAATTGAAAAAGATTCTTGATTTATATCTAGCTTGGACGACTTTGCCGTTGGTCGGTGTATAATGGCCCTCATCTATAATGTTTATACATATAAACCATATAAAACACATATATGAAAAGGTCTAACACATGCATTTTGGATCATAAGATCTCAGAGCCTCGTTTAACATGGTAACTAGGCGGTGCCGCCGCCACGCACTGGCCAAACTGTGCCGCCTACTGAGCCCAAAAGTTGAAGACTGGGCGGCAACATACATTCGTTTTGAAAATCGCTGACAAGGTTTTTCCCATGTACCAAGCATGGTGCGTAGGTTTACAAAACCGTCTTTCTGATTGTTTTATGGGTATATTTCTGTCTGCGGGCCAGCCGCAGCAGTGTTTTCATCTCAATTTTACAGAGTATTAATCAATCCATGGTTTAACAAGATGCCAAAACTATTTTTTAAGTGCTCACAAATCGAATCTAAGGGAGTCAATTTTCAAAAATTTTTTTGGGGGGAGGCCCGAAACCCTTCACGTGGGGTCACACTACGGTGCTTGAGGGTCAGGCTTTGCACGACAGTGCCGCGCACGACCAAATCCTTAGATGAGGCTCTGTAAGATCTGCAATGCAGTCAAGTGGCATGGTTTGGACCTCACATGTGTATGTGACAAGGAGTAGGGTTGCCTGTCTAACCTTGTTATTTATCCCCTACGACCTTCCACTGCTAAAGACCATTATGTGCAAGCAAATTACTGAAATAAAATTGTTCCAATATGTTAGTCCCGAAATGACCTAGTTGGTGACTAGTGGACATTAAACACCATTGTGAAAATGCTCAAATCCAAAGGAACCCTCGTTACCTCAAATCTGATAGCCCAAAAATTTGATCAATAGAGAGACTAAATATGATAATGTGTGTTTTTCTGAATCAGTGACTGTTAGACTTAAAAGAAAGACTCAAAATTAGTAGGGTGTAAAAGCCAACTACATAATGGTATAGTTGTATGAATATATGTGTAAAATATATATTGATGTAATAGTTCTTCATTTTCAGCTAAATTTAGGTAAATTGTGATGGCTCAAAAGAATGCTTTAGATCTCGATCTCAGTCTAACTGGTTCACAAATATCTGCGGGACTGTCATCTGGAAAACGTCCTCGATCAGCTCAACACTCAAAACGACCGTCTCCTGGCATTGAGCCAAGGAAAAACAAGGTAGGCCTGTGTCTGTAATTTATTCAAGAATCTGCTAATGTTATTAATGTAGCCATTATGTTTATCATGTATTTAGTTAGAGAAGAAACTTTGTTCATGAGAGGAGTTAGAATTCTGTTTGTTCTTTGGTTGTACTTAATTAGAATTTTCAACGCTAAAAAAATGGGAAAAAAGGTAGAGAAGAAACTTACCTTAGTTTCATGTGAGGAGTTAGAATGCTTAACATTTTTAGTTTCTGTTTGTACTAACTAATTTCCACCCCTAAAAATGGTGAATCGTCTGCAATTGTCCAGATTGCTATCCTGAATTTGGATATGTACCGATAGTAAATTTTCTAATGATGAGAGTTTGTTAAGTGTATTAAATTAATATGATTTATTTGTAGACAAGTAGTTTAAGAGAAAGATCAGGTAGCATAGGAGAATTAAGTAAACAAAAACCATCACCAGGTAATTATATTTTATTTAGGGTATTTACTATTTCATAGCCTTAACTGAAGTCCAACCAAATACACATTGAAGTGTATGTAAAAGAACACTGAGCAGTTGAAATTTAATGACGAGTTAACAGAAACACTGCTGTCCAGGAAAAATCAATAACCATGCCATAGCAAGTCTCAAAAAGATCAAAGCATTGTATTAACAAGACATTAAATCCCATTCATTCAGTCCATCATAAACAAGCGGTTGCCATGCAAAATACACCCACATTTTGCAAGAGATGGACAGAGAACAAGCTAAAAAATGCCCACATTTCGTACAATCAAGGGCATAATCCAGGAAGTTATGATCTGAAATGCGCGAATATCGACAGGAACCAAGGTCTTTGGTATATGAACTTATATTGTAAATTTCATCAAAATCGGATCAAAATTGTGACCTTTAGGTGGTCGACAACCTTTGTATTACATACTATTTGCAGTTTTGTTCCGATTTTCACAAAATTCGAACTCAACCTTCATTATAATGTAATGGTGATATAGTTAAACGTTTTGTAAAGTCGGATAAAGATTGTGACCTCTAGAGGGACCACCAGCTAAAAACGTGATTGTTTATACAATCAGGGGCCATAATCCAGGAAGTTACGGTTTAATATGCATGAATATTGAAAGGAACCAAGATCTTTTGGATGTTAACATATATTTTAAGTTTCATCAAAATCGGATAAAAATTGTGACCTCTAGAGGGTCCACAACCTTGGTTATACATGCTTTTACACTATTTGCGTACATGGAGTGGCCATTATGTCAGACAGTTTCATGAAATTCAAAATCGAACAATTTTTATTATCGGATAAAAATTGCGACCTCTAGAATTAATTACAACTTTTTGTTTTATCTGCTGTTATTAGTGCTATTTTTGAACTTCAACAAAACTGTTATTTCAGGTTTATCTACTCCATTATCAAGCTACAGAAGTGAGCAAAGTGATATTTCGTCTGTTAGTAAAAATGCTCTTAGTATTCGAGGTAGAACAAAAAGGTAAATTAAAAGATAACAACATACACAATTTTCATGTATTGGTATCTGCTTCTAAAGAATCATTACAAATTACAAATTTGTTTAACCTTGTGAATGCTCTAACAATAAAGATTATCATCCGATCTGTATGAAATTTATGTGCATTGTTTAATTTAGTGAAACTAAGAAGCCTATTGAATTTCAGCAATTTCCATTTATTACGTAGGGGGGTTGGATGGCTGAATGGTTAGCGTGCGCGCGCTGTATCATAAAGTCTGTCATTGAGTCGACTGGCGTGGTTTCGAATCCCCGGTTGTACGTGGCAAGAAGTAGGGTCACCTGTCCAACCTCGTGGGTTTTCTCCGGGTCCTCCGGTTTCCTCCCACTGCTAAAGACCCCTACGCAGAAGCGAATTATGTAAATAAAATTAAACCATATGTTAGTCCCGAAATGACCTAGTTTGCGACTAGTGGACATTAAACACCATTGTGAAAATGCTCAAATCCAAAGGAACCCTCGTTACCTCAAATCTGATAGCCCAAAAATTTGATCAATAGAGAGACAATAGTGGACATTAAACCCCATTTCTCTCTCTCTCTCTCTCATTTATTACGTCTAGAGTTATGGCCCTTGTTTTACTTTATCGAACCCTGTGAACACAATGATGACAAAAGTTATCATCCGATCTGGATGAAATTTATATGCATTATTGAAATTAGTGAAACGAAGAAGCCTATTGAATTTCAGCAAGTACTGTTTATTATGTCTAGAGTTATGACCCTCGTTTCATGTTGTAGAACGTTGTGAATGCTCTAACTCCTCTAATGACAAAAGTTATTATCCGATCTGTATGAAATTTATATGAATTATTTAAGTTAGTGAAACGAAGAAGCCTATTGAATTTGAGCAATTTCCGTTTATTTCATTTAGAGTTATGGCCCTTGTTTCACTTTATTGAACCCTGTGAACGCTTGAATGACGAAAGTTATCATCTGATCTATATGAAATTTATATGCATAATTTAAATTAGTAAAACAAATATTCCTATAGAATTTCAGCAATTTCCGTTAATTTCTTCATGAGTTATCACCCTTGTTTCAGTTTGTTGCACTTTGTGAACACTCCACCGACAAAAGTTATCATCCAATCTGTATAAAATTTGTATGCATCATTTAAGTTATTGAAACGAAGAATCCTATTAAATTCTAGCAATTTCCATTAATTTCTCTAAGAGTTATCACCCTTGTTTGACTTTGTTGAACCTTGTGAACACGCGAATGATGAAAGGTATCATCCGATCTGTATGAAATTTATAATTATATGTATCATTTATATTAGTGAAACAAAGAAGCCTATTGAATTTCAGCAATTTCCAATAATTATTTAAATTAGTAAAGCGAAAAAGGCTGTCGAATTTCAACGATTTTTGTATATTACTTCCAGAGTAAAGGCCTTTGTTTCAGTTTGTAGCACCTTGTGAATCCTCAAAGGACAAAATTATAATCTGATCTGTATGAAATTTTCTTGTAAATGCCCCCATTACCTACAAAAGATTAAATATGCGACAACCCTTGTTGACCCCTCGGATGACTTAGCTGCTGTGGGTGTATGTTTTGTTGCCTGGCAACCGATCTTCTCATTTGAATAGACAATTTAGTGAAACAGGTTCCCTTAAATCATTTAATATGACTGCTATTATCATCAGTGTGCTTTATTTTTTCAGCAGTTTGTTTCTTAATCTATCAAAATTTTCTCATATCATTTATTATCTCATTTGAGATTAATGATATATCAGAATTGTGCAAATTGATGCATTAGTGTTTTAAAACTCATTTATATGATCATTGGTTTGCAACATGTTTGGGCAATGAATATTGTGACTTAATAATAATAATAATCTTCTTATAATGAACAACCGATAATTAATTACAAAATTTAGAAACCAGATTAACTCGATAGCAAGTGCTAAAATATAAAGCCCTAGAAAGGTAATTAAAGGAGAAGACCTTTCTTGTTGAAAATCGTTGGTCTTCCTCTTTAAACATGCATTATGCAAGAGCAAAATCTGCTTATTACAAGTCTTTCTTTAGGCCTGAAATGTTATCTAAATTATCAATTAGACATTAATTAACTTATCCAGACCATAATAAACTCTCGATGTCAAGGCTAGCCTTCGATGTAGGCTGGATTAGATTCCTATATGCCGCTAACGGCCAAAGATAATTAAATCAGAAAAAGCGGATAATCGAGACTATGCTGTTTATATTAATGATTTTAGTAATGATAACCGAGACTATGCAAAAATTTCACCGGCTTCTTTCTCGGCTCATAGTGGATCAATTTGACTGAAATTTTCAGCAAATTACCTTTACACTATCTAGTTTTTAACTATTATAGCGAGAACTGCCATCTCTTATCTTATCTCCCATAATGTATCTTTAAGTAAGCTTACTTTACATGATGTTTTATTTTTCAGTAATGATGATTTTCTTGCATTATTTGAAAATTCACCTCAACCTAAGATAAAGAAACCTGCCACAGTATCAGCAATTAGTAATCATAGCAAAAAATCTCTCAAAAATTCTTCTAAACTTATCTGGGACAATCAAGTAAGTATGACATATTAGTCCTATTACAAATAGCTTATATTATTATTATATATCACTTTCTATACGCCCACATGGAAATGTGGACGTATATTGCCATCCAGTGCTCACTATTACATTTTTACTTTCAATATAAATATAAATGCATAAAATTACGATGTTACAATTTACAAAATTCTTCTCTGCTTGCAGAGGCCATTTTTTGAAAGCTTTTTTAGTACACTACAACCAGTTGTGAATGAATTTGTAAAGTCAGCTAATTCACATATGGAACAGAACATTGTTTTGGTAACTGCATCATATCTTAACCATGGATTTGAAAATTTCCATTCATCCCTAAAAGATCTACCTTTTCCAAATGCACTTAAAATTTTACACTTTTCGAGAAAAAAAAATTCTGCGGTGGATTTTTGAGCTAGGCCTAACCTATTGTGGAAGTAAAAATCACTTTAGCATCGAAGAATATAATATCATCAAATGTAACAACAAACCTGGCTTATTGCAATTTGCAGTAAGAAAAAGATCATACAGAAGGCATAAACACAAACAAATCGAACAAGTATTGTTCATATAGTGTCCGCCATTTTGATTATATAAAGAAATCATCAAGAAAGCCACCGATTCGTATTTGAAGACAAATAATTAAAGCTTTAGTCTCTTAATTAGTTTATTACTAATCATACTTTAAATACTTATCGACACTAATCAGAGATTAATTAGTAGACAAAAGATAGCCATATTATTGATACCTAACCACAATAAACTGTAACAGACTGGAAATCAAAGCATTGAGGCAAAAAAAATTTAACGCCATGCCGAAAAAAGAGTCGCCATACAGGAAAAAGTTTACGCCAAAAATTTGTTGTTAACATTAGTGAGATGAAGAAGCCTATTTAATTTCAATAATTTGTTTATTACATCTAGAGTTATGGCCCATGTTTCACTCTGTTGAACCTTGTGAATGCTTTAACGCCAAAAGTTATCGTCTGATTTTTGTGAAATTATTTAAATAAGTGAAACGAAGAAGCCTTTTGAATTTCAGCAATTTCAGTTTATTACGTCTAGAGATAAGGCCCTTGTTTCACTTTATTGAACCTTGTGAACGCTCTAATGCCAAAAGTTATCATCCGGTCTTTGTGAAAATTTAAATTAGTATATGCATCATTTAAATTTGTGAAACGGAGGTCTATTGAATTTCAGCAATTTCCGTCATTTATTTCTAGAGTTATGGCTCTTGTGAACCTTGTGAATGTTCGAATGACAAAAGTTATTACCCAATCTGTCAAATTTCAGAATTTTCTGTAAATTACTTCCAGAGTTAAGGCCTTGTTTCAGTTTGTAGAACCTTGTCAACCCTCAGAATTATAATCTGATCTGTATGAAACTGTCTTGTAAATGCCCCCAATTACCTACAAAAGAATAAATATGCGACAACCCTAGTCGACCGCTCGGATGATTTAGCTGCTGTGAGCGTTATGTTTCATTGTCTGACAACCTATATTCTTTAAATGATTACTCCTTTATACAAATTTTTGATATGGAAAAAATATATTTGCACACATCTGTTTTACAGGGCTGCTATTTTAGTAAAAGAACTGTTGTTAATGTTAATTAACTCAAGACATTACTAAAGATGTTTCAGCAAATAAATACCCCAATATGGACACAGTCCTTTACGGAAACGTTCCTTGGAAAAGGGTGAATAATAGTTGATGATTGATTTAATGATTTTTCTTTTCAGTCTTTAAAAGGAAAGCATATTACTAATAGCTCCAGAAATAAGCCTGGACTTGAGTCAAATCGCTCTGATCGCTCAGAGCCGCATAATATATTTCATCCACAGATAGACAATGATAGTAGCTCTGAAGAAATTGAAGATATAGAAGAAAGCCTTTCTCGTTCCATTAATAAATTGCAAACTCTCCAGAATCAATTGTCAGGAATCAATAATAATGCTACTGAAGATGCTAAAATTACTAAGACTTCTCCGAGACAATCTGCACCAGTTAGTTGTAGTATTGCCAATAATATGACCTCACAAGGATTGTCTCCAAAAAATAAAGGCCCTTTATCAAAAATCGAAAAATCATACCAAAATATTAATCACAAGGCTCCAGTTAATCAAGTTCCTAAAACAAGTGATAAACACGTAGGTTTAAACGTAGCAGAAGATTATATTCAATCTTTAAACACAGCTGCAACCAAAATTCAAAAATGGTATCGACGCCACGATGTCCGTCAAAAAGCTAGCTCTGCAGCTGTACGGAGACTACTCAGTCAGAAACACAAAGAAAAGATAGAAGAAAGGAACCATGATGTACATATGTCACTCTCTGAGAAACAAATAGAAGAGAAGAAAATTGAAGAAAGAAAGAAAGTGAGAGAAGAAAAAGCTCGTTTAGCCAGGAAACAAGCAATACAGGTACCAGAAAATTTTATATTTATTATACCAAACATTCTATATGTACCAAACGGAACGTTGCCAAAATATATGAGTAATATTTCTGCCATAAGTATGTGTTACAGTTTATCTAACAGCTCATTCTGTCTTGTTATTAACAAACATTACAGGGGCTGCAGTGGTTGTGTGATTAGGATACTGGACGATTGGAATGTCCTGGGTTTGAACACTGGCATTGGTCAACAAGAGCCATTGGGATTTAAAAGCTTGGGATACATTTGTCTTGGCAGATCTGACACAGAGAGTCTGTCTAGCTAGTCATTGAAATGAGACTAATTATTCTTGTCCTGGTGGTGCACGAAAGATAATTTAGTAGTTGGAATTTGCAGAAGTGTAGACAGAAATACCAATGTCCAGTGAAATTCCTCCTCTCTTTTATTTATTAGTACTATTAGTAGAAAAGATGTTCAATGTCATTCCATTCCATTCCTAGATGACAAGTAGAATACACCATACAGATTTCACTTTAAAACTGACTTATAAATGAATGTTATGTTTTTTAGGATCTACAAAAGAAAAGGGAAGAAAAGAAAGAAGTAGTAAAGAAAAAAGTTGAACTAGAAATCTCATATTTACAAGCAAATGGAAAACTAAAGAAAACTCCATCTAACACTAGTTTAAATAGTAAGAAGAAGAGTTCTCCAGTTAACCCTCTATCACCCGTTGAACCCTCCTCTAGTCGAACTGAAAGATCTGAGGCAACACTTACAAATGGTAATGTTCACTCAGCTGTAGATGAAATATTTCAGGTAAATAAATATAATGTTTCCTTTATTGAGAATAATACTTTGTGTGAGCAAAAAAAAATTAAAGCATTATATTTGGCATGGCCTATCACCATTTGCATTATTTTCAATATGTGTTGCTGTTCTGTAAAAGAAAAATGGAAATCAAAGGATAAATTAATGATGGTTATCTGCATGTATTGAGCAAATTCTATTATAAATCAAACATTAGTTTCAAATAACTTCCATGATTAAAATAAATGTGCTGTAATTGGATTGAATTTTATAATTGTTCTTTCTTTAATTTTCTAGTCAGGGCCATTTTCACCAAGATCAAGAAATTCGGTTGGAGCTGAAAATGTGACACCTAAATTAACTGCCAGGAAAAGTCCTAGTCAAGCTGCAAGTCAGAGCACATTAAATGATCTGTTTGATACCCTGAGAAAACTTGAAGCAGAGGAACATTTAGTGACACCAAGACCAGAAAAGAAAAAAAATACATGGAGTAAGGACATACACAAAATATTAAAAAATGAACCTTTAGATGAATAAATTTGTTAAAAAATAAATAAAGTGCCTGGCGACGGTTACCTGTGAAGCTCCCTGATCCAGCATGCCAATAGCTCTGTTCCTGTTTTCTTGTGTAAGGCGTGGCATTTTTCCGAAGTAATGCATGTTGAAATTTTGATCTGTATTTAAAGGGCCAGAGTGCAGGGAATGCACGTGCAAAACGTGTGACATGGGACTACTACAATTGTGAAAGAAGACAAGTGTTGCGTTTGCACGAACAAAGTTCATTACCGAAAACTGATATTGGGTTCAAACCCAGAACTCCACAAAAAGAGACCCATCACAAGTTTCACCTATGTGCCATAAGATAGGAAAGCCCATGATAACGTTTACCATAAATATTTCACGAATTAGGCATTGCGTTTTTAATGACTTTGAGTATAGTTGATGTTTACTTTTTTTCAGTGGATGAAATTTCTAAAGATGATGATACTGATGATAGCAAGGAATTTAATCTTACAGCTGAAAATTTATCAAAATTGGGACGTACTAAGGATGGTCTTGGTAAAAGTGGTTTCTTAACAGATGATAAATTAAAGAGTATAATCACCTTCTTAGATGAAGTTCAAGTTAGCGACCGAATTAGTGTTATTGATTCTGTAAGATTGCACTCATAACTTTATAATTAATTTTGTTTGTTTTATTACATTTTTGAACGTAACAGCTTGGATACTGAATGATTCTTATTCTAGCAGCTGTAAAATATGAACTTTCACTTCAAATATCATGTTCAAATTTTATTGGCCATGCTAAAAACTCAATACCCTAAAACATTGATTTGTATTTAATTAGTATGTTATAAATTTGAAATTGCTGACAACCTCCACTTATACTTTATGCAAATTGTATTTCTGATGTACATTTATTACTTTTGTAATTTTCAAAACTAAACAGAACCAGTTATAATAATAAAAATGGATTTTACTTTTGATATAGGAATTAAATAAGATTAATGAAGATTTACAGAAACCAGCCCTTTTAGTACCAGACGGAGAAGAAATCGCTCATATGGAACAAGCTCAAGCTGTGGCTAGTGAAGTTACAAATACTGTTTTATCACAAAGATTAGAATTAGATGAAAAGAAACGAACAGTACATATGTTGCAGAAGGCACTGGTAAAATATTTATGTGGTATCTTTAAGTCTGACAAATATTCACTCATTAAAACTTGTTTTTTAATAAACAATAATAAATTTGTTATAATTCAAAACTTGATGTGGAGAAGATCATAAACTAAACATTTAATGTAAAAAATTCTTATATATACCATAGCCAATTTATATAATTGTCTACATTTTTTTGTAGAATCAACAAAGAGAGTTAACTGTAAGGCATGCAAAGGAAACAGAGAAAGAAATGACAAAGCGGTTAGATTTTCAGAAAGATGAATATGAAGAAGCTATCAAACGTCATTTATCTTTCATTGATCAAGTAGGTTCTAACTTTCAGCTAGTGCATGTGACATTAAGTCTAAACTAATGACGTTTTCATGATATTTATTAGTTGTTGTAATTTATTTTCTTTGATTGGCATTTAGTAGTTGAACATATTAACACAACGTAAAATTTTATAGATACAGAATTACTGAGTTTAATACTGAGCAACATTTTGACGAGGATACTCTCAAACAAATGATACAGGTATCCCTTGCATCAGCGATCACTCTTGTTCACTCTTGTTCACTCATACTCCCATACATTCACACTTCTCACACAAATTATTGTTTATCTATAGCCCAGGTTAATTGGTTTCCCATTAATAGTGTTAATACATTGATCTTTATAAATGATAGGATTTCCCCCCTTTTTAATCTCTGTAAGAGTTTCCGTTGTGTAGGTTTAGTTGTAAATGGCCCCCTAATCAAAGGTGTTGAGTTTTAATTGTATTAGATTGTTATTTTTGTTGCATATTCTGTATATATTTGCCTACTATTCACATACCCGTATCATTTGCTTGATAAAGATGAGAGTATCCTCGTCAAAACGTCACTTAGTATTAAACTCAGTAATTGTGTATCCATAAGATTTTACCTTGTGTTGTAATTTATTGTTTAGCAGTATATCAGTGGTATTTTTGTTTTAGTTGATTGATGATAAAAAGAACTTAAGTGAGAAATGTGAAACATTGGTTAAAGAATTAAAAACTGTGGATAAAAAATATCAAGACAAGATTAAAAATTTAGATGAAAATCATGGTTTAGAAATTTCCAAACTAAAAGATATTCATGCAGCAGCTGAGAAACTTCGAAGAGAAAAATGGATTGAAGATAAGACAAAGAAAATCAAGGTAAATTTATGAGATATTTTATGCAAATTTGTTAAACAAACATACATAGACAATTTCATTTTGACCAATCAAATCCAACTCCTGTTGATGCAAGCTTCCAAAAATATGTTTCTGGTTTAGTTTTTATTGCGATCAATAACCGATAACCTAACAACATGTCCAGTCCTTTTCAGAGATAAGGTTATACTGAATGATTAATTTCGTATCCTGAAAAAATTGTATAACTATCAAGAGATCATTTGCTTTAAAATGTTTGTCTTTGTAAGCCAAGAGCCACAGTGGCTTGTTGAGTAAGACATTGGCTTGCTAACCTGTTGACCGAGAAAGCTTATCAGGATGTTCAGACATGGTTCCCCCTTGTCGGTGGTGCAGGATGGAGGATGGGACGAAAAACAGAGGTCCCATGTACACATTGGAGTGCATGTAAAAGATCCCATAGCAGTTGGAATTCGATATGAGAGTAGGACATAGCACTGCTGTCCAGGCAAAATTTCCCTCATACCTCACTGTATGGCATATGTCTATCTTCATTGGCCCAGTTGGAGCAGAACAGTAGGACGTTAAACCCCATTTCATTTCTTTGTAAGCCAGGATTGAGCATGGCTTTGTTTGTATTCTACTGTAATACTTTACTAAATTTTATTTCTCTATGACAAACAGTAGCTAACATAATGCTATATTTGTTTCTATTGAACGTAGGACAGATGTTGTTTGTTGTTCATCTTTTGTCAATTTAAAAATGTCACAAAATTAACTTGCTCTAGCAAACTGTCAATTTAATTGTATGTCTTGTCACTAATCTTGATAGATTAAATGAATCAGGTGTATTACTAAATCGATGTGATCTTGATCCTTAAAGTCCATTAATCATCAGGATCATTGATCAATAATAAGCGAAAAGTGAGACAAATTTACTATGTATCTGTAGGAAATGACTGTAAAGGGTCTAGAACCAGAAATACAAAGATTAATAGCTAAACATAAATCTGAGATGAAGAAAGTGAAACAGATACATGATGCTGAACTTCTTCATGCCGATGAACGAGCAGCACAGAGATATGTTAATATGACAGAAGAATTAAGAGATCAGTTAGCTAAAGAAAAAGAAGAAGCGTGTAGAAGAGAAAGAGAACTTGCTAAAGAAAGGTACATGGCTGTTAAAGATACTTTCCCGCATACAAACTGTGTGATTTGATGATATATTTAGACTAAAAACATATTCAAACTAATTAATCTATCAAAAATTTGCTCCAAATCCCTCTCAAAAGTTTGTTTTCGTGGGGAGATTCCACAAGCTATAAATCAACTTTTGTTAGATGCCATTGTCTGTCAGCTCAGTTCATTGTGGTAGGGTCCATTTTTCAGAATGTAATTTTCATTACTTACTGTCCAATTATCATTGAAATTGAGGCCTAAGTAAATCCTTAATTATTTTCTGTCAAGTTCTTTTTCTGTCGTTTAATTGCAGAATCTTTTGTACGTTGACATTGCACAATATTCCCAAAACCGCCTAACCATTTGATCAAGAAATAACAACCGCTCCCTCAGTCAAGCTAGCACACAATAAGCTGGCAGACAACAGGTCGGTTTGCCAGTTAGTGATACCCTGACATTTTTACCCACTGCTTGCCCCATAGGTATTTTTCGGGTAATCCAGTATTTTTCTAGTAAGATTGGGTGTCTGTACTTTCCATATATACCAAATACTTTCGAGACAATGTATCTTTAAACTTTGTATTGATACACATGTATATTATAACAGCTGGATGCTACAGATAATTTAGTGCCCAAAAGATGACACTACAATCATGTTCCCCCAAGGAACTACAAAGGTGGTTGCTATCATCCATAATCATGTTTTCATATAATCAGCACAGTCTCATAAATCTAGCTGAGACATGCCTCCATTTACACCCCCTGCCTTTAAACTTAAGAAATAAGAAAGGAAATATATTAACAAATTAACTGTGGATCTGGAAAGGATAAGATGTGTCTTGTTGTTTGGATGATAGGAAACACCTAGTGCACGCTAAAGATCCCTTGGCCGTTGGATTTAAAGAAATTGTAATGTAAAAGTCTTCTCCATAGAAAATTTATAAAGAATTTATATGTAAATTTTCAATGAGACATTACGTTACGATTGTGTGTTTTTTTAACATTTTCAGATATGAGAAACAACTTCAACAAGAAGAGTTGGCCTATCAACAGCAAAGACGTAGATTATACACCGAAATACAAGAAGAAAAAGATCGTCTATCTACACAAGGAACTCGTCAAAGATCAGATTTAGAAACCTTAAAAAGACAATTAGAAGATAGTCATAGACATGCTTTAGATGCCATGAAAACAGAATTTGAAAAATCTAGGGAGGAGCAAGAAAAACGCCATACTGTAAGTAAAATAATTCATACTTGAAATATACTTATGAATACTTAAGATATTTAAATATCACCCTGGTGAAGATATAGGACGGGGGAAATATTAATAAATATTGGTCTTAACACATCATATAGTATAGTCTTGATTTGTACAATGATAGGGCAGTCAGCATGTAGTAGCTGTAAGTCAAGGAAAATAATCCAGTCTTGTGAAATTGCATATCTTGACTGTGGGAGGATTGTGTTCATTATTTTTTAAGATATCCAGATTAAGAATGCCTACAATGTTACATTGCTCCGTCTGAAAAATTTTGTCATAATCAATTAGTAAACCACTGCATACAGGCAGACAAAAAAGGTTTTAAAGTAGTAAAGGTTTTTATATCTTCCATTTTCTTTTGTGAATGTCTTCAATTTTATTCATTTATCAAATAGATATTTATTTTTCTTGATCATTATGATGCCAGAACCTTGTAATATTAATATTGGCCTGTTTTTAAAAGGACAAAATCCAGTACAATTGAGTGTAAGTATTTTATCCCTTTCATGATAAATGGTGTATTAACCAACTTTTAGCTGTTGCATCCTGTTCTGGCATTTATATTTTGTTAGTTCTTTTCTTTTTCACATCAGTTACATCTACTTTTGTATAATTATTTTTTATAGGGTGAAATACAAGATTTACAAGAAAGACTAAGATTAGAGAAAGAAGCTTGGGAAGAGAATTATATGAAGAAACAGGAAACTTGGTTAATGCAGAAAGAAAGGGAATTGAAAGACAATGTGCGTCGAGATCGAGATAAAGAAATTGAACTGGTGATATCACGATTAGAAGAAGATGCTACATCATCAAGAGAAGAATGTGAAAGAACAGCGGAAAATAGAATCAAGTAAGTACATTATTGATTGGTGGATGGTACCTCCATTTTTTTTTTTGCCAGCTTTTTATTTTAATTCTATATCCTTATATTTTTTCCCACCACAAAAATACAAATATTTTTTAATAATTTTTATAGTCAAATGAGCATGAAACATAAATGTTGGGTATCTTCCTTTTCTTAATAATTTATGCTGTTTAAATATAAGAAAGTTTCATTTAAAGTCGCAGAGGTTTACTACAAGAATATTCACACTGCCAAGAAGGTATAGGCATACACTGTATATGAGGAAGTACTATCTCTCCGTTTTTGTTCAACATCAATATGTTTTAATGGGCTTTTGTAAATATTTGCACTGCTTTCTTTTAATGAAGGAGATTCCGTGAAAAATATGATTGTGAAATGAGAGAATTGGAAAAATCTGAGAGACAGGCTATACAGAAATATAACCAAGTTAAGGTATTATATCATTTATTGTATTTTTACCCATTACATTACTACAGTTGACTCTGTCACTTCCGACATCTAAATATTACAGCATTCTGTGAAATCAGTCAACATTTTCATGTCCCGATTTATTTCCTTATTACTTTAACCCAAAAAGGTTAGAGTAATCCGTATTCCGAATTACAACTTCAATCAGCGGTCCCGTCACACGATCTGTGTTGAATTAACATTGCATAATCCGGCCTTCAATCAGTGGGTGTTAACCAACAAGCAATCATCAATCAGTTATCGGTGAACTTAAAACATGTGTTGGTCTTTGTTGTTGATTACCTTGATAATTTTATAATCTCTTGTAAGAAAGCATTTGATATTTCATTGGGTGTCTCAAGTCAAATACAGCGACATTATTATAAATTGTCGAGATGATCCATATGAATATCATGATATAAGAAACAGTAAGAAACGATTTTACCCGAACTCTAAATTTTAAGACATTGACAGAATGAGGCACAAGTGATTTGTATGCGTCCAAAGTAAAAACGTAATAATTTTATGTAATAAAGTTTTGAATGTACAGAAAGGTTTATGTTTTAACTTCTTGGTATTCGAAAGTGTCTTGAAATAATACTTCTGGTATTTGAGGTACAATAATACTTCCGGTATTGAGACAATTGAGTATTCTGTCATGCTGTATAATCGCGCATATTGTATCGATTCTGTACAATGCAGAAAGTGATTGAATCCACTGGACATGTTTCAATAATAAGACTCCTCATAACAGACTGTTAAATTAAATGGTTATACAACTGAAATTTTCATAACAAACTATCAAATTAAATGGTGATATATATTAAGTTTATGATTTTAGAATTAAAGAATCCCCGCTCAACAGAATACACAACAGACTTGTAAAAGTAGAAGATTGTTTAATGGGTCGACGTTTCGGGTGCAATACCCTTTATCAAGATAATCTTGATAAAGGGTATTGCACCGGAAACGTCAACCCATTAAACAATCTTCTACTTCTACAAGTCTGTTGTGTATTCTGTTGAGCGGGGATTCTTTAATTTTATTTTACTACTCCGCCCCGCCGGTATCATCTTTTGATCCAGTCTCCACGCAGATGTATCAGCCTGTCCAGCTTTAATTACTCTCTAAGGGAGTGTTGCCGTACCCTTTTCCTGTTGTAAGTTTATGATTTCTACAACATTAATAGCTTGATTACTAAGTAGAAAAATATATTGTTTACATAAACAGGCTGAAATATTTTATTTTATTTATATAAACAGGCTGAAATGGCAGAGGTTGAAGGAGAAAATGCTAGATTAAAAGTTGTGATAAAACAAAAAGACAGAGAAATAGCTGATACCAAAAAGGTGTGTTAAAATATACTTTAAATTTATACACTGGTGTTAAATTGTACAGATTTCTGAAATTCGATTGCTATTCAAACTTATTGAGAAATATTGTTTAAGATTTATATTGACAGGTACAAATTTTTAACATTTTACGTTCTTGTTTAAATTTGTTTTACAGTTAATTGAAAAACTACAGGAAGAAAGGGGAAAAGTATCAGATATTATAAGACAAGAATTTGCCGATAGAATTGTTACGACAGAAGAAGAAAATAAAAGAATAAAGAATGACATATCAGAACTTAGAGCTAAACATCGCATAGAAATAGAAAAAACTAAAAACCTATCTGAAGAAATTCGCAAACAAAAAGATGAAGAGTTGGATGAGGTGCACAAGAGGTAATTTGTACCATATTTTGTTTATATTGATTAAATTTAACCTGCCAGTACCACCTATAATATTTCCTAAAAACATTTGAGGGTGCCTTTTTAATCCGATTGAATATAATTTTAATACTATTGAATCTAAGCTTGCAGATTATCTACCACTGATTATATGTTCAATAATGAATTTGAGTATACTTTATAGTTGATTAGGCTGTGAAAATTGAGATACTGTCCAGAAAACGCAAATAACGATCAGCAGGTTTAACTATATTGATACCAAATAGGTCTGCAGTTATTATTGACAGATTTATTAGAGTAACTGCATAAAAACTATTACACCTTTTCAGGACATAACAGATGCACATACATAGTACATACCAACCTTATAAATGGGGGGGGGGGGGTAACAATTATTCTATTACATAACAGTATTCAAAAACTAAACTTTTTCATCTGCAGAGTAAAACAGGCCATTTTAAAGAAAGAAGATGTGGTTAGTCAGCTGCGACAACAATATCAAGCTGCCTTGAAGAGGGCAGATCATTTGGAAGGTCTGTTAGAACAGCAACGCAAACAACTATTAGCAGGCAAATAGAAGCACAAACTTACATGTTTATCAAACTAATGCTTATAATATCCATGATAAAAACATTATTCTCCCTCCAATGAAGAGATTAATTTATTAAAATTGTTTTGTAGTTTTATAATATATTTTGTTATTTAAAAGGCAGAGTTACGTTGAAATGGGATGTATCTTTTTATACTCCAAAGAATATCTATATATTTTATGTTTTGTTGGGATGTTAAGATTGTAAAAACAGTGTGTTGATTTGAACTAAGCTGAAGGTTATTCTATAGCTAACTCTGTCCATCTCTCATAAATGTTAAAGTAATTAAGTATCATAGCTAATAATCTGGATTTATACCAAATTGAAAATAAAAAGGGAAATTTTAACTGAACAAAGTTTAACTGATTTCATATCTTAAATATTTAAAAGAGATTCCTTTAATAGTGATTTTATTTTGTCCAACTCATGCAGGATGGGTCTGGATAATAATTTTCAACAATTGGATAAGTTTGCAAAATTTATTTAGGCTGCTACAAAGTGAAGTCAAATTTTCTATAGATCCAATATAAGATCTTGTATGTATGTTGAAACTATATTTGTAATTTATGTATTGGGCAACATATCTGACTCCATGAAATATATTATGTGTGATATTCTATTTTCTATAGTTATTTGTCTAGGTTGTGAAATTAATTGTAATGAACATGCAATGGTGCCTTTTATCCACAGACATATATTAGTCTACATCAATGCAACAGTTTTGTAGCCATCCATATGCTTTAATTTAAGAGAAATTGTTAATCCCTTTGTTCTTCAATATTAATATTAATATACGACTCCGAACAAATAAACAAGTAGAATATGTCCCTTATAGTACAGGTAACTCAGAATATGATTTTTATACGCCCACAAGGAAATTATTATTATTATTATTATTACAGCATATTTATAGTGCACCCTTTCATATAACATGTTCAGGGGCACTTTACAAAGTGACAATGTAAATCACACATAAACAACAAGATTATGGGCATGTTAACGATTGTATACAGAGTCAGTTAAAAGCCTGATTAAATAAATGTGTTTTAAGTTGTTTTTTAAAAGAATATAGAGATGTACAACATCTTAAACTAAATGGTAGATTATTCCATAAAACAGGTGCTTGATAACTAAAAGAGCGCTGACCATAAGAGACTAGTTGAACAGTTTTGGGCTTTAAAAGTAGTTTATCTGATGTACGTAATGTTCGGCCAGGTGTATAAAGTTCTAAAAGATCTGAGAGGTAAACAGGAGCTAAATTATTTAAACATTTAAAAGTAAGTAATAAAATCTTAAAATCAATTCGATATTTAACAGGTAACCAGTGTAAATTATATAAAACAGGAGTTATGTGGTCACATTTCTTAGTTAAAGTAACAAGTCTAGCCGCAGTATTCTGTACTTTTTGTAATTTATCAATAAGCTTTAAAGGTAAACCAACTAAAAGTGAATTAAAGTTATCTAATCGAGAAGTGACCAGAGAATTAACAAGTGACTTAGTGGCCTCTACAGTTACACATTTACATATTTTACCTATATTTCTAATATTAAAATAGCACAATTTACAAATATTATTTACTTGAGCTCCCATAAGCATAAAACTATCAAAGATAGCGCCAATATTACGAGCAGAATAAGATGAAAATATATCACAATTACCAATTACAACAGGGGGGGTTATCTTGTGCAGATTTACTTAATTGATGCCTTGAGCCTAATAACAAATATTCGGTTTTATCATCATTCAATTTTAGAAAGTTCTTTGACATCCATTTTCTAATTTCACTAATACAGTTCTCAAGTTGCAATTTTGATAAATTGAAAGAAGATGGACAATTAGGTGTAAATGAAATATATAATTGAGTATCATCGGCATAGAAATGAAAGCTGAGACCATATTTTCTGACAATATCACCTAATGGTGACGTATAGAGGGTAAATAAAATCGCCCCCGTCGGTCCATCGTCCACAATTTCTTGTGAACGCACTAACGCCAAAAGTTATCATCCAGTTGTTTTAAAATTGATATATGTTGTTTACATTAGTGAAATAAAGAAGCTTATTTAAATTCAATAATTTCCGTTTATTACGTCTAGAGTTATGGCCCTTGTTTCACTTTGTTGAATCTTGTGAACGCTCTATTGCCAAAAGTTAACATCCGATTATTGTGAAATTTATATGCAATATTTAAATTAGGGAAACGAAGAAGCCTATTGAATTTCAGCAATTTCTGTTTATTATTTCTAGAGTTATGGCCCTTGTTTTACTTTGTTTAACCTATCTTTCTGAAATTTATATGCATGATTTAAATTAGTGAAACAAAGAAGCCTATTTAATTTCTGTTCATTACGTCTAGAGTTATGGCCCTTGTTTCACTTTATTGAACCTTGTGAACACTCTAACGGCAAAAGTTATCATCTGATCTTTCTGAAATTTATATGCATTATTTAAATTAGTAAAACGAAAAAGCCTGTCAAATTTCAACAATTTCTGTAGATTACTGCCCGAGTTGAGACCCTTGTTTCAGTTTTTAGAACCTTGTGATCTGATCTGTATGGAACTGTCTTGTAAAGACCCCAAATTACCTACAAAGGAATAAATATGCGACAACCCTTGTCGACCGCTCGTACGACTTATCTTTAAAGTGAACAGATTGGCTGTTTTTATATTAAAAAGTGATGTAAAATGTATATTTATTGCTTGTATTGTTTGTTTTAGTATTTTGAGGTGGACTTCCATATCTTGAATCTCACAATTCTGTAGGAGTGTCATTATAATGATTATTTGACACATGGTCTTGAAAAAAAGATCATTTGACAACATTAACCTTTGATTTTAATATACACCTTGATTTTTTACCTACTTAAAAAGGGTATAAACAAACTGAATAATTAACTGTGGCACCTTCTCTTGTTGAATTGTGAATGGTCAACAATTTACCACGATGACTAAATATCTTAATCCAGTTTATATTAAACTTCAGTTCATGCAGAAATTTATTTCTTTTTCATTAGGGCATACTTGTAAAACTTTTCTTTATAATTCATTATTGTAATTTTATTTCTGTGATAGTAAAGTGTTTGTACTATGATTTATAAATTGTATGGCAAACCAACTGTATTAGAATTACAGTACAAGTTATATAAAGTCTACAGATCTGAAATCATGAGAGCTAAATATACTAAGATCATGAAGTTGACAATAATTGTAAGCTCTTATATTTTATGTATTATTACACAAAGTGCTTTTATGTCGGTTAGAATCTTTGTTTAATTTCTTTATTTATTCTTTGATTTTTTCATTATAAAGTCCAGGTAAATCCATAGGAAAATAAATTATTATAACAGTAAAAGCTTGTATTATGTTCATGTGTCACTTATAATTTTATTGATAGTCTGGAGGCCGAGTGTGGAGGGGTTTCCATCAAATGGGCACAAAATCAGACCCATCTTTTCTATAGTAAAATTTCGCGTAGACTAGAATACGATGCCGGTTGGTAATCAGTCCGCTTTTGGGGCGTTTTTCTAGATATTTTGGGTCAAAGGTCAAATAAGTTCATTTGCACTGAAAGTGAATGCGCAGCCATTCTTGTATCATGCAAATAAGCTGAAAATGATCGAAAACTTGCTAAATTCACCTTTGTTCTTTGTGACCCCAGAGGTCAAAAGGTGAAATTTTCCGTTTTATCACTAGGAAGATTTTTAAATTTCACCGTAAAATATAAAACTAAAGCAAAAACTGTTCCATTTAATAATAGGAACATTTCTTTGAAACGTCGAAAAAGGTCTTGCATAACAGAACCAAAACACTTTGAAACCTGTTTCAAAAATTGAAACCCCGCCAGTTGACTCAATCATACTCAATGACACACCTTACAGAAATGGAAAGGAGTGAAATGGTGAGGGTAGACATTACTGAAAAATGGGTTTTAGCATGCACTTGGCATTAACTAGGTCATTCTGGGACTGACATGGTTCAATTATATTTTAATAATTCACTTGCACATTGGGATCTTCAGCAGTGGGAGGAAACCGTAGAACCCAGAGCTGTAACTCACGAAGTTTGACAGGTGACCCTACTCCTTGTCATGTACAAGAAAGGAATCAAAACCACCCCACTTGAATCAATGACAGATTTAATATGCAAATGTTAAACCATTCGGGCACCCAACCCCCTTGTGAAAAACAGAGCCTTGCATATAGATGTGCAGCCAGTATTACCAATGTTAAAACCATATGTTGCCAGGAAAAGAAAACCATATGCCAGAAAGCAGCTAATTAAGTCATCTGAACATCATGAGATAAGCCCCTCATAAATATTACATAAAGATTATTAGTGAAGCCCATAGATGCTAACAAGGGTTTATCTCTGGAAGTTATTATCGAAAATGGGATAGTACACCAATATAAATTTCAGAAAGCTAGATTAAATCCTAACAAGATTTCGAAAGAAAGGGGCATAACACTAAAGGTCATCATTGAAAAATACAGAAAATCAAAAGGCATCTTTGTTTCAATTAGATTGACAAACCATATGAATTTAAAAAAAAAAAAAATGGTTTATGAACCATGCATTATGCAAGAGCAAAATCTGCTTATTACAAGTCTTTCTTTAGGCCTGAAATGTTATCTAAATTATCAATTAGACATTAATTAACTTATCCAGACCATAATAAACTCTCGATGTCAAGGCTAGCCTTCGATGTTGGCTGGATAATCGAGACTATGCTGTTTATATTAATGATTTTAGTAATGATGACCGAGACTATGCGAATATTTCACTCGCTTCATTCTCGGCTCATAGTGGATCAATGTGACTGAAATTTTCAGCAAATTACCTTTACACTATCTAGTTTTTAACTATTATAGCGAGAACTGCCATCTCTTTATCTTATCTCCCATAATGTATCTTTAAAGCTTACTGTATTATTTTAACAAGAAATGTGATCGACAGACGGACATGCATGGCAGCAAAATAGAACAACATTAAAATGTGTGGCGTATCTTAAAACCACACAAACAGAACAGTAAGTATCTTTAATTTAATAGTTTTTAACGTCACAACACAATATCAATACATATTTATATATTATTTGCACAATCCCACATAATACACTTGAATTACAGGTACTTCACAAAATACAGTGAATAGAAGTAAAGTATTATTAAAAATCTTCTTTCTGTATACCCAAAATTTAAGGTTTTATAAATTCACTAAACCATACTAATAGGAAGACTACCCACTAATTCTGTTTACTTCAAAATAAGTGCCTATCATTATATCTATAGGTGTAACTTGCAAACAAATTGTTATTTCCTTGATTAAAGAGTACATAAAATAAATCTTAATTTTCTGTGATGAAAATCTAAAAAATGTCAGATTTAATTATGGACAGTTATTTTAAATAAGTAAAATTTAGAAAAAATTATTTCATGCAAATTTACAATGTGACACACAGTAACCTGCCTTAGAAAATGGCTATTTAAAGGCATAATCAGCATACTGATGGGTACTTATTTCTTATTAACAGCATTTACCAACAAAACCAATACTTCTAATCCTTATAATTTAACACAATACTGTTATATTAACACAATACTGTTATATTAACACAATACTGTTATATTAACACAATAAAATATTATAAACATTAACGAAAAAAGGATTTCCAAGAAACGGTGTGATATCATGGCTAATTTTTTAACTGACATAAACTTACTAAGGAATAATTTTGCAAACGGAATGCAAGATAATTTCATAGATGTGTGTAAATATTGGAATGCAATTAAAACAAAGAAATATATTTACAATAAAATTCACTGCATAATCAATACTCATACAGATATTTACAAATAGTGGGCTTTCATTTCTCAAGACAAAGTGTTTGTTCAGTAATTCAAGACACAATACATCATCAATCAGAAAGGGCCTTCTCCATGAGTTGGTGATATTTTGATTGATGTGTCTGTAATCCTGATTGTGTGGTCCTTATTTTTTTTTATCTTTAGCAGGTTATTTTACAATATCACATACCATTAGGGGCTTCATAACTTTATAAGAATAAATATAACCATTTAAATTTACAACAATTAAACATTTACATTAATAGTTAATATCCTAATTTTATCCCCTACATTATTCCCTCTGTATAATCATTGACTGTATACATTATAATCAATATTTACTTTATCTATGACTGATCACATATTTTCTGGTCCATTAAATGTAACACATGCTGTATGATTAGCTGACTATGTCACAGAATGTTTAACACAAACTCTATTTATTAGTTTATCATACAACAATACGCTCTTTATTGGTCTATTTTACCTATCATTGAGATTAAAGTTTTTATTTATTGTAAACATTAAAGATTTCAACAATAGACATCTCTTATGTTTCAAAAGATAATCTCATGGTATTCAGCAAATTCAGTATGACCACATTATGATGTTACTCAAAATCTGGGTATATGACAACTGTTGACAGTTTTCTTACTCTATATATGTATACATTATATTTATCTTCTAATCTAATTTTAGGTCCATAAAATGAGAAATATTCATGTATTCTATACATGTTTCTTAAACTATTTAGGCTTGGTGAAATATAATCTGCCATGAAAAGACTTGAGTGGATATTTATATGTTAGCCCAGAGCTAAATCAAGCACCTAGGTTAATCAATATTCGCCACAGATGATAAGATATATTATTTATGATTAATGTAATTAATTGAGATTTAATTTAGAAATGCCAAAGTTTGATTGAGATAAATATCCTTCGCAGATTAGGACCTCTTTCTTCAGACTCTTTGTATCTCAAATAATTTCACATTTGTATCATACCAAACAGGAGGATCCACATTTCTGAAAAACATAACAGCAAATTAACAAAAATCCAACTGGTTCATTGTTGAGAATTTATCAGAACTTATAATTTGTTGCATATTAAATAACAAATATTTAATACTCATTTTGATATTTGTATTGACTATAAATTTCCTATAAGATGTATTAATGAAATATACAATACCTGAGGTAAATGACTCCCCATAAGTAAGTTCTGAACCACATAGTTGTTCCACTGTTAGCCTGGTATTTACGTATAAGTATAGGATGAGGTACTGGTAATAAACCTACTAATGTACCATGTTGTAAAAACTTCAATATCTCACTTTCATCTGTTAGACCTCTATTAAAACATAATAATAATTAGTAATATATTAAAACTAAAGAATTGGTGTTACCAGGTGGTTAAAATAAAGGTTTTTAAAAATAATAAGCACATTAAAATAGATAAAACATTTTGTTCAAGTTGTCTTGATTTTGTGGCTCAGTGAATATGGCACTGATTCTCTACTCTAAGCATAAGGTCCTATCTTTGATCCTGTTGTTGACCAATAAAGTTCCTTAGGATTGTTCAGACTCCAGCCTAATTCCAATTGCCAGTTGTGCAGGACAGAGGGCATGGCAAGGAATATACAATGGTTTACTGGTGTACTCGTTAACATGCACATAAAAAAGATCCTTGATGTTGGAATTTGATCAAGAGTAGATAACAAGCCATAATAGACCTGTTACAAACTAAAAAGATAACAAATAAAATATACATACTTATCAATACAGATCTTCTCTACTTGAGGTACAAGAACTTGTAACATTCTCATAATAGTCTGTAAGGGTAATTTCTGTTTCCATGACTGGACCTGTTAATGAAATAATTCATACACTGTATGCTATTCACTACAATATCCCAGTCTTCCAATATATTTCTCATACATTGTAGTTTTAATGAAGAATATGTGTTTTGGTTTAATAATTACAGTTCAAAGGTTGGTGTATCAATTTTATGTCAATCTGATGATAACTTTATTTTTAGAATGTCCACAAGGTTTATTAAAGTAATCAAAGGCAATAATTCTCGAAGTAATATTTGGTAATCAATAGACTCCTCCATGTCAAGAATAAAACATACAATAATTCATACGCTTAAGCTGAAATCATCAAGTCACATCAGACAATTCTGAGAAGGGATTAGCTGCCAATAAAAAAATGAGCACCCCAATGTCATAGCCCCTCAACTCTCAATTAGGGAACAGAGAATTAGAGTAAGCATTTGTGATGTGTAAAATAATAAATAACCACTAACCCATTCTGGTGAAGCCACCCAGTTACCAGCGGATGATGTAGCACGTTTAAGTGGTAATCTAGCAACTGTTTCAGATGGTCCAACAGTACTAGCTACACTATCAGTTGGACTAGCTGGTGGTGTTGGCTGAAAATACAAATTTAAACATACAACAGTTTACATTACTAATAAGAGGTAAAGACCTCCTCCATCTACTACTAATTTCCAAAGTAGGTGCTAGTTACTCCAGGCCAGCAACTGCTGTTTGCTCAATTCAAGTCAATCACTCAGAGTTCTAGATGGGTCAGCAGAGAATCTTTCTATATTCATCTAGAGAAAAAAAGATTTGAGCTTGCACAAAATATGAAGTGGATAGAATGTAGTCACACTGCATAAATATACTTCAACTTTGAAATGTCTGCATCGTTATCTCATGTATTATTAATATATTGATATGTTTATTGGTAAACTTACCAAACTTGGTGTTTTCTCTAGTTTAGGTTTAATATCACTCTCTGCTTTACTTGTATCTTCTACAGGATCTTGTATTTCATTAACAGGTTGAATACTCTGTGCTACACCTGTTTCAGCTATTTCCTTTAAGGTTGGTGGTTTATGATTTTCATCAGGAGCGGATTTCTCTGTCATTTTATCCAAACCTGAAATAATGAAATACAATAACTATTTTTGTCATTCTACTAATCAACATTTCCTATAAATATGATTATCATAAGGTTGGAACTTTTTCTTAATGCAGATAAAAACCAATTGAACAAAATGAAACAAAGCAAAATTTTCTTTTCTTTACTGGTATAAATGAACAAAACCACTTACATGGAGTCGCAGCCAAAGATGTCTTGAGAGTACCTGGTTCCGCTTCTACCGCAGGTAATGCCCCTTCCATAGTTTGAGGATCCCTAGTATCTTGGGGAGGAGCAGCAAACTTCTTTCCTCTTTTGGTCATAGCTTTAGCTATAGCGGAATGGTCAACCGGTAGATTAGCTAGCTGATGGAATACGTTTCTCTTTCGTATAATAGTATAGACTAGGTTAGAGTTACCATCAAACTGATACTGTATAATGTTGTTAAAAACTTCCAACAAGAAAAACACTAAATGATGATTAGTAGGGCTGGCAAATAAAAACCATGGTGTGCTGAAAGCCTGAAAAAAAAGCAAGAAAAAAAAAACAATTTCAACTAGTAACTAGTGTTATTTATTTATGATCCAGTTTCAATTGAATATATATGCATATCTTAGAAAATAAAATTTTGCATAGTGCTTAAATTTAGTATAGGTTTAAATTTTGCATAGTGCGTAAATTCAGTATAGGTTTAACGGAGAAAGATGTTAATAAAATGAAGAAATTATGGCTACTGTATAGGGTGTATTTGTTCATCTCTGAACACATTTCAGAAGCTTTTATCTTGAATACAGCATTCCACTTATCAAATACTGGTAAATGAAATGGGGATTTAATATCCTACTTTTCTGCACCAACCAGGCACCCACACAACAAAACACAACTATTACTTTACTTACCTCAAGAAGATGTAGTAATTTAGTACTAGCAACCATAGACAATGTCTTCAAATATGGTGAAACTGAAAAACAGAAGGAGTAACTATATAAGTCAATCAGTGAAAAGATATGTCTACCACACAAAATCATACAAAGGTTTCAGATATGATATTTAACATAAAATTCATAATTCTTTCAAGAAATTGTACATATAAAGCTAATTTACCATTGACAATAATAGTGAGAAGACAGTCAAATAATGGCTGTAATCTTTGGTGACCTGTTGTAATAATCTTGTGGAAAACCTGAAATGATAACAGAAAATAGGAAATCAATATGTAAAATTTAGCAATACAATATAGAACAGACCATATGGAAAAGGAGTTTGATTATAATAAAACATTTCTCAAATTTTATTCATCAAAAGCTTAATCTCTTCAAATCTACTGTAAATTAAAATTATGGTTGAAACATTCACATTTAAAAAAGTAGTGTACAATCACAATGGGTAACATTTTTTTTGCCCACCCAGTATAACGGACAGATTGTGTAAATGAAAAGTGATGAGTTCATTAATATTTTACTCTATAAGTTTAATATGCAAAATAAAATAACTAACTTACAATAATGAGGAAGTCGGCATGAGTGCCAGTAAAAATGGGAATATCCATGGGAACTCGAACAGAGTAAGGTTTGTTGAGACGAACACCAAAGTTTCTCTCACCACTCAACAATAACAATATAAATACACCAATATGCATTAATCCTACTCTTGCTGTAAAAGTATGATTAGAATTAATAAACATTTCTATACCTGTAGTCAATTCCAACAGCACCCAATAAGCAATCAGATACAGAGAGAAGATAAGTTCAAAAAATATTATTAACATTTGTTTTCACAATATGTTAGTAATAAAAATAAGTCATTTTTGATGAGCTTTATCTAAATTTCAAAATTAGAATTAAAAAAATACTACATTTAATAAAATATTTAATATTCTTGCTCAACCTTAAAACAAAACAGATTTTACGTTAAATTAGAAATTTGTTTATTCATCATAGCTTTTTTGGTTATAAGACCCATTATCTGATAATTACATTAAATAATCCTGTGCCAGATTTTAAAATCTATATGATTTACAATAATTTAATTCGTAAAGGAGTGAGAAGTGATAAATAAAGGGTCGAATTGTGTTGATCTGGTGTGTTTTTATTATTAGTGATTGGACAAGATCTATGGCTGTGTTAGTGTTAGTTGACTTATATATAAATATTAGGTATGTTCAGTAGAATACTTAATCAGTTTACTCTCTCAATAAGAGAGAGAAATGGAGTTCAACATCCACTCGACACAAACTAGGTCATTTCGGGATTTACATATGGTTCAATTTTATTTCAATAATTCAATTGCTCGTCTTTAGCAGTTGGAGGAAACCAGAGGTCCCTGAGAAAAACCAAGAGGTTAGACAGGCGACTCTACTCCTTGTCACATTCAATCAGGGAATTGAAACCACACCACTTGACTCAATGACAGACCTTGTGATTTCACGCACACATGTTAAAACACTAGACCACCCAACCCACACTCTCTGAATAAGAGAGAGAGAGAAATGGAGTTTAACGTCCACTCTACACAAACTAGGTCATTTCGGGACTAACATATGGTTTAATTTTATTTCAATAATTCGCTTGCGCATAGGGGTCTTTAGCAGTGGGAGGAAACCGGAGAAAAACCCATGAGGTTGGACAGGTGACCCTACTCCTTGTCACGTACAACCAGGGATTCGAAACCACACCAGTTGACTCAATGACAGAGTTTATGATACAACGTGCACACGCTAACCATTCAGCCATCCCCCCCCCCCTCTCTCTCTCTGAATAAGCTTGATCTGTAGACATAAAATGTTTGAGAAGAAAGATATTCAATTAACACAAGAAGTTAACCAAATTGATTTTTTTTATTTGTGACCCTATCCCAACAGTATTAAATAGTGTGAATCTTACATTGATCTGCTCGAGCATCATTAAGAAAATATAATATAGGTACCAATACATCCAATACATCACTACTCTTTAATACATAAAACATAAATTTCTGAAATAACAAACAATTATACTTTATTAAATATTATTTGTATACATAGCAATAACAGTTGAAACATTGCTATAATAAAAGATAAGAAATGTTTTCTCAAATAGGTATTTTATTTATTTATAGAAATAAAAGATATCAGACTAAGTAATAATATATAATATTATTCTCTGAGCAGATAAGCCATCCAACAGTACATAAAGGCTGTCACATTTTTATTTTATTGTAGGTAATCAGTGCATTTACAAGACACTAACAAATGATCATGAGCAACAACCCATGGAGTAATTATCAAAATTTATAAAAAAATTGATAGGCTTCTAGTTCTACCTAACATTAACAGAAACACCTGTGCTCACGCTGGGTTCCATTTTGTTTCCCACTAGTGTATAAATTACAAGTCAATCTGAAGGTAACTTTAGAGCGCCTACAAGCAATTTTTGACGACAAACAATGAACATTTGTGATGACAAGATATGATCACATTTCGATGGGGACGTATAAAAATGATGAAAATACATTCTTATCTTTATAGAAATATCCATGAGATTGTCAACTTATCAACTTATTATAAAGTTTAATGTTTAATAATTGATGGCTGCATGAATGAATTCTGATGGCTTTCATGTCTATGTATTTGATTGAAAGCATTAACAGTTTATTACCTTATTAATATCGCACATTTTCCAGAAGAGAACCAGTAATTCTTGATGAAACTGAACCTTTTTTGTAGATCCAGGTAAATAAGTCTGTGTTAGTGGATTGTTCAATAAACGGGTTATTCCTTTCAAAATAAAACTAAAATCCTAGAAAAATTTAAAACAGAACAATAGTTTAATGGAAGTGAGTTAAACTATTAAAACTTTTATCTAAAGTTCTTGGCAAGAATTTTCTTATTACTTTCAACAAGAAAATGAATGTAATTCATATTCAGATTAACCTAAGGCCCAATTAATTATTAAAAATCACATCACAGGTTTCAAAACCATTGTCTATAGGCTGCTTGAAAACCATTGTCATAGGCTGGCTTGAAAAAATTGTCTATAGGCTGGCTTGAAAACCATCTCAGATTTTGTAGATTTGTCTTAGCAGATTTTGCATATCCACTAGGTTACAGTACAGCGAAATCATGTCAATCAACAATCAACAAACTGCTAATACATACCTATTCAAATTATGCATGACTCAAAACACTTTTGTATTTCTATAAGGAGCTTATTATAAAACTCATCGATACTGGTACATAAATTTAATTCAGTCTGAAGAGTGAGGTTTAAATGTTCAATGTATAATTATCATTTATCGTAGGTTCTATTTTTATATTGTTCTTACCTCTTCTCTATGAATTCTGGATAAATAATTAACAAACAAATTATCTGGTCCCCCTGCCTAAAAGGAATATTAGTAACTGTTAACAAATAGCAAATGAGTAAATTTATATGGATTGAAAAGAACTTAAAACTTCTATGGATTGAAGAGAACTTAAAACTTAAATGGATTGAAGAGAACTTAAACTGTAAATGAATTGAATGTTAAAGTCTGATTGAGTCTGAAGGCTCTTAAAAGTCATTTTCCTTTATTAACAAAATTTGACAAATATAAAGGCAGAAAGGTGTTTTTTGAGATTATAATATTGATATTTAAATTAAAGGCCAGTAGGTTAGACCATTAGAACCCATCTTGACTTTGGTTTTATTGCCTAGATAGAAACAAGTTATAAGAAACTACTTACATCACTGCTTTGATCCATTGCTGTTCCACTACTGGTACCATCTACAGATACATTCTGATTACCAGAATTATCGTTCTCCATGGTAACACACAATACCTGTAGTGCTATCTCTACTAGTGGTTCACGGTGATCAGAAAACATTAGATGATTGTATGGAACACCATAGCCAACAGGATCATAGGAACATACCAAATTTAACATAGATGTAAACAATGGTAGAGCATGTCTGTAATATAGCACATTTCAATCAATTAGATTATATCCATTTAAAACAGTTAAAAAAAAAAAAAATCAATGTTCAAGTAAGAAAATGATACAATAATTCAACGACATACTACATTAAAAAGTTTCTCATTACATAAATTTACTGTATAATATTAAGACGTGGTTTTGGCAGAGTATTCAGAATCGATTATAGCATGACTATCAGATCTATAATCATGCCACTAATAAATATTATTACTTGTGAAATTACCTGTTTTACTTGCTATGATTTGGAATGATAAACATGTTAGAATAGAACATCAAGATCACTCCCAAGATAATCATAGCTACAAATGATTTTTTCCTCACCCCTAGTAGTAAGTTTAGTTATTAATGTTTAGTTTTTTTCATAGAAGAATTTATTCTTAGACCTTTTAGGGAATTAAAGCATTACACACTACCTAAAAACAGGATAACATGAATGCAAGATTAGCTGATATAAATTAATACGGTTCTTGAAGCAGGATTTATTTAACAACACTTCCTAATAAGGGATAGGATTACAAAGCAAAGGTTAATGGCCAGAAAATGTTGTTTTCTTTACAATAAATCTACTTAATAACCTATATAATTGTTACAATTCCATACAGTTCTATGTTACTCCTTTCACTCACCTATTTTCAGTAGATGAGAAGAACTGAATCCATTGATTAGGATGAGCATGAGCATCAGCTGCAAAAGACAAAAGTATACAGTTAGTCATCATTACTTACAAGACTTTAGACAACGAACATATAACCACAAAACGAAATGAAATGAAATGGAGTTTTATGGGACGTCAGCTCCAACCGGGCTATATTGCGCCAAACATGGTGAATTTAACAAGACAAATTTAAAAGAATATCACAGACATTTATATATGTAAATAAAAACAAATATCACAGAAAGTATAATTAAAAACAAATATCAAGTTTTACATATATAAACATTTAAAACATAACACATGATAAAATATATACAATTAAAATTTATTATAAAAATTTGTCTCCTTTAAAAATGTTAACAATTTATCATATATCTCCGGTTGAGCAAATAGCTGACGTACTGACTGACAACAGTAATATTTTAGATCTAATATGTTTGAGATGATTGCACTCAATCAAGATGTGTTTTACTGTCAAAGGAACATGACAGTGAACACATTGTGGTTGACGCTCTCGCTTCAAAATGAAAATATGAGTTAAAAAGGTATGACCAATGCGAGAACGACACAAAACAACTTCATCCCTCCTGCTGGTTCTATAGGAGCTTGGCCAGTCTCCTAAGAGAGGCTTAATGTGATGAAGTTTATTTGTACCTGCAAGATCCCAAGGCCGTTGCCAGCGGCATATAACCACAAATAGGAACTGTAAATTGATCTCATACAGTCAATCAGCCAGGCAGGTGAACCCATTTTATTTGTCCACTATAAAAAATAGATTACATTAAAATTATAAAGTTTTCACATATTATCCTACATTATTTAAATCAAAATTAAAATAAAATTACCTATTGGAGGAAGGTACATTGTTTCTGAAAAACAAGTCAGCAATAGTTTAAGAATTTCTGTACGGTTTTGATCATGATAACCATTATGTGCTGGAGAATGAGCAAATCCAACACCAGCTTCCCAAATATATTCACAACTATCTATAGAGTGCATGTCTTCAGGATTATCCTGCAAAATGAATAGGTTTATTAATATTCTTAATGTTTTAGTAGGCTTAAGAAATATAGTTATTCTATTTACTAATTATTAAACCAGGAACATTTACCACAACTAAAGTTTTATCTTAGCATACTCATACAGTTACGCCTGCATTCTGACCATTACAATTCAATTGTCTGTTAATTGTGGTCTTTTTAATTAAGTATGTTAATAAAATTATATGATGTAACAGTGTTTAATACATACGATCTGATGATTTACTTACAGGGCCTGCCTTTCTGTTAGATGCAACTGTGAAATCTGGACAAAACAACAGATCCTGCAAATTAAATAAAGCATTTGTATTGTAATAAAAAGAAAATATCATAATCAAACATAGAAGTTTAGACTTTTATATTTTGTTCTTTATTGCAAGTCATAGATTTATCTACAAAATAATAAGGACATAAAGGAGAATTTTCAAAGAAAGATGGTTTATAAAATTAGAACCTGTCTTTTCTTTTTCTTTAGAAAGAATATACATCTGTCACTTTTAATACAATACAATCCACAGTACACAGAAATTGTTACCTACACTAGCTGCTACACATGTAACATGAACAATATAAAGATTGAAGACAGATATACTTACAGTGAGAGCACTAAGCAGAGACTGCGCCAATGGGGGACTCTCTGTCTGTAATACAAAAGAAATAAACAGTTCATAATTCTATGCAATACAATTACTGAGTGATGTTTCAATTAAGCTTCTTTAGCAAATTAAATTTATACTTTTATATATGTAATTACTAGTAATATAGATAGGTAAAGAAAAATTTGACAAACATGAATCTAACTATATTTTTGTTATTATTACGTAAATAAACATAAATACATTATCTCTTCACCCACCAATCCTTCAAAATCATTTGAATTTCATATAAAATTAAAGCTACCTCTCCATCTTCTGAATGTCCAGGAAGAGTTGACCAAAAAAATCCTCTCCAATCAGGATCCTCAAATATATATGGAAGTATTCTAACAAGTAATCTCACACAATTCAAAACTAGAAGAAAATAAAAATTTAAATTATTCAGCACTAACAATAAAGGAACGAAAATTCCTGGAATATTGATAAAATGTATAATACACACCTTAATACACGTATTATCATTTAATCTATCATTAGTACTGAATGTTTCTCAATCAAGTACCGGGTATCAAATATTTTTTTAGCGTGAGTGTATCTCACGATTTTAAAAAATTAAGTTGAAGTAAAGATAGACTTTACCAGTTTGTTGCTCTCTTTGTGAAGGGCAGCCACTCTCTGCTGCTGCAACCAATTTTTCTACAGCTTTGTAACAGAATGTTGCTAAATTTGATGGTGATTCTTCTCTAAGAGCTCTTATTTCAGCTGCAGGTATTAAAGTAAACACATCTTGTACACATGTAACGCTTTCAGACCAAAACTGTTCCCAAAATGCCTCATCGTTTGCTTCAATTGGCTAAAAAACAAGTAGTACATATTAAAATTATGTTCATCTTCCCTGTTACCGATATTTTCATAGTTTCACTGAAGAAAGAATTTGTATAGCGGTGAAATGTTACACATTGAACCATAAAATGTATATTTTTCCAACTTATAAGTGGCATTCTAAAACTATAATATTTGATGCCTTTTAAGTTTGATCAAAAAAGTGTTTAATTGAGTTGATCTGCTCATGCGTCATTTCAATCAATGATGGGACAAACTCTTATAGTCAGTTCAAATAAACACAAACAAAATCGTAAAGACATTGCAAGCAATAAAAACCAAATATCAATTCAAGTGAATACAGTCCTGGACCTGTAATGATACAGGCTTCAATCAACATGAAAAACAGAACAATGATGCACCTGTCTTGAATATGATTGTCTCCTAAATGGCATTTCTTGATGGCAATAGTCTGCCTGTTGACATCATGAGTTAGAACGTTTAAAGAATTAACAATAATATAATAATATAATCCCGATAGAATTTTATAAAATGCTAACCAGCGGCTGCCAAGCAGAATACGCCCACATTTTCGAGAGATGGATAGAGAACAAGCTAAAAAGGAAGTGATTTTTCCTACAATCAAGGGCCATAATTCAGAAAATTACAATTCGATATGCGCAAATATCGAAAGGAACCGAGATCTTTGGGTTATAAACTTACATTTCAAGTTTCAACAAAATCGGATAAAATTGTGACCTCTATAGGGGTCACAACCTTGATATACCATATTTTTACGCTATTTGAGAACGAGGGGCGGCCATTTTGTCTGTCAGTTTTGGGCCGATTTTGTGGGTAACGGTGATAAAATAATACGTTATTTTAAATCGGATAAAAATTATGACCTATATAGGGTCCACAAGCTAAAAACGCGATTTTCGTACAACCAGAGGCCATAATTCAGGAAGTTACATTCCGATGTGCGCGAATATCGAAAGGAACCGAGATCTTTGGGTTATAAACTTACATTTCAAGTTTCAACAAAATCGGATAAAAATTAAGACGTCTATAGGGTTCACAACCTTGATATACCATATTTTAACGCTATTTGAGAACGAAGGGCGGCCATTTTGTCTATCAGTTTTGGGTCGATTTTCATGAAATTCGAAGTCAGCCATCCTTAAGGTGTAACGGTGATATAATAATACGATTTTTTAAATCGGATAAAAAATATGACCTCTATAGGGTCCACAAGCTAAAAATGTGATTTTTCGTACAATCAGGGGCCATAATTCAGGAAGTTACAGTCCGATATGCGCGAATATCGAAAGGAACCGAGATCTTTGGGTTATAAACAAACATTTCAAGTTTCAACAAAATCGGATAAAAATTGTGACCTCTATAGGGTCCACAACCTTGATATACCATATTTTTACGCTATTTGAGAACTAAGGGCGGCCATTTTGTCTGTCAGTTTTGGGCCGATTTTCACGAAATTCGAACTCAGTCCTCCTTATGGTGTAACGGTGATAAAATTATACGTTTTTTTAAATCGGATAAAAATTATGACCTCTATAGGGTTCACAAGCTAAAAACACGACTTTTTCGTACAATCAGAGGCCATAATTCAGGAAGTTACGTTCCGATATGCGCAAATATCGAAAGGAACCGAGATCTTTAGGTTATAAGAATACATTTCAAGTTTGAACCAAATCAGATAAAATTGTGGCCTCTACAGTGTTCACAAGCTAAAAACGTGATTTTTCGTACAATCAGGGGCCATAATCCATGAAGTTACAGTCTGATACAAGCCAATATTGAAAGGAACCGAGATCTTAGGGTGATAAACCTATATGTCAAGTTTCATTGAAATCGGATAAAAATTGTGACCTGTAGACTGTTCACAAATAATTGTGGACGGATGGACGGACAGGGGCAACGACAATATACGTCCACATGAAAATATGGGCGTATAAAAATTAATAAATAAAGTATAGTGAGTAAACATTTAGACATTGAAAATCCAAATGTAAATCTTAAAAGTAATGAGAATATGGTCTGAATAATTCCAAATCAGATTCAGTTACAAATTTTTTTACTTTAAAGTGAGTATCGGTAGACTAGTTAATGCTGTCAACTCAACTCAGGAACAAAGTTGGCTAATTTGTCTACAAATGATATAATGTTACTAACAAAAGATAAAATCATTGTCAAAATTATATCTTGTTCCTCGGAGAACCTATTTTCAATATAAAATTTAAATCTTAGATAGTGACCAAATCTGGTACAAATAAAGTGTTTAAAAGCATTTATTTAGTAATTGAACTGGAATTTATAGGTCACAATTCTATGTAATACAATTACAGCTTATTACTGAGCGACGTTTTGACTAGGCTTCTCCAGACATTATCAAAAAATTATCAAGCAATGATAAAAATATGAAAAATAACCAGATAATGGCAATATATACATATAAACATTAACAACAATACTTGGTTAATGTTGACCAACTAGAGACACCCTTCTAATTGCCTTGAAGGGAACCTAACTTCTGTATAACTGTGACCTGTATATTGTTATAAACAAAGGAATCTATGAATGAAGGAAATATTATTGGTGAAATCCTTTTAATACAATTAAAGTTCAAATAGGTTTTTTTAAAAGATTTTAACCTGTGGATTAGACAATAGCCTACTTAGAACTTTTGGGGTCTTGTTCTTGTTGGTAAAAAATAAACTTTCATGATTGGATTTAACAAACAAATTTGAGTCAAATCTGCCAGGACATTATTATCAAAAAGTAAATCGTGAAAAGTTTTCAGATCCATTTCAGCACAAGGAGTTTAACAAATCAAATGCCACTTAAAGGAGCTAAATCACTAATATATGGGACCTAGAAATTGACACAAATGGGTCACAATGCATATAATAATTTAATATGAATGTATATAAACTGATTTACATTCAATTGTTTCTGTTTTTACTGTAATCTCTAATCAGTGTTTTCAATGTCGAAGACTTTGGATGATACAGAGTTAGCGACATAGCTACTTTAAAAATACTGTACTCTTGTTACACAAAGTGGGTGAAGATGCTTCTGTAAGGGAGCAGGTCGTTACATCCCACTACCTGTTCATCTCAAACTGTTTCATCACAAATTTACACAGGTCGTTTCATCCCACTTATATCGGGTCGTTTCAACCCACTTATATCGGGTCGTTTCATCCCACAAATTTAAAAACAGGTATTACGTGAATTTTTAATATTTTATTTATACATTAATTAATACCAATAACAATATGTCAATGAAATTTTATCATGAATAGTGTCCAACTTCTTCCTTTGCATACGCATTAGTTTATTTTCCAATACCACACTAATTCTTGACACCAATTTCATTAAAATAACATCGCTTACAATCAAGCAATGCTCATAGTAAAACATTCAACTTGTAATATAGTCATTTTCATGCATGTTAGTTTCACTATAACAGGATTACCTGTGACAGAACAGATCAAAGAATAAAATTGCACGTAGCCACTATTTCGACACGTTATCTTCTGATGTTCACACTACCTGGCGTCTCAAATAACCCAAAGTTAATAGAAAGCATGCAGTGTCCACCTTACAACAGGTTCCATTAATTTACAATTTATTTTATAATTTATCACACAGTTTAGACCACAATGTGTTACGATTCACATTTTGGTATTCTAAATTGATTCTTATTCTGAATTCTTATATTTGGAGTTGTTTAGTTCCATTTCGTGTACGGAAATTAAATCAACGATTAGTTTTAAAATTAATTATGGTTTCGAAATAATATCAATCTAATTTGTCTTATTTAAAAGGGGCTCCTGAACAATTTAGTTGATTATTGGGTAATACGTAGAGTACTAGAGACCATGATGTATTTTGGCGAGTGATTAAGCTGTCAATATGTAATTATAAAATATCTTTTTATAAAGAAGCTAAAGGATGTTAGACATCATAAACTAATGGCAATTAACTAACAATACTAATATACTTTTCTACAAAAATATCATAACGCCAATTAACAAACAATATGAGTATACAGCGGTGAACTAATCTCGGTCGTGATCGGTAATCAACAAAAATCGACGAGTAAAACTTATTTATTCCATACATTATGGTTTATTTAACAATAAGTAAGTATTTAACAGTTTATTTAACGATAAGTACAACTCAGTTAATTATAATAACAAGGGGGATGAAACAGCCCAATAAAAAAAAATAGGTTGGGATGAAACAGCACTAGGTGAAATGGTTGTGGGTTGAACTGATCCGCACCCCGTCTGTAACCATCCATACCCAATAAGCATTGCATCTGTTTTCCTCCCACACTGTCTCACAATGAAGACGTATTCAAAAATTAAGCTTAAACAGAAAATCAACAGATGGGTAGAAAAGATTAGGGCTGAAGTAGGACTCCGACTAGTACTACTACTAGAGACAGCAGGATTGGATAAACAAAAAAAGAAAATGAACTTTGATTTTGAAGTAAATCATTCTCATCATAGTATTCACAGACAAATTTTTTGTCAATATTCAACTCATCATAAAACTGACTGATTATCTACATTGTGCATTCAGTCAAAAATCTATTTTATTTTTATTCATAGCCTTTGAAGCCACACACACTGTTACACTCACGTTCACACAGTAGAGTAATTTAGTAAAAAAAAAAGGAGATGACTTGGTTGGACTCAAATTTTTACAGTGGTTATTGTTTTGAAAATAAAATTACCTGTGTTTTTGTTGTAAGTTGTATGACAGCCTTCCGAAAATTTAATTTAGTGTCTGTATTTCCCATTTTTGTTGATTATCTGCATTTATTAGCAGACCAAACACATAAAAACAGGAAATACGTCAATGAATCCAACTCTAATCAAGGGGGATAACTACCACTGCATAACTAGGATAAAGACTGGTATGTTTTTCGCATAAATTTCTTTCTCGGACTTGGATCGACCCCTGCATTACCAAGAAAGACTATCTTGATGCAATGAAATGAAATGAAATGAATTGGGGTTTAACGTCCCACTGTTCTGCTCCGACATGACATGACATGAGGGAAATTTTACCCGGACAGCAGAACTATAATCATGGCCTTCTCTAATGCAGCCATGTACGTACAGTGTACACAGGGAACCTCGGTTTTTTGTACTGTCCGAACAACTAGACAGCTGTAGTATTCTATAGTTTGGAAATTGGGCCACTATAGTTTTCTGTAGGAATGGGTACTAGAGAATTCTATAGCCTTTTTTTTATTAAATCTTATTTTGGGAATAAATATAGTTGGCCCATGATTTCTTCTAAATTGATAAGCTTATTTTTCTCTCACGGATTCTTCTAAATTGATAAGCTTATTTTTTCTCTCATGGATAAATCTGAATTCTGTTGATGATTCACCAGCCAGAACCATGAAAAAAAAAAAAATTTCTTGGTATAACTGAAATATAAGGAAATAGGTAATAAAGTTAAAATTCAGCCAATGGTCAAACAGATTTCAAGAGAGTACATTGGCTGTTAATTATAGTTTGTCGACAGGTATGCACAGCTGACCTGGTGACTTCAACAAATTATATAATTTGACTACAGAATCTGCTATAGTCATTAAAATCTAACTAGTGGGATCACGTAACAGTCAGACTGTGTTCAAATAAACCTAGTCTTTATTTTATTGACTTATCTGAAGAATAATTTATTATCTGATATTTTTGTTGTGAAGATCTACATTTACTGGCATTTTTTGGAGGGTGGGTGGGGAATTCCTTTGAGTGTCAACGTGTATCACTATTTCATTCCTATTATATACACTATTTTATACTTAATATTTTATTTTTTGTGGTAAGCTTATTTTAGTTTATCATTTGGTATCACAATAAATTAAGGAAAACTGCATCCAGGAAAATTATGTTGGAAAAGTTTACATAATTCACATAAGTGCATCATTAAATTCTGTTGTAAACTATAGTATGAATAAAAGACATCGCCAATTTATGAAATCTGTAGTATAGAACATTGTTTCTACATTATTTTGTAGGAAACTATAGTAGGCTATTTGTTAAAATGGTTTAAGTACAGTATACATGTAAATTCTACAGAAAACTATAGAAGGCTCATGCATTATATTTTTCTCCACAAAATCTATAGAAATTTTTTTTTTTTCCATAGTTTTCTACAGAATGTCATAGAAAACTATATAGTATTACACAACTGACTTGAGACAATAAGTTAGTTCTATAGAAAACTATAGTTTTTACCACCAAATCTATAAGAACCACAATTGACATGAGAATACAAGTTAGTTTTATAGCAAACTATAGTTTTTACCTCAAACGCTATAGAAAACTGAAGGATAACTCAAATGACTCGAGGATACAAGTTAGTTCTATAGAAAACTATAGCAGCACCAATGAATCTGTAGGTTTATTTTTTTTTTCCAATAGTTTCTTACAGTATTCTATAGAATTCTGTAGGAAATTACACTTGGAAAATATTCATCTATCAATCCTACACAAAACTATAGTATGTTTTTGAATCTATAGTCATGTGAAAAAATGAATGAATTCGTTTTCCTGCAGCATTCTATAGAATCACACAAACTTCTATAGAAACTTGTCCTTTTTCTATAGGACTTTTTCATAAGGGAAACAATTTTTTTTAAAAAATAATAAAAGGGGCCCATTTTAGTAGCAATTATAGAAATTATAATACCTCTCAGTAAAAAAGAAATTCAACTAAAATATATCAAACTAATTTCAGCACTAAATTCAGTTATTTTATTTATACGATATATTATATTTTTATTTTAATATTGTAATAATTATCAACTGTGGCTGCTTTGGTTGGCTATTGTACTATTACTACTGTACTAAGTAACTAATATAAGTAGCCTCCGCGATGTGTTATTTTAAGTTTTTAAAATAATAACCGCAAGGAGTTATCTGATAATACTAGGCCTATCATCATGATTTCTCTTGAATTTGTAAATAAAGAAGTGGAACCAAACTCGCATAGCTAATGTAATTTATACAGAAAAAAGGATGAGCCATCTATAGTAGGTGTATCCTCGGATGTTCGTGGTATGAAAAACCTCGTGGGTTAAGATATTATAGCACACAGTTGGATAACGGTTAATTTTACCTGTTACTATTAATAAAACGCTTATCCAAAGTTACGGACCAGTATATTGGTTAATAATATGAATGGTATGTAAGATGTTTAGCCATTGGTTAGAAGAATAAATATAACCAACTTGACCCGTTAAGTATTTCTCACTCAGACGGAGTTCGTGTAGCGTGGTAGAGCTAAGGGAAACGAAATAATAGTACGTAACAGACACCATCGTTATTATTTATATAGTAGTATTTTTGGGTAGATAGTGTGTTAGTTGTTTATGTATGTATATTTTTAAAACTTTTGTTATTCTGTTTATGCATGTCAGGTTCACTATACCCTCTGTCTTCATCCCAGTAACTTATTCTACTTTTCTTAGGGCTCTAACCATAATGATTTTCTTTATTGTTATTTACGTAAGCGCGGGAATTTCTATACAAATGTTTTTTAATGTTATCACTATTTAGTATTAGCGCTTTGACAGGGGTGTATCTTGAAATAAATGACAACAGTTATATCTAAAATTTAAAATGTTATCTGTAGGCCTATATATAATGTTTATAAATTACATTTTATTGCTGTTCTAAATGTGGAACATAATGATAAAGATCTATACGCTCACTGCAAGGCCAAAAGTGGATCTGTTCGTCTACCCCCCCCCCCCCTTCACATACGATCACAATTCCCAAGCCAGTGCATGCCCCACCTTCCAAATCCATAGTCTTAGCGGGCTACCTACTTAATTTTCTACAGTGCCCACTATAAATTAAGTGGACAATAGATAACCTAAATAATTATGTCCAACTTCAGGTATTTAGATAAATTTCATACCCATTGCCATGCATACATATAGTATATACTAGACATTGTCATATACATTTAATAATACAATTATACATATTACATAGACAACTATGTAAGACACAATGCAGGACTCGTGTATTCTATGGATATGGTCCTCACTATTTGTAATGTCCAAAGAAAAACATATCTCAGAAGTCAATGCGAAAGTAATCAAAAATGCCTGATTCCCCCCCCCCCCCCCAAAAAAAAAATGATGTAGAAAACGGACTAAACAGGTGCTGTATGATTTGGACTGTTCTCATATTTCTCCAAACTAAATAGATTAGAAATTATAATTAAAAGTTTCAAAATTTGATTTGATTAGAAGTTGATTATGGTAATCTAAATAATAATTTATATAACATTTGAATCCAAAATAAAAACCTGCTATTGACAGATTTAGCTCTTATCTTTAATCCACGCTAAAATGTATTCAGATTGAAATGATAAAATCAAAATATCAGTGCTAAATAATTTCCCAACCTGGATTCAGTTGGAATAAAAAATGGCTCATGTGTATCAATTACATTTTGCAAAACATAAAGATGGCAGTGTTTAACATCAGGGACGTCATCCTTGGAATCGGTCAATAAAAAGATTTGTAACTGGCGATTGCTATAGATTGTAAAATGGTGGAAAGTTCAACTTCGAATAATTGTAAACCAAGAAAAAGAAGTGAGAAGAGAAAATATAGAAAAAGGGAAGTGCACCATTAACACTGGAATTTCAGTTCATCATATCTTGGTAAATTCTGAATGAAATTTGGATTGATATTGCTATTCAGCCTTTACAATATTGTAGTTTACAATGATACCAAAAAAAACCCCACACAACACAATTCATATGGAATACAATCACTGGTTTATACACATATAGCTCCAATAATCAGCTTATAAATTGTTATCATGCAAAACTAACAACAGCTAAAAGGTTTAAAATGTATATTTAATTCTTCCTTTAAAGGGCTTCATCAATTCTGTACATCAATTGTTAAAAGTTATGTTTCCAATTGAACTAATCACTTTGTATTGTAACAACATAGGTCTTATGGCTTCTTTTTTATAGGACTATTAATATTACCTTTTAGTTTGCTAATTTATCATTTGTACTTGATAACAATAAGAGAATACTTGTCGAAACGTCGTGCTATATGTATAAACCAGTGATTGTATTCCATATAAATTATGTGCTCAATCACTAAATGCCACTCAAGGATTACAACGATATCATTCGAAATAGTCTTTCTCATTACACTTATATATTTTATTGTTGTGAAGCCATTATTGTTTCATGCCTCCATCCACAGCCATGATCATCTTACTAATTAATCCATTTGACACTTGCCCCTTTAATATTGAATGCATGTTCTAATACAACTTCTGAAGATTGTACTTTCTAAACCATGGTTTAAATATGCCTGTGTGTACTGTTGAAATACATAGTAAATATAGGTACAAGGTCAGGGTAAAGGTTTTAAAAATATTCAGTTGAAATTAATTTAATTAATGTAAATAATTATCTGTGCAGTATGAATGTTTTAGGGTTCAATATATAACCTAATAATTACATTATTGCCTAGTTGGATCTTTAAATATGTGATATAGCTTATGTTGATTGTATTTTGAGTAACTGGGTTAGCAATGTACATAAATTTGATATTGTTATCACAGATTATTGCAGTTCAATCCAGTTATTTGCGCTTGTAACTGATCTAATTTGGATTTTCCCTCCTCGTCTTTCTGCCAAGAGTGCAGCCACACATTTTCCAGACTCCCTTTTTCAGAATTTTTGCATCCATACTTGTTTCTTTGTTACTTTCTAAGGACTATGATACCAGTACATGAATTAGGCTAAGCATAAATATTGACTAAGATTTTGTTATTTTTACGTAATTTGAATAATATAAAACATGAATTTATAGTTGAAAATAAACTGACCAATTGCTAAATGTAATACCTATACATTTAGGTTAACAGAATGAATAATATGGGAAAATTATGAAGGAAGTATTATTTCAAACGTGTAACTCATTTCGCCTAATGGTCTGGGTGTAGTCAAAAATTTGGGAAAAATAAATTGTGATTTGTCTTGGCTCGAGTACAGAGAGAGAGAGGGAAATGAGGTTTAATGTCCACTCGACACAAACTGGGTCATTACGGGACTAACATATGGTTTAATTTTATTTCAATAATTTGCTTGCGCGTTGGGGTTTTTAGCAGTGGGAGGAAACAAATTGTAAGTGTGTCATACACTGGCATTTCTCTGCAGACAATATACATGGCATGTTGTGAGAAAAAGTCAGTGCCACCTATAATCTTAGCTAAAATCTTTTGATGGGCCTCTTTTTAATCTGATTGATTCCAAGTTGGAGATTTATCTACCTTTGGTATTTCGATTTTGTTCTCATAAATAAGTTAAATAATCAATTTGAGTACATTTTAGCGTAGAATAAACCCTGAATGAAATTAGATATTGTTGAAAAATTACACATAACAATCAGACGCTTTAAATAAAAAGTGAAGCCAGCTTCTGCTATCCTGTGTGTGTGTTGTCCTTCTATCCTGCATGTGTGTTATTTATGTAGCTTCTCCCTTGCATACTTACAAGATCACTATAAACTGAGGGTGAAGGTTTTTATTATTATGGCTGTATATTTAAGATCTGCACACAGACTTCTACCCAGACAATTACTATCTCTGTCTTACCAAAGGTGAGTTAAAGGACCATGAGGTATAAGGTAGCTGACCCCCAAGGCCTTAATACAGAAGGAATATCATTTTCCTACCCTTGTAGATGTTTTTCTTGGTCATTAGGTTGTGATTGTATTTCATGTTAAGAGTTACAGTGAATAATATTCAGATGAGATATCTCGAAAACTAATTTTCTTAAATATCTCAAATTCTTCATAGATATTTATTTAGATATCTCGACAACTAATTTATTAAAATACCGGTATCTCAAATGTTTCATAAATTTTTATTTATAAGCCACAACTCATTTTTATACGTTCACATGAAAATGTTTCGTCGGCCCTGTCCATCCGAATGTCTGTCCAAAATTTGTTTGTTGACACTCTACAGGTCACAATTCTTATCCGATTTTGACGAAACTTGAAATATAGGTTTATTTCCAGAAGATCCTAGTTCCTTTCGATATTGGCATGTATCAGATCGAAAATTCATGGATTATGGCCCCTGATTGTACGAAAAATCACGTTCTTTTAGCTTGTAGACACTCTAGAGGTCACAATTTTTATCCGATTTAGATAAAACTTGAAATGTATTTTTAAAACCCACAAATCTCGATTCCTGTCGATATTCATGCACATCAGACTTCAACTTCTTGGATTATGGCCCCTGATTGTACAAAAAAAAAAAAATAACATTTTTAGTTTTTGGTTCCCCTAGAGGTCACAATTTTTATTGTCCCCCGTCTTTCGAAGAAAGCAGGGGACTATTAAAATGGGTTCGTCCGTCAGTCTGTCTGTCCGTCACACTTTTTGGGACACAATAACTCTCCTTCTAATTGACCTAGAATGTTCAAACTTGGTGTAGGTGTTTATTAGGTCAATGCCTTGATGGAGTTTGAAGATGAGCATTTTCTGCTTAGGGTAAGTAGAGATAAGCAATTTGATTGGTTGATGCTTTGGGACACGATAACTTTAGTTCTAATTAAGTGAGAGTGATGAAACTTGGTGTATAGTTTCATTACATCAATACCTTGACTAAGTTCGATAATGAGCATTTTCTGCTCAGGGTAAGCAGAGCGATAAGCAATTTGATTGGCCGAGACTTTGGAACACAATAACTCTCCTTCTAATTGAGGTAAAATGTTCAAACTTGGCGTAGGTGTTTATTAGGTCAATGCCTTGATGGAGTATGAAGATGAGCATTTTCTGCTTAGGGTAAGTAGAGATAAGCAATTTGATTGGTTGATGCTTGGGGACACGATAACTTTAGTTCCAATTAAGTGAAAGTGATGAAACTTGGTGTATAGTTTCATTACATCAATACCTTGACTAAGTTCGATATTGAGCATTTTCTGCTGAGGGTAAGCAGAACGATAAGCAATTTGATTGGCCGAGACTTTGGAACACAATAACTCTCCTTCTAATTGAGCTAGATTGTTCAAACTTGGTGTAGGTGTTTATGAGGTCAATGCCTTGATAGAGTGCGAAGATGAGCATTTTCTGCTTATGGTAAGTAGAGATAAGCAATTTGATTGGTTGATGCTTTGGGACATGATAACTTTAGTTCTAATTAAGTGAGAGTGATGAAACTTGGTGTATAGTTTCATTACATCAATACCTTGCCTAAGTTCGATGATGAGAATTGTCTGCTTAGGCTAAGGAGCAATAAGCATTTTGATTGGTCAAGACTTTGGAACAACTCTGCTTCTAACTTGATGTTGATGTTCGTCTTGACCGAATTCAATGATTAACATATCGAGCTAAAGCTAAGCAGAGATAAGCAATTTCCTTGGTCGATGCTTTGGGACAAGACTTTGGAACAACTCTGCTTCTAACTTGATGTTGATGTTCGTCTTGACCGAATTCAATGATTAACATATCGAGCTAAAGCTAAGCAGAGATAAGCAATTTCCTTGGTCGATGCTTTGGGACAAGATAACTTTGATTCTATCTGATAGAGAGTGATGAAACTTAGTGTATAGTTGATAATCAGTTTGATTGCTCGATACTTTTGAAAAAAATAGATGTGCGATTAATTAATATGTGTCATCTATTTATTTGGGGATTTCGGCGGGGGACATCAGCCTCACTGTTGGCTTGTTTAATTTTAAAAAAAAACATTTAAATATATCATACCATAATGATGATCGAGTTTGAATTTCGTGAAAATAGAACCGTAACTGCTAGACAAAATGGTCGGTCTCTATGTACCAATTAGTGTTAAAACTATTTACATCAAGGTTGTGAACCCTCTAGAGGTCACAATTTTGGTCCGATTTTGATGAAACTTAAAACATGTGTTTATGTCCCAAAGAGATCCGTTCCTTTTGATATTTGCACATATCGGAAAGTTTTCTGTCCATCTCTTGCAAAATTTCAGCATATCTTATTGGCAACCAATTGTATTGTTCGGTGTTTTAATTTTTATGTACGTGTTATATCACCTTTTAAACCTTGCATGACATGCACTGCCTCACCAATATTTATCATTAATTTATTAACATTGACATTTTGTATGACCTGCAGTATTTATTGTTGAACAGGGTAAAAATTAAAAATATACAAACTGATAGCACACAAGTGCAAATATGTGATTTATTAGTGAAATAATCGACTTCCTGCATTATTTTTCTAAAACAATCTTTCAGTTCAAAATTCAAGATGGCTGGTAACAGTACATCATCCTACAATCTCCAAAGTGATATTCGAGATGACGATCCAGAGATATACGATCTGATCAGAGCAGAGAAATCAAGACAAATGAGAGGTTTGGAGTTGATTGCATCAGAGAATTTTGCTAGCAAGGCTTGCCTTCAAGCTCTTGGTTCCTGTTTGAATAATAAATATTCTGAGGGACAGCCAGGTCAAAGGTAAACAACATGTACTGAAAATCAGCACCTTATTAAAATTGATGTACAACATTTACTATTGTCGTATTGAGCAACATCATATTTATTTTTAATTTGAATGGGTGGCCATGACAATATGATTTAACTGCTTGTAACTGTACTATAACTGTACACATATCCAAATTATAATTTACTACATTAGTTTAATAACCTACATATACTTGTTTTTAGTAGATATTAAAGGAGAAGCATAGCATTTCCAATTTTTTATATTTTATTTAATAAATCTAGTTAAAATGGTTTCAACCATACTCAACCCAAAGCATGAATGGTTTAACTTTTATTTAATTTTAACATTTATTCTGTGACTATATGGAGGGTAACTATCATTAACTGTAATAGCAGAAGTCAATGTGGTTGTAGTTATATTGAAAGATTGATATACCACCTCTGAACCTAATTTAAATATAACTTAATCCATAAGATGCATATCAATAATGGAAGTTTCTTTTTCAGATATTATGGTGGAAATGAAGTTATTGATAAAGTTGAATTATTATGTCAGAAAAGAGCATTAGAAGCATTTAAATTAGATCCTGAACAGTGGGGTGTTAATGTCCAGCCTCATTCTGGATCTCCAGCAAACTTTGCTGTGTATACTGCTGTTGTAGAACCACATGGTAGAATAATGGGTTTACATTTACCTGATGGTGGACATCTTAGTCATGGATTTATGACTGGCACAAAGAAAGTATCGGCAACCTCAGTTTATTTTGAATCTTTTCCCTACAAGGTCAGCCCTAAAACTGGGCTGATTGATTACGATGAACTGGAGAAGAATTCTCTTCTTTTCCTACCTAAATTAATTATTGCTGGTAAGTAAAGATCATATTTGAATTGTAGTAACAAGTTGAAGAGTCTCCCAGTCACTAACATATTTTCTCTTTTAGATTAATCAAATGCATTCAAAATATTGTAGAACTGACATTAAAACTATCACAAATATAATTATGGTTTATTGAGCTAATATTTAAAAACATACATTTCTTTTAAGGTACAAGTTGTTACTCCAGAAATCTAGATTATAAAAGATTCCGTCAAATTGCTGATGGTGTAGGAGGTTATTTACTAGCTGATATGGCTCATGTTAGTGGGTTAGTAGCTGCCGGTCTTGTCCCCAGTCCTTTTGAATATTGCGACATAGTCACTACGACCACACATAAAACATTAAGAGGACCTAGATCTGGCATGATCTTTTTCAGAAAAGGTAAAGCAGTATTAGACCTATATCTTATGTAAGAGAAACAAACCAATCCATTAGTTTTAATTGACAATAAATAAAAAATACTGGAAATTCAGTTCGAACAATCTTGAAAAATTTAAATGCAGATACTTCTATGAGCTCTAACACAAGTAAATTGACCATGTCAATCTTTGTTCTTAAAGGTGTAAGGAGAACTTTGAAAGATGGAACAGAAGAAAAATATAATTTAGAAAGGAAAATAAATGAAGCTGTTTTCCCTGGTTTACAAGGCGGTCCTCATAATCATCAAATAGCTTGTAAGTACTTAAAAAAAAAAAAACAACCCCAAACAAAGAAATAATTTAAATCAATTTACTTCACATTTTAAATCATGCAGTGAGCATCGCAAACCCAGTGATGTCAAGGCATTACTGAGCAAGAAATCGATGTGTTAAAATGCCACCCATGATCACTTATATTTATTTCAAAATGCAAGTCTGTTCTATAAAGTACATTGTTGAGTAGCTTTAACTTCTTAGTCTCACAACTAAAACTAATCTAAATTTAAAAAAAAAACTATTTCAGCTGTAGCAGTGGCCTTAAAACAAGCTAATACATCGGAATTTGTTCAATATCAGAAACAGACCATGGCTAATGCTAAAGCTATGTCAAAAGCTTTAACAGATAGAGGATACACTGTTGTGACTGGTAAAAGTTCTTTATTATTTCTATATTTATTATGTCCTAAAAAAACTAAGAGAGAAAAGAAGAATATGGAAGATTCATGAATCAACTTAATTAATGAAGATAAATTAGCCAGTTTTATATGAAAATCCTGATCACTTTATTCTTGCTATTTACAGAAATTGACTTACATAATTACTAATTCTTGTGTTACATAGCTAAGCTGAATACATGGTTATTTACAAGCAGAAACTAATTATGGTTGATTGGTTGTCTTTCTCATGCTGAAGTTTATTATCCATTTTCCAAGATCTTTATGGCATCAATTAGAATAATGTGATAGTCAAGATAATACACACATGATCAATTCAAACAAGAACTTAATAAATAAGATCGCTTCTATTATATATTTTGATGTTCAGCTTTATTTTGTTGGGATTTGTTGGTGATTCTACCAAGGTGCAAGCCAAATACTGAAATCATTTTCAAATGTTTATAAATAGAGTTGTTTCCCTTTTGAGTACCAATTCTTACTCTATAAATAAAATCTTCAATTTTAGGTGGCACTGATACCCATTTAGTTCTAGTCGACCTCCGGCCACAGAAATTAGATGGTGCTAGAGCTGAGAAAGTGCTTGAAGAAGTTGGAATCGCTGTAAACAAAAACACTTGCCCAGGAGATAAAAGTGCGTTGAAACCAAGTGGTTTGAGATTAGGTACTCCAGCTTTAACTTCCAGAAACATGACAGAATCAGATTTAGTAAAAGTTGTGGATTTCTTCCATCAAGGTTAGTTTTTACTGCCATATGTGCCTAGAACATTCATTTGTGGATGGATTGGTGCTTTATAAATATACATTGTTATATTATTAAGCTTTCATATTCCATATGAAAGCTTAATGTTTCTGTTAAGATTATTATTTTTTTTTTTTTGTGTTTGTTTTCTGTAAATCGGATTTCTAAGAATCTAATCATGGGATCTTTCTGAAACTTTGACCTACCCCGCAAAAAATGGGTAGTGAGTTTTGATTAAATATATTTTCAAAACGTTTTACGTATCCAAATCACTGAATTTTACTGACAAAAAAAAAATTGACCTAGTTTTCTGTAACTTTGTGACTATTTGACCTATTTTACTAATTCTTTTTTCATTGAGTACCTTGAAGAAATTCATTTTCACTTGCATTTTCAGATTTTCGAATTTCGAAAATTCATTGCTGTGATTTCGTGCTGGAAGTTGAGACCAACTTGACAACTTCTTTAATATTTGCACGATTTTCATGAAATTTGGAATGTAAGCAAATCTGACTGATGCGAAAGATGTTATTAGAAATTTCCTAACTTTTCTCCCCTTGGAGAAATTAAGGATCAAAATTTTCAAAAAAATCAACAAAATATAGGTCAGATTGCCTTGAAATGTTCTTTCTGTACTTGCTAAGACACTACTGACGCGTACACAAAATATAAAGTTTGTTGATTGAACCAGAAGTGCAACTATCTTAAGACGTGAAAAACAAACATCAATTTTACAATATTTTACTTACAGACACGGGAATTACATTTTCTGAATCCTTGAAGGAATGCCTATAAAATGTAGAGAGCCAAATTTTGATTTCGGTCAGCTGGTGGACGCCATTTTGAGTTGAATATGAAAAATAGTGAAAAAATCTCATTAATGGCTTGAAAATAATCAAAATAGGCCGCCGTTTCGTGAATTCATCTCCTATTTCTGAAATTAATACATTTCTAGTTAGCCTCCTTCTAAGAATGGGTGGTGACTTTGGAATCAATACATGTATATTTTCAAAATGTTTTACAATACCGAAATCACCGATATTTACTGATGAAAAAATTGACCTTCATAGCTGTAATTTTGTGACTATTTGACCTATTTTACTAATTCTTTTTTCTTTAAGTACCTTGAAACATTTACATTCAATCTGCTATTTCCGAATTTCAAATTTCGAAAATTACATCATTGACATCTCATCCCAAAAGTAAAATCCAACTTGACAACTTCTGTAATATTAGTACGATTTCACGAAACTTTGGCATGTAATGTAGACCTGGCTGATCCAACTTCAAGGATATCATTAGAAATTTTCTAACTTATCTCCCCTTGAATAAATTAAGGATCAAAGTTTTCAAAAAATCGTAAAAAAATTAGGTCAGATTGCCTTGAAAATCATTTTGTATACGAGATAAAACACTACTGATGAGTACATATGATATGGAGTTTGTTGATCGAACCGGAAGGGCTACCATCTTGAAACGTGAAAAATCCCTAAGGCTTTTGCGCTACTTTACTTTACTTACAGGCATGGGAGTTACATTTTCTGAATCCTTGAAGGCATGCCTAAAAATCTATCTGATCTGCATTTTGATTTCGGTCAACTGACGGTCACCATTTTGAATTAAATATATAAAAAAGTGAAAAACCAAGTTAACGGATGTGAAAATGAACAAAATAGGCCGTAGTTTGAAGAATACCTCTCCTATTTCCGAAATAAATACATTTCTGCATAGACAGAGGGTTGAATTTTTGATGTTTGACCTTTTTCGTGCCGTGCCGGCAAAGTTGTTTACAAGACAATTTATTTCCTGGATTTTCAAAATTTACAAATTTGTCCTAAATATTCGAACAGCTGAAGTCAATCTGATTCCAGAAATATAAGTTCCATTCAAAGTTATGTCATTTTATTATTCAATATTTTCCTGCCATTTTTGAGTTTTTTTCCCACCATTTTCATTTCATTTTCTGATCCGTCTCGTTTTTGAACGGCTTGATCAATTTTTCTGAAACTTCTGGAACTGGAAGTCAATTGGATTACAATACAAGTCTCAGTTATTTTCTTTTATTTTTCAGATTATTTATTCACCCGGGTTAAATGTTTCTCACTATATTTTAAAGATACATTCCCACATACAAATTCTCGGATTATCCACTGCCCGCGTCTTTTTCCGTGATTTTTATCTCAGAAAGTGTTGTATGTCTAACTCTTCATAAAGTTTATCAACATGTACACCAAGCGCTCAATCTTCGCGTGCAACCTTCTACGTCACGCGTGCAGGTATTCCTAATCGGCGGGCTGTCAATTAGGGGAACCCTTACATTTTTGTCCTGAATATGCTCCATGAGTGTTTTTCAGGGAATCCAGTATTTCCATATATACCAAAATTGCCATACTTTTATTGGAAATAACCACCTGATAAATACTTTCTGGGAACCTATCTTTAAGCATATAACTTTTCGAGCGATTTTAATAATTATTTTTTCTTGTTAAGATTCTTTATATAACCCATGGCATGTGACAGGAAGTGATCGTGAATATGAAAGCTTTCATATCTGCCTGGAAGATCTAGTTATTATTATTATTATTATTATATCTTTAAAACGTTTTGCAGAAAAAAAAGATGTCCATATGATGTACTGGAAAATAATTGTTGACCCATAGTTAAACTTATAACTTTATTCATGTTTCTTTTTGTAGCTATTGTATTAGCGGGAGAAGTAAATGCAAGTTGCGGACCATTACTAAAAGATTTTAAAGCTAAATTACAAGACCCATCTGTACAGAGCCGAATAGAACAATTACAGAAATCAGTGGAATCTTTTGCTCTCAATTTTCCAATGCCTGGTTATGATGAGTGGTAGACACTTTATGGGAGGTTACATTTGATATTTAAATGTATGAAGTATCTTATCTGCAGCATATTTCTTGCAATAAACACACTTATTAAAACAATGACTGCTATCTGTGGATTATGTCTCATTAAAATGTTTTCTCAACTACATAAATACATTGTTTCAATCAAGTTCATTTTGATTGTTAAATTGTGAATAGTTTGTTTATCGCTCTTGTTACCAAACTTATGTCCATGCTATGCCCAAGTTCATGGCAGACTTACTCTTGCCATAGGAACCATGTACACAAGAAATCCTATAAAAAAAAAAAAAGAAAAGATTTTTAAAATAGATTTTATATTTGCTATTAAAACATGCTGCTCTTAGTGGCAAAAAGAGTTAACTCTTCAAATTTGATTACCATGATGATTGGAAAATATGTTTTAATAATGTTTAAAAAAATTTGTTTACAATAACCTCTAGCAAATTTGTTCCTGTTAATGTGTTTTGATTTCTGAGTTGGTTATAGTTTGTTATAAATGTACATAAATTATTGTTATTGTTTGAAAGCCATGTAAATAGTTGGTTTTATCCCTATCTGGACCACCGCCATCTTTTATATGCTGACAAGCACATTCTTTCATAGAAATTATGATTTTCTTTTGGTTATTGTTTATATGAAAATTCACACGTTTAACAGATGTCAGTTTATACATGAAAGTAAAATTAAAGGAATGCTTACTGTGTTAATCTTTTTTCTTTTTTTGGGGGAGGGGGGGGGGGGCGGGCGGCGTAAAAATTGGTAGGTTTTAACGTCATATCTGTGCATATTGTTTGTTTCTAAACAGGTTTTTATACGCCCACATTTTCATGTGGACGTATATTGTCGTCGCCCCTGCCCGTCCGTCCACAATTGTTTGTGAACAGTCTACAGGTCACAATTTTTATCCGATTTCAATGAAACTTGAAATATAGGTTTATCACCCTAAGATCTCGGTTCCTTTCGATATTGGCATGTATCGGACTGTAACTTCATGGATTATGGCCCCTGATTGTACGAAAAATCACGTTTTTAGCTTGTGAACACTGTAGAGGTCACAATTTTTATCCGATTTAGTTGAAACTTTAAATGTATGATTATAACCCAAAGATCTCGGTTCCTTTCGATATTCGCGCATATCGGAACGTAACTTCCTGAATTATGGCCCCTGATTGTACGCAAAATCGCGTTTTTAGCTTGTGGACCCTATAGAGGTCATAATTTTTATCCGATTTAAAAAACCGTATTATTATATCACCGTTAAACCCTAAGGACGACTGAGTTCGAATCTCGTGAAAATCGGCCAAAAACTAACAGACAAAATGGCCGCCCTTCGTTATCAAATAGCGTAAAAATATGGTATATCAAGATTGTGGACCCTATAGACGTCACAATTTTAATTCTATTTTGATGAAACTTGAAATGTATGATTATAACCCAAAGATCTCGGTTCCTTTCGATATTCGCGCATATCGGAACTTAACTTCCTGAATTATGGCCCCTGATTGTACGAAAAATCGCGTTTTTAGCTTGTGAACCCTATAGAGGTCATAATTTTTATCCGATTTAAAAAATACGTATTATTATATCACCGTTAAACCCTACGGACGGCTGAGTACGAATCTCGTGAAAATCGGCCCAAAACTAACAGACAAAATGGCCGCCCTTCGTTCTCAAATAGCGTAAAAATATGGTATATCAAGATTGTGGACCCTATAGACGTCACAATTTTAATCCTATTTTGATGTAAGTTTATAACCCAAAGATCTCGGTTCCTTTCGATATTAGTGCATATCGGAACGTAACTTCCTGAATTATGGCCCCTGATTGTACGAAAAATCACGTTTTTAGCTTATGGACCCTATAGAGGTCATAATTTTTATCCGATTTAAAAAAACGTATTATTATATCACCGTTACACCCTAAGGACGACTGAGTTCGAATTTCGTGAAAATCGGCCCAAAACTGACATACAAACTGGCCGCTCTTCGTTCTCAAATAGCGTAAAAATATGGTATTTCAAGGTTGTGGACCCTAAAGAGGTCACAATTTTTTATCCGATTTTGTTGAAACTTGAAATGTAAGTTTATAACCCAAAGATATTTGCGCATATCCAATTGTAATTTCCTGAATTATGGCCCCAGATTGTATGAAAAATCACTTTCTTTTTAGCTTGTTCTCTATCCATCTCTCGAAAATGTGGGCGTATCCTGTCTGGCAGCCGCTGGTTGCTCCTTTAAAAGAAAATGTTCGGGGTGGTGAATATAAAATTAAAAGATTAGATAAATAAAATGGGGCAAAATCATTTAGATATTACCAGTAAAACTTTATAGATTATTCTAAATTGAACGGAAAGCCGGCGTAAACAAAAGAGGATTGGGGATAATATTGTGTTCTCTTTATTAGAGGGACAAATGACATTATCACCCACTTCCGCACTCCAAATTCTCTAAATTTTTATTTGATCCTATAAGCAAATATTCTGTCTTATCTTCATTAAGTTTGGAAAAGTTTTCGCACATCCAGCACTTTTTATACGCCCACATTGAAATGTGGTCGTATATTGTCATCGCCCCCGTTCCTTGGTATGGCGTCAACATTTGCTTGTAGACGCTCAACAGGCGAAAGTTAATATGTGATTTACTTTAATTTATACACAGTGTTTAAGATTATAAGACGAAGAAGTCGACTGATTCCAATAATTACTGCCAGAGTTATAGCCATTGATCACATTGAAATATCTTGTAGACGCTCTAAACGCTAAAGTTAATATCTGATTGACTTTATATTTAGTACGATGTTTAAGATCATGAGACGAAGACGCCTATCAATTTTAATGATAGTTTGATTGCGACCTTTGAGTTTCAGGGCATGATTTTGGATCCCAAAGTTACAATCTAATCATGACGGGGATATCGTGATTGGTATTGAATGCTGCTGATCAATCCAGCGAGATCAAAATGCATTCACACTTATCCAACATGGTAATGTTGTGGACACAAACAATTAATTTGAAATTTTATGAAATGAAAGCAGAATAAATACTTTTTAAAATTCTCGAAGTATACTTGGTGTTTTCGACTAAAATTGTCGATTTAGGAATTACGATGTCGGTCAACCAGCCCTACTTTCGTATGTTTTGCTGCTAGGATTCAAAGCCCATCTTAACCGGAGCGGGGACCTGGACCTGACTAGAATCCCGCGGCCCTAACACGCGTAAAAGATTATTTCATATCCTTTTGAATTGCATGCATGCGTAACACACCATTAAACGGTCCGTAATACAAGAATAATTACATAATATCTGATCACACGATACCTATTTGCCATGAACCGCTGGGCCCTAGACCTAGGCCCATGCCTAAGCTGGGCTTTGCTAAGATTAAACAGAAACCTCAGCAGATCAAAGACGCCGCCCTGTTGCCCGTGATGACGGCATAACAGGTACACAGATGGACTAATTAGGCATTTTCGACGTTCCAAAGTAAAAGTTCGGTACTAAGGCCCCCTAAAGATAAATTTTAAATGTTCTTATTATTAATTAGAACAGGTTTTATTTTGCTTTAGTTTTTATATTTTACGTTGACATTTTATTGCTTTAAATCTTCCTAGTACAAAAACGGTAAATTTCACCTTTTGAACCCCAGGGTCACTTAGACTAAACGTGAATTTAGCAAGTTTACATTTTTATTGAAAGTGTGATTACTTTCGATCATTTTCCGTTTCTTTTCATAATACAAGAATGACTGCGCATTCACTTTCAGTGCAAATGAACTCATTCAACCTTTGACCCCGAATATCTCGAAAACCCCCCAACGGCGAACTGATTACCACTCGGCATCGTGTTCTACGCACAATTTTAATCTAGAAAAGTTGGGTCTGGTTTTGTGCCTATTTGGTGCCCCCCCCCCCCCCCCGCGCTATTATACAATATAATAGTTATTTTGCATATTACAGTTCTCTATTCTGCATTTTGCATCATAGACAAATGTATAACGTATAACGGAACTCAGCATATTAGAACTGGGATCTACGACGAAGCTCATTTGCATACGGAAAAAAGTCCGGACTAGGATGGAAATTAATAATTTATGTGATCAATCTACAAGGTCAATGGGCAGAGATCAAGATGGTATACAATAAGTCACCATGCAATAAGTCGACTTGCCATGCAATAAGAGCGAATCAAGCTAACATGCAATAAGGAATTCGCTGGATGACCATGACTTGTGTGAAATCATGCGCTCGGTATGGCTAATCCAAGCCTTCGATAAGCTCCTCATTTTTACTTCATAACCCGCACCCCTCCCCCCTTCCCCCTTCACACGAACATTAATCTTTTTATTTTTTTTTTTCAAAGTAAGGAGCCACGGTGCCTTTAAGAATTTTTTATATGAGAATAACCTATATATATATATATACTATTCAAAAAAAGTAGGGGATATTTGATTTTTAAGTGTTATTAAAGTCACCTAATGAAACTGACGAAGAAACAAATGACAAAATGAAATGAAGTTCACATTCATCGATTTATTCCAAATGATCGTTAGACTAAGTAAGGCACAGACTGACCATTATAAGGGTAAAATGATACCCGGGGTCAAACAGCAAAGTTACCACAGCATCACAACCAAGTCAGTAACGGGTAAATCCTCCTCTGTTTGCCAAACAAGCATTGATCCGACGTGGCATACTCCTAATGAGACGTCTAAGGTCATTTTGGTCCAGATTGTCCCATTCCTGTTGCAACGCAGCAGCAAATTCTTGGACATTGGCAGGACGTTGTTGACGTTGACGTAACCTCTGTCCAAGCATGTCCCAGACATGCTCGATGGGGGAGTGGTCGGGACTCAGTGCTGGCCAAGGTAATGTGGTGATGTTCTGTTGTTGGAGGTAACCTGTAACGATCCTGGCCCTGTGACATCTTGCGTTGTCATCCTGGAAGATGAAACGGCGGCCATGACGTCGTGCGTACGGCACAACATGGACTGCCAAGATGTTGTCCCGGTAGTACTGGCCTGTAACACGCCCTGCAACAACATGTAAAGCCGTTCTTCCAGCAACAGTGATGCCCCCCCCACACCATAACAGAACCACCCCCAAATCGATCATGTCTGATGACGTTAACGTCTTGGAAGCGCTCGTTTCGACGACGCCACACCCTCCTACGTCTGTCCAAAAAATCAACAGTGAACCTTGACTCATCTGAAAACATCACATTGCTCCAGCGTCGATTATCCCAGTGTTGACGATCCCTACACCAACGACGTCTTGCCTGAATGTGATGATCTCTCAAACAAGGGATCACGCGAGGACGTCGGGTGCGAAGGTGACCCCTATGCAGTCGATTCCGAATCGTCTGGCCACTCACTCTCACACCAGTGTCTGTTTGAAGACGAGCGCTGATCTGATTTGCTGTGATGACACGATTTCTCAAGGCCAAGGTACGGATAAATCGATCCTGGGCTTGAGTTGTCGCCCTTGGTCGACCTGAGCGTGGTCTGTCCTGTACAGATTGTGTATCACGGTATCTGGACCATAGCCTGCTTATGACAGACTGAGAAACATTCATCGTCCGCGCCACAACCGCCTGTGTTGTGCCGATCTGTAGCATGCCAAGGGCACGTAACCTTTCATTTTGGGTAAGCCGACGCATATCAAAATTTGTTTTCTGGTCACTAAAACAATTAAACTGATGTTTCCACCCTGGAATTCAATGCCACAATGACTGTAACATTCAAAGTCAGAGTCGTGCAAATCTTGGGTTGGACCCCCATGATGATCCCAAGCATCACCTGCATTCCATGCGGTAGCTATTGGTGCGTTTGGGCGTCACATGTAACTGGAAATGTTTCTTCTGTTAGGTTCTATAGTGACTTTTTTCGTAGTCATTTGCATATTTTAGTATTATGCCCCCAAAATCAAATATCCCCTACTTTTTTTGAATAGTATATATATATCGCCATAATTATCCCGATAAAACCCAGTTCACACGCAGACAAATGGTTAACAGTAAATACCGTATGAGCCGCATAGACAATGTTTTAATAATACGCAACAGCATTCCTTATATTAGAGGCTTTTGGCAAGGGGAATTTTTCCCATCACGTATCCGTATCGTCACGTGATACGTTTCGTCAACGTAGTTTTAGAGTTTTGGCAGATACTGTTCTAAAATTAGAAATATTAGAACATGAAATATGCACAGCTGCTATATTGAGATCCAAAACAAAACACACAACAGAGTCAGAGAGCGACAGGAGTACAAGTTATTTCTTAAACCTTGAGAAACAGAGACAAAACTAAAACCGCATTAAGAGAAATAATTGATGGAGACGGCACATCCTATTTAGACACTGGATCCATAGTCTACCAATGTTCAAAGTTTTATTTAAAACTGTATTCTAAAGAAAACTCTACCGATGAGGATGATGCTTCATTGAAGGTTATTAAGATGGTTTTGACCATGACTATTTCTCCTTTAGGCCTGGAGCTTTTTGACCAAAAGATAACTTTAAACGAACTAACCCCGTATAACTCCATGTCTAGGGGGAAAAGTCCAGGTCAAGACGGACTTAGTGTGAATTTTTGGGATCTGTTAGGACCTATCTATTTAAATGTTATTAATTACTTTTTCAAAAATAACATGATGCATGATGTCCCGCTCAATAATTTTTAAAGGAGATAAGAGACACTTAAAGAACTGGAGACTAATATCCTTATTACAAACAGATTTTAAGATATTATCCCGTTGTTTGGCTTTAAGAAATAGAAATAGACACAATTATATCGTCAGAACAAACATGTTCAGTGTCAGGACGAAACATTTACGAAAATGTGGCAAGCATGCGTGATATTATAGACTATGTTGAAGGGGAAGATTTAATCTTAAAAATTGATGCCGAAAAGGCTTTTAATAGAGTCTCACTAGTAAGAGCGCGTGTATGGAGACGCTCGCACTTCATGACCCTATGACCTAGTTCATGGTGACCGAGTTCGTGGTGACCTTGCACTGGATGACATTGTACTGATTGACCCCTGTGACGTAGTTCGTTGCACTGGATGACCCCTTTGACGTAGTTCGTTCGTCGTGACCTTGCACTGCACTGGGTGACATAGGGATGACCTACCAAGGGGCGCGTGGCAAAAGCCGTCTATGGCATGTGTTCCCAATTTCTATCCCACACCAGAAGCAAATCAGCATCCGGTCGATTACCCCTAAATACATTGTAATAACCCCGACAAGTCTTGACAAAATCTGTACTCTTTCCGTACTTGGTCCATTTCGATTGCGATGTGTCTGGCTTCGACGCTGCCGTTTATGGCTCGGGACGAGTCTAGTTTGTTGGGACTAAACCATTTTGCGAGACGTTACGAGGTGGGAGAAAAAAACAGACAAGTATTTTTGGGTTTTTTTGCTGGCAAAGCATGTTATTGAACTAAAGTTACAAAGAATTGGATTATGTGAAATGATTACGATAAAACAACAAAAGAAATCTTTAAATTAAAGAAATGGAAAAACAACGTCGGCATCTTTGTCCCTTCTTCTGTCACGGTACACGTGACCGAAAACAGAAAAGGCGTGAGATGAAGGAACGCGAAATGGATGGCACAGATAATACAAGCAATAATGTCCGCATACAAGCAATAATCCGTCGGGATTGGCAGTGGAGCTGTCGATCTCGGACGAAACGTCGAAAAGTTCCTCCGTAGACATCAGGGGAATTGCCTTAGGAATCAAAGAAGGTAACGTGATCTGTTTTGTTGCACACAAAACACTGTCCAGTGTTTGCCGGGTTGGTCTTCGTCGTCCGTGTTGATGATGTGGGCTTTGGGGTACGAGGTTGGTCGCAGTATATCCAGGTGATTACGAGCCCACACGCCCCCGAAAACACTAGGAGGAGATGTGTTTCCAATGCTTGTGTCAATTGTTGACAATTCGAAACAATACAAGGTGTACCCATTGATATAGTCGTTGAAAGGGAGGTCTAGATCTTCTCTGGTGTTTAAGACGATCACCTTTTTAATCATATCTAGGTAGGGAGCAATGTCTTGTCGTTGGGTGAAGTTCACGTCGTATTCGTCCACGATTTCCACGTTTTTGGTCAGTTTGATGTTTTCCAACCGATTGTGTTCGAATTGGAACGGATGTCTGTCTTTTCTACCGTCGTAGGTCAAGTTGTGTACCATGCTCACGATCAGTTTCTTCGGCAGACTTTCGTTTACGAACAGATTGTCTAGGACGTGGCTGGTGCGATTGTCGGGAATGACCATGTCCCGGACCACCACGCACTTCAGGGGATACTTGGTGTTGGACGATAGAAGTTGCTCGGCCACGCGGGTGGCGGGAGCCAGAGTGATGAACGGGATGTTAGGTAGGCTTTGTTAAACTCGACTTTGTATTCTTCTGTATCGGGGAGTGCTTTTCCAATTTCAATCGCAGGTCCACGCCGTCAAGCAGATACCGATATTGTAGGCACATGTCCACGTGTAGACGAGACTGTAGTTCAAAGGTGCGACTTTCAGCGACGACTTTCTGGCGTTGTTCCAATTCTCTATTATGTGGGACCTGACCTCCACCATCCCAATCGGTGGCGACGGATATCGTGGAATCGAACTGACCGGCGTTGTCTTTTTCCAACAGGACTCATTTCGACAAGATGTGATCGTTTTTGGCTCCCTTACCGAAACTCAGCAAATTCTCCAAGTAAGCCCGGTAGGGATAGTTCGATAGAGACGCGGGGACCAAGGTTTCAGCATCTTTTCCCAGGGGTAATTTGACATCTTTGAACAACGAATGAAACAGGTTGTTTATGGGGCGACTATCTTCTTTTCTTTCAAATCCCGTAACTGTAGTTCTTTGTTGTGTACCTATATTTTACGTTGTTTTTACCATGTATACCTTTCTTTTACAGATTTTGATTACAATACAAGATGGCATGGTTCTTTCTGGTATATTTAAAAAGATTTCAGTTACCTTACTCTTTCTTATTTATTGTGCTCTCGACCCCATCATCTACCTCTGCATGGCACGGAAATACAGGACGTGAATATTTAAGAGAATATTATCAGAGTAGACAAATCATCGACTTAAGGCGGGATTCCACTAGATAGATTTCTAGGGAAAAATGAACACATACAGCTAGATTTTTTAATGAAAGCTTCCCTAGTTGAATTGTCTGGCTAAAACTCTTACAATAATTGCCTTTTGCCTTTACTCTGAAGACAGATATATTTTTTAAAACAATTTATTCAGAGGATTTTTGGAAAATTATTTTCCATGTATTTATAAATGTATACAAATGATTCTACGACTAAAATTATTTGACGAGTGAAAATTGTCTACATAATAATAATAAAATATCACAAGCCGAGAAAGTCTTTTTTATCACAAGCCGCCTTATACACAAAACTCTTCATCAAAATTCATATTTCACCAGAAATTCTTCACCAAATGACGTATCATGCTAGCACCTCTTCGGGAAACGTTGGTGGAGGACCTGGCCGAAATATGATTGGACATTTGGTACAAATATTTCTTGGCCCACAAATAAACTGAACGGTTTTGTTGGTGAACTCTTCTGCGTTTGGTATGTCTGAAAATATAAGATCTCTTTGTTTAAAGATAAATCAGTTGCACTCTTTTTTTTTCAATCAAAAAACAAATAAAAACCAACAAACAAGCAATTTCGTAATATGACCGGATTGTGTTCTTACAAGAAAACTCTGTTTTAGAGCAGAAGACCAGAATTAAGATTTGGTCGATTTGAGTAGTTTTGTGCTTTTCATCTTAAACATGAACTGTACATGCCACAAATGATTTGAAGAGAAACCAAGGGATACTCATGAATATGGACAATATTTTACAAGTACTAGTCACAGACATTTTTGAATTCGAATGTCTTTTCAATGCTATTCGTACTGATGTATTTTATTCGCTATTCAATGCGATAAAATAAAACCAAGTACGAACAATCCAAACCATTAGACAAAATTCGAAGTCCTAAAAAAAAAACGGTATAGGCAAAATAGTGTAATAAGGCAAAATAGTGTAATCAGCATATGGACTGTTCACCGTGTACAAAATACACGACAAACAGTGGTAACAGGTGTAGCGTGCATATATTTGTATTTCCATGTGTAATGAAAAACGCTAAAAAAAAAGTTTGGGGAATCCCACGTACGTCGTAAGTGAGGATTTCTCTTTACAGCGTGGTGGCCGACATTTTAAAATAACATTAACACACACTATGTCCCAAAAATATGCCATGTTCAAACTGAACGTGTATACGAACAAGAGCGGTTGAAGTGAAGTTGAACATAAACATCCGGCAGGGCACTCATGCACATGCACATATATATTATATAATGGCTCATTAAGCAGGAGGTCCTCTGGGGTTCGATTTCGGTGTTGGCCGAGAAAGTTCCCCGGTATTTTCCAGCGTGGCTTCCCTTCATTGAGTAAGACGTTGGCTCGATAACCTGAAGATCTCGTTTTTGATACCGAAGTTGGCCGAGAAAGTAACATGCCTTACCTTTAGTGTCAATATCAACAATCCAATGTGTTGGTACGTCAGCACAGTGGTCAACAATATGTTGACCTGCAAATGTTCTTAAAACGTCACTGTCAATAGGTTCCTGGATGTAGCGGAAATATCGGTTTGGTGGAACCCTTTCCTTGCCCTGAAATTAAGAATTATTTCAAATTAAATAAAAGTAAGTTTTTATGAATTCAAAATTCTGTCGTTTCTGTGAACACGTCAACGGGCCACAATAAATTTTTTTATTAAAGGGGCATTATGGGAGATTAAATAAAGAGTTCTCGCTATAATAGTTAAAAAAATATATAACGTAATAAGAATATGCTGAAAATTTCAGGCAAAATTTAATTGCTCCACTCTCAACCGAGATATTATCAGCTTTTGAATTTTAGTCTAGCCTCGATCATCAGACGAGTTACCTCCCTTAGACGCTGTGATAAATGGAAAAGACCGAATAATCTAGCCAAGGACCTCTTGTTCTCAAATGTTGACAACGTATCCAGACTAATATTCGTAGAATATTTTCTGGATGATAGAGACTACAGTCGGTACGATAAAAAACGAAGTCTCGATTAAACATTTTTACGTTTAATTATTTTTCAAAAAATGTATTCCAATCCACTAAATATTGCTAGCGATGGCACCGAGAGTTGATTATGTCTGGATAAGTTAATTCATGTCTAATTAATAATTTAGATAACATTTCAGGCCCAAAGAAAGACATGCAATAGACACATTTAGCTCTTGCATAATGTATGTTTAAGAGACAAGTTAGAAGCATATTTCATCGGATTTCATTTGAATTTATATTCAAGAACTTAGGGAACATTACCTTCCCCATTAAGATTTAGGATTGGTTAATCTTCCGCTTTAAGGAAAATTACCAATACACTACGAGCGTCTAAAAATTCAATTAAAATTCAGACAGTTCTTACCTCACGACCAGTCCATGATTTAAGACCCTCCTCAAAAGTTTCATCATGACGATCAATATAGCATCTACCATTAGTCAAATCTTTAAAAGCTATCATTTTCTGAAATAGATATTTAAAAAATGTACATACGTGACGTTTATACATTTACATACAGAATTTAGAGTGATGATGAGACCCTGATAAACCTATGTATTTCACAGTTGCAATTGTAGAATAAGTTTTAAAAAAGATGAAAAATTGATGCATTTTACTAAATCTATTTGTACTTACTCGATCGTAATTATGTAAAGCACTGAGTTTATCGATATCTCCATTTCTTTCATTGTTAACAAAAATTATTTTATTGACGAAATCAACTTTTACGTGTTCAGGTATTACACGACCATCAATATTTGTCAGGGTATCAAACTTCTGCAAATGATAAAAGAACATAGTTACATATCCATAAAACAAATCATAATCATCAAAGAATTCTGACCATTTATATCGGTTAATATCTTGAGATGGAACAATATCATAGAAAAAATTAAATGTTTCTTTCTTTTGTTTACATAATCACATGTGCGTCATTAATATATAATTCCCTTATTTATATGATTGAGTTACTGATAAACTAATATCAATTTTTAAAAAATTTGAATTTTGTCTGAAAATATAGACCATATTTCATACAACATTTTAGAATGATAGAAAGTACTTATCATTATTTTTCCATTACTGGTGGCACAAACTTTATCTAACAGAAACATATGGACCTACCTCTTTAGTAAATAAATGGTAATGCCATGCTATGGCACCAAACACAATAGCCGATACAACAACTGTAGCAACCAAAGTAGTAATTATTATATATAAACATTTCTTATTATTTTTCTTGGGATGAACACTTTCCATTTGGACTGTTGTCTGAAATATTCCAAAACATGAAATTTGATAAAACTGACAGAAGTTTTAGACATGAGATTTAAGATTTTTCTCAGCCCCACCCCAAGTTAAACAATATGATAAAAATAATACAGATAGAAAAAAGATACAACATTAATAAAATGATAAATTCTATGCATGTACTTACCGGTTGGAAACTAGACACCGATTTATGCTGTAGATCTATACTAGGTGGCGACATTCTTGTTGATATAACTTGCAACCCTAGAAATTGACCATCTATTTATACTAATTCTGAATTTTAGTTGTCCAATCAAATGACAACTGTTCCAGGATGTAAATAGTAACACAGAGTAGACACGGATATGGACACAAGGTAAACTTTTAACCGGGAAGTGCCTGAAACGTAAAATCAGCCAAGCAGATCATTGTTTACTTTAAAAGAGATAACCAATCCCTTGACACAGTATCTATTATTTGTGACATATAAAAAAACCAATCCTCCTATAATATCGTTAAAGGGCATTTAGGGAAAGCAATATAAAGATAAATTATTGAGAAAATGAAATGAAATGAAATGGGGTGTAACGTCCTACTGTTCTTATAGATACAACACGTATTATAATATATTTTCAGAAACTGAGATATGAATTTTCAAAATTTATTGATGTAAAATTGTTTACGACCAGCAGTAAATATGTTTATTTTGAAATCCATGTAAATGGTTGCTTGTTAATTATTATTCTGTAATCTGCATCTTGTATAATGCTGACAAATGCATATTTTAATAGAAATCACGGTTATTTTTTGATTGATACTGTTAGAACGAAAATTTACACTTTAAAGGAGCTAAATCGCTAATGTACAGAGTCTCTTGTTACAAACTTTGTTGTACCAATGGTAAAATGTTTATTTTGTCTTAAATATTAAATATCAGAAGTCCTTCTTTTCCCGGTAAGATTACCACATCAACGTTGATTTAAATTGACAAATAATTCGTGTTTTCAAAGTTGAATACCGTCGTCGGTGGGGAGTTAAAAGGTCGTATCTGGCATATTTTGCGAAATTCACTTTTTTGCTTCTTCAGAATGAGGATTTTCTTGCGCATCTTTTCATCCAGTTGTCGTATTTCTAAGCCAATAAAAAGAGGTTTTATAGATATTGTTTCAAAATGTCGTATATGGGGTGTTCCAAAAAAACAAAAAAAAATCAACTTTGTGTCTAACCATGCAAAGTATTACAATCAAACGAAACGTAGCCAGTATTGTTTTTATTATTGTTGAGCGTCTACTGTGTGAATTCTATGAAATTGAAGAAGGTAAAGGTGAATATTTTCCTGAGATACGTCTTTGCTGTATAAAAATGCAAATAACTAGCTTTCACTCTTTATTTCTGCACTAAATGTTGGGCTTGATACGTGCGGATAGTTACATATTGTGGTAATGGCTACACATACACTTTGTACAGAAATATTTAAGAAAAGCTTCAGAAATACGACATTTTACATACGACATTTTGACGTGACGTTTTATTAGACATTTTGATTCTTAACCTCTGTGTGTTTTTTCGGCTCTGCTGAACAATTTCGCAAAATCCAGTACGACCTTTTGACTCCCCACCGACGATACTTTGGATGATATTGAGTTAGAGACTTAGCTACTTTAACAATTAAAAAATGTCAGGTTGAAAGCTTACGTATGAGGAGCGGGGTAAGTGTTTCCATATTGTCAACACTACTGTATCCATTTCATCTAGTTACGTTTATTTTGTGAACAGCTTGCAGCTTTGTAGTATGGCTCTCCTATTGTAGAATGAGTTAGAAAAAGATGATGCATTTAAAAAATCTATTTGTACTTACTCCAACGTAATTATGCAGAGCTAAAAAATAATATCCAACAATTTGAAATCCATGCCAACAAATCTCGATCATCAAAGAATTCAGACCACGTGTGGTATTTTAGACAAAGTTAAGTGTTTCTTATTTTTGTTTACTGATGTCGGTGTTGATTTACAGTTTAGAAAATTTCTTAAAAAGTATAGTTTGTGTGTGTGTTTGTGTGTGTGTGTGTGGGGGGGGGGGGCTGCGATGACGTAAACAGGGTCACATTTCTTTTGAATTCAACTAGCCTTTCTGTACATGGTTCTTTATAGTGTTTCTGTGCCGCCAGTGATCAAAAAAGGGCACCTTTCTACAACTACTAGGCTTATGAAGGCAGGCATATACCATACGGTGTCCTGTGAGGGAAATTGTTCTACTCTTGGCCTACTCTTATTTTGAATTCCAACTGTCAGGGGTTATTTTACATGTACGGGACCTCAGTTTTCCGTCCCACCTGAACTACTAGACACCATGTCGAGAAAAAAAACCGAGAAATTTTATCGGCAAACACACCGAGGCAGGGTCTCTCGGGATGAAAAGTCCGTGCATTGAAAAAAATGGTATGTATCCTTCTCATGTCTGGGGAGATCCCATCCTCCACACAAGTCTAACGTACTACTGTTCTGCTCCGAACTGGGCTAATGAAGACGGGCATACGCCATACAGTGTGCAATGAGGGAAATTTTGCCCGGCCACGAATAATTGCCACCTGTTTGTCCCCATGTACTTGAAAGCGTTTAGCATAATACAAATTTGAGTAAAGTTTAAATCAAAGATTCCTAAGACAAAGACCATGAACACCAATTGGATAAACTATGGTCATTTTTCTAAAATAGGCATAGACGGAGGCCTTTCAGATTCTGTTCCGAACAGAAGACTTTCAATTGCCAGATGCTGCTCCCACTATAAAGCGTTCAGCCCCAACATAAATTTGGCAAAGGGTTAAATCATCGAAACGAAAATTTTAAAAAAAGCAAGCACAGTTTATTTGTGACCAGCACAATACAGGAGGCGAGTAAAGATTGTAACTACTTCACCACATAAAAATTCACTGCGCAACAATAGAAAATCGGAGTTTATTTGTCACCAGCACAATATAGTAGCTTGTAACTACTTCACCACATCAAAATTCACTGCGCAACCCTGAATTGCGAAAAGCCCCCCCCCCCCCCCCTTATGAATAGCCGAAACAACCCGAGTCAATATGTGGACGCATAAAAATGGGTTTGTAGTAATAGTGCGGTATGGTATGTCATAAATTCAGCTCCCGTAGGATTTTTGTGCTAAAATTGATTTTTTGCCTGTTTTGTATGTATAGTATGTATCAGACTGTCGGAAAATGATGGGGTTCAAATTTTCAGACCCCCCATGGGGAGTCGTACCCCTTTTGTCCGCCCCGCTGACTCGAAAAGCGGTTAGTACACCTATCTCGGTCATTTATCCACCGATTTTCACAATTTTAGAGTTGTTTAGTAGGTTTTCTGGTGTGCTGAGTTGATTTGTAACACCGCGAAAGCCGCCATCAGCGATGTCATCGTTGACTTATGATTAATCACGTTAGGACAGCGGACTGAACCCTGCCCACGAAGTAAAAGTTTATCATTTCATCACCAGATCTGTGCTCTCATTTTAGCCAATACAAGTTACTTTGCAATGATACAGGGACATTAAAATAACCTCTTTATTGCATGGTTGGACTGTGACACAAAATTAAACTCGATTCCATCAACCAAGAATTCGTGATGTCCCGCGTTTGATACGACATTTGCGTGACATGGAAATCCGGGGATTCCCAAGAACTAGTTTCTCTTTTACGTTTTTTTCTGCCCAGCTATCGTTGACTGAAAGGTAAGTTTTCAGCATTTTTTTGCTTGGAAATGTCAGCATCATCCTCAACAGACCCCCTCTCCCACACTTTATGAACGCCCCTGGTTAAAATGATCGCGACGTCACATGATGGCCCCCTGTTTCTATAACAAAGTGTGACATGTCACCGATGAAGCCTTCCGGCAAACCGTCCAGACACCCCTCTCAATTCGACTGCCCCTTGCTATCCATTCTAGAGTACGCGACAAGAACCTTGTCCAAAACCTCTCAGATGTCTACATCGGAAGCGACCTCCAGAAGATTCTTGAGCTAGAGAAAAAACTTGATCAGTGTGTCCTGCAACGAATGAAGGATTCTGGTGGATTCTGTCTCCCTGATTTCGTCAAAAGAGGCGTCAACATCTGGTTCGCTATTGATAATATCGATCTTTTGGAAGACACGCCAACTGGACAGGAGACATTCCATGGTACGGTCGTTGTAATCAACCAGCAGTCTGTAGATGGAGAGCCTATGAATGAGCCACTCCGTATACCAGAGAAGATTCCCTCACAGGCACCTCTGAAATTTGAAGTGAAACTGCAGCAAGAACCAATCATTAAAGCCAATCCATTGAGATTCGCGGTCTGCACGATCGGAAAGCGGAACAACCTCGTTTCCACAGATTTCACCGATGGCAATTAGAATGCCCTGAACTTGATGGCAGCTGATGAACCGGAAGTCGGTTAAATACACTTACTGTTGATTTGTGAGTATAATGAATAAAGTCGGGACCCTTCAAAACCTATAAATAACAACACTTATGTTACTTTAATTGGTGAACAGTAAGCAGAAATAGATACATTGTCGTTTTTTGGGGGGTAAAAGGAAAAAAGCCCGCCAAAAAGTCGTGAGAGGCGGGAAAATTTGAACCCCTTCATTTCCTGAAAGACTGGTCCTCAGTGAATCCAAAGAAACAAAAAAACTAATTTTAGCACAAAAATCCTACGGGAATACATACTGTACCGCACTATAAGGATGGAATAAGGAAAAAAGATTTATCTATGTGGACGTTTTGGTCTAAAACTGAAGAAGGAAGTTTGAATTTGCATTTTTTCCAGGTTTTGATGAATACTCATGATTTGGATGCGAAAGGAACGGGATGTAGAAAACATGAATTAGGGAAATCACCTACAAAAATGACGTCAGAGCCAACACATACTGTACCGCACTATAAGGATGGAATAAAGAAAAAAGATTTATCTATGTGGACGTTTTGGTCTAAAACTGAAGAAGGAAGTTTGAATTTGCATTTTTTCCAGGTTTTGATGAATACTCATGATTTGGATGCGAAAGGAACGGGATGTAGAAAACATGAATTAGGGAAATCACCTACAAAAATGACGTCAGAGCCAGTAACTTTGATCCGGAGAACAAACAAAATAGAATTACCGGATGTTTCTCAACGAAACGAAGACATGCTATGTGCTGATATATACGAGGAGGTGTCTATTTTGAATACCATTTAAAGGCACGTCTTCTATTCATTGAATTCATTAATTCGGCAGTAGGTCAGTGCTGAGGGTTTCGATAATTAAAGTCTATTAGATTTACATTGTCATCTTATATACAATATTATACAAAAATAAATGAATTTAAAGGCTGGACAGAATAGAAAATAAAATAAAATAAATGAATTTATAGAGGCCCAAACCATTAATTCAGCAAATAAAAGAAACGAACGGGAAAAGTAGAAAGTTGTGGTTAGTATTTTATGGAATTGGGTCTAATTGTTTTATTAGAATATATTTAAATGAATGCATGAAGAAAAATTAAAACACACTAGAGGTAAATAAATACATGTAATTTATATCTGTAAATGATGGACGCCTCATTATCAGTATATAGCATTTCCGTTAGTTATAATTTTTACAACATAGTGCAGTTCGTTGTGAAATTCTCTGTAGTTCTAATTTTTACAACAGAATAAGAAAATAAACGATTTCCCGATCACCAAGTCACTCTTTCCTTATTTTTTGTCGTTGGCCGTTCGAACTTTAGGGGGAATCGAAGATACCGTGTTAGCGTAGCAAAAACATATTGATATGATCCACCTCCATTAATATTTTCACCAGATGCTCATCATATGTTGGGGTCTTGTGGTTTTAAAGTTTAATATTATCGGAATTTTCCAAAATTTGTTATGGACTGAGGGGCATGGCTTTAACATGGAAGTCAATGGGAAGAGGAAATACTAGTCTGAGACCGTGTATGCATAAACAGAGTTATCTCCTATTAATCATAGTTGATAGCTGGTTGATATCACTTTTAACATTTTATTATCAAATCGCCAAACTTACAGATGTATGCATATAATACAGGTAAGGAAATGGTGTTTAACGACCTACTTTTCTGTGAGTATTGGGATGCACAAATAAGTTCACTGCAATGTAAATGTAAAAAAATATACTTTTCAAGATTGTAAATAATATTTCATTATTTAAAAATATGACATTCAGAGACTTTATGTCTTAGACCTACCCAAAGAGTGTAAAAGCAAGTGACGCTGTAGATACAGGCATACTTGAAACAAATCTAAACAAGATACTAGTAGTCAGTATCAAGATAACGATAACATTATTAACATATTATTGCAAGTCACAGCCACCTATCTGTCCATCCAAATCGAAATACGTGTACCAACATTTTCTTTACTTAATATAGTATTAATCATCTCCACTATGATGATTGAAAATAGAGATTTACAGGTGAGTTAATATTTATTAATAATATAATATAAAACAAACAACTCAGTTTATACATAATGTCCATTTGTTGCCTTTCACCTATGTTTAAAGCATCAATGCGATACACGACAAATACTCATTGTTCTACAGAAACAAGGACTTTGACACGTTCTTTTTAAAACCAAAATTGGTTTAGGTGCAAGTTTGGTCTCAATGCACGTGGATAGAAACGAATTATCAATCGAGTGTCGGCGGTAGAATATTTGGCCACCTGAAATCAATGGAATTAAACATACATTATGCAAGAGCTAAATCTGTCTATTGCAGGTCTTTCTTTAGGCCTGAAATGTTATCTAAATTATTAATTAGACATTAATTAAATCCAGACCGTAATCAACTCTAGATGGCATCGCTAGCCTTCGATCTTTAGTGGATTATGAGATGATTTACTGCATAACTTTCGTTCACGATTTAACGATCAAATGGATAATCCAAACTATGCTGCTGTTTATCGTACTG